GAGGACTGACAAAGATTAAGATGAGAAAGAGATCGGATGTCAATCGAGAGCACAGCAACCAATAAAAGTCTCCCAAGCAAGGATGCCGCTCTGTGGGATCAAGCCGGCTTACTCTTCCAACTACGTATGTATAATGGAATAATAATGGTGTATCTGTAACAGTAGCCTTATTACCAAATCTTTGGGAACACACGGGAACAAAAGCTTGACGACAAGACTGATCTAAATCTTTCCCTTGTAGCTGCATACGCTATAGATTCCAGCATTCTCATCTGTTGGAAATTGGAGAAAACTCCCCCACAGTTATTTCCGGGCTCATTTGATTCCGTATTTAGTAAAACAATGTGATCAAGGCGACCGACTGAAGTGTCTCTCCATCTCCTACGGCTATCCTGGCAATTTGCGACGAAGCGACAAAAACAGTGAGATGAGAAGACGGTATAGTAAATATGTATAAGATCATTGTCTGTAGGCTGAGCTCACCGACAAAGTAGTGGAGACGTACGTACGTAAGAGTAAGCGCATAGATCGATATCGTCTCAACCTACGTGGGTACTTACATAACCCGCACGAATGGATTCGCACTCAGCATAATAAGTGGAGTGCGGAGAAAAGGTAAGTAGCGTAATTATTTCTGTATTTAATGCACTCCGCAAATAAAGTTCCGGTCGCATAAACAGAATACGCCCTCCTTGGCAAATGCAATGTATGTCTGATTAAGGCGTTCTACTGAATTGTAATTAAGAATGAGCACATGATATCAATGCAGCAGGCAAAAGGTTGGCGGATATGCAATAAAAAATTTACAGCTGTCATTTGAATAATCAGCACATTTGAAGTCAGGATAACCCATGGAATGAGTGTTTCGTCCCTGAATTCCTAGACTGCTATATATTCGTACGTACATATCTACGTAATACCTTCATGAATACAACAGTCCTGAGAATGCTCCTCAGTGTCCTTTCTTCCTATTTCTTCTCCACTGTAGCCTGAACAACGGAAGAGGAACGTTGTGAATACGAATCATCACTTTGGAACTAAAGGCATCATTGATCCTGATCTCATCCTAATTCCACCACCCCCAGAATTTATCCCAACTTTAAGGCATATCTACAGCATTGTCTCACTAAAATTACATCAATCCCTTCTCTCGTATATCCTTTTCTTGGCCCCGTGAACACCTTCAGTCATTTATTCATTCATTCACTTGACGCAACTTCCCCAAACTCTTCCACTTGGAAGAACTCGACCATCTCAGGCCCACTAACGGATAACGTCAAATAGCGGAATATATATAACCAAACGTTTAAGGAAAGTATTAAAATGAGTGTTGACATTCCGTTTGGCATCATCAACAAGAGAGCGAGAGATTCTGGATTTGTGGAGGTTGGGAGAAAGTGAGATCCTCTTGGACGAGCACGACAGATCTCAGCTTGGTTTTATTCTGGTTCGCAGGAGCAGCAGGACGGGGAGAGGACATGAAGAAAGAAAGAAAGCAAGAAGGAAAGAGGGAGAAAGTCGATAGGAATCGAATGCCCGCGATTCAAGTGAACCAGGAGCAGTAGCAGCAGTCACATTTAATGAGTTGGGCTTTCACTCTCATTTTCATTCCCCACTCATCCTCTGTTTTAAGCTGCTCTCTCTCGATCTCGAGTGCAGAGTCAAAAAATTGAAGACGGAAGTCGTTACTCGTCTCTGGATTGAGTGGCTGATGTTCAGATTTATCTTGGATTCATGGCCCTTTTAGCATTATCTACATGAGGGATCAGTTGCCTGATATGTTAAATAAATAATCGAGATTTCCCATCTCCAAAAGAGGTTGACTTTATTGACTTGGCCATTTCATACTCCTCATTCTTTGCACTTTTCGTCATCCCAGATTTTAAATTCAAAATCCCATTCGGATCAATGTGGTCCCATAATCTCGCTTATTATATGCATAATGGATTATCTCAGGCAAACCGCCCATGATCAGCTTATGCACTCAAATCTCGACTTTCATTCTGAACATGTCTCTGTATATTTGACAGCTTATCTCAGCCAGTTTATCATGCACTATAATTAGCTACTAAAGGCTCGCACTGGTGACAACTCTTGCAAACTGTTATATGCGGCTGCAGAACGTCGCAATCATTTTCTCGCCATTTTCACTAGGGTACAAATATAGTTAACATTATAAATGTTTACTTAAACACTCATATTTCAAACGTATCTTTGCATGCAGCCATATGTTGTCATACATGTAGAGACTTACACATAGATACATACAACACGTATATACATATTATAATAACACAACATGTAAACTATAACAAGTGGCTTCGACCAAGTAGAAAGTATTTTGCTTCAGAAGGAAGAAAGATATTATAATATTCATGAAAGGAGTCGTATAATCTCAATTTCGTGTTTTAACTCTTCTCAGTTCTTCTTAAAACTCAGCATCCAAAAGTTCATGAAGTGGATGACGCGATCACTCACATTACCGTACTCACCGTGTACGGGAGACTGCAACCAGTTTAAAATATATATTTATATGTATATTTATACCCCACAAAGAAAACATTTAAGGGAATGAATCCTTTGTGTGGTTATGAGATTGAGGTTGGTTTTGTGGAACCTTAGCACGAAGGTGCTCTCAGGTAGGGGTACAAAATCTGGATATTCGCGGTAACATGATGGTATCAGTTCAGGATATATTATAGAGCAAAAAGGGAGAGAAAGCCGATATTGAAAAGCAAACAATCATTAACTGTCGACGGGGAGGAGGACGGAGGCAGACTCTACAAAAACTACTCTTCTCTCGTTGGTTTCATATTGAAATCTCTTTGTGCGTGCACTCCAATTAGGGAAACACTGCAGCAACCAAGCAAACTCAATTCATAAGACTTTTTGCCTGCCACTTGTTCCTCCATTCACTCACTCAGTCACTCACTACCATGAAAGCAAACAAGGCTTTGTCATGTTCTGCCAAGTCAGCAGAATGTTCCGATACCTTTTCTCAAAAATATTTTTTTTAGATTTTATAGAATCTGGAATCTCCACACATGCCTTTAATTAATGCTGTAATAATAGTGATGCCGAGGCCAGACGATGATGGTGAAACGTATTTTCTCACTCGCATAAGTTTCAGGGAGGGATGAAGGCAGACATTAATTCTGCATCACGGAATAAGTGGGTTTGTTGCGAGTAATCCATCCTCCCATTTCGCTGATTATAAACACGAGGAATCCAATGATTTGGAAATGTTGGTGAAAGTGTTTTAGCCTCCTCGACAAGCACTACTCACTCTGTTTGTTGCCATCAAAACAGTTCTCTAACGGGAGGTCAGGTGAGTTCTCAACAGGAGGAAGGCTGGTTGTGGGGGAGCAAGGATGATGAAGAAGAAGAAGCATTATTGTCTTCCCAGAATTCATGGCCCGGCTCGACTCGACCGACCTAAAGCAATATATCTCCCAAAACAAACGAGCTTACTGTCTCCATTCTGAACTTACGCTGTATTTCCTGTTTGTCAAATCTGTGTGCCTCGAAGGTAGTTTCGTTAACTTTATGCCCACCAATCTCGTCCAAATGATTGCAATATTACGATCGTAGCAATATTGGAGATGATTATCATGCTGGCTTACAGTTTTCACTTCGTAATTCAAACACATTTAAAGCATGTGGATGAGCAGATGATTTGGCAATAACGGTCAGATCCTTTCATCCCGATTGAGTTTGACGTCAATGTTGGAGCATTGGTGAAGGCAATGAAAAATCAATGAAATAGAGTGGCAAACCGTAAAGCTTCCAACAATGTTGATCTAAATCAATGGTGAGAATACTGCAAACTCTTTCAATAATAGTATTTTTGAATAATTAAAGCAAAAAAGTTGTAGGAGACGACAAATGGTTGGACGGAACGACATTGTGTACATTTTTTTCATTATTGCACCGAATTGAGTGGGTTGGTGAAAGTATGAAGAATGACGACAGATCCAATCTCATTATGTTTAAGCTTGTCATGTGATTTATACTTCCAATGCGATTCCATTGCAAACCACAGTAATGTGGAGGGTGCTGTATTCATTTATTCATTCAATGTGGATCTCGTTTGACAGTGGTGAAATTGAGTGAGCAGGTTTCTCATCTCTGGGTTTGGAGGAGGACACCTAGCTATAGTTTTCCCTTTGAATTGTGATTCTTTGCAGGACCGCTTAATGTTTAAGATTAATGTTCCAAACGTTACCAGAAAACAAACGACTTCATTATTGTCGTCAAAATTCCATTTCAGTTCAGTATGGGATTGAGTAATGGGTAGGATGGTTTGTGGTGTATATTTATACGGATCTCCACCATCATGCCACCAGGGACACGGTTTTATATCTCCCAGTGATACTTTCCAAAAGCACCTGCGTTCTATGTTGGTCGATTCCATTCAATACCAAAATCCAACCTGTCACTGCGAAAGCATTTTTTGGTCTTGCGAGTCTCAAATATCAATACAGAAATGCCAGTGTACTAAATGGCTATATTACGGCGGGCCACTTCTTATGATCGCGCTGTGATGTGTAACACTGGCTCTGCGTGGGGCAGGATATAAATACGTCTCATGATTTTGCGTATCAATTTTATACGTCAATTGAGCTAGGAACAAACAGGAAAGCACTCTATCGCAGAAGGACACATTAGTTTCCCCTTAAACCAAGTTGGTTCTCTCATCACTACAACTTTCTCCACCAACTCGTCTTGTCTCAACTTGTCATGTCACGTCTTTTATACGTGCAATTTTTATTGACGTTTGACATGATCACCACTGGCAGTGGGTTTCTCGTAGAGTTGTTGAGTTTCTCTATTCCGTGAAATGTCTGACCAGAGCATCAGGAAGGAAAGTTGTGTAATTTCACGGCATTAACTATCTCCAGCAACGTGATGTACAGTTTATATTTATAAGCAATAGAATTCATCTTGTGAGGAAGAGAAGTGTAAAATATATAGAAAGTTAATATATTAGAGAGACGTACCAAATCTAAAAGTTGAGAGAGACGAAGACCCAGCCGGACCAGCACGGTGTCCGTGTTATTGTACACGGGTCGTATGAGCCGATTGTAATTGCTGAGCAGATCGTCATAAAGTCTTTTTGCATCAGGATTAGCTCGAATTGGGCACAAGTTTAGAAGTACGAGAAGAAGGAAAATATAGCCATTAAATCGTCTGACACATATAGTCCCTGGATGGCAATAACGACTGAAATTGATCGCAGGTGACGATAACAGACGAGTCGATGTCGTTGTTTTGAAGCGACTTCTTGTCCTCGTGTCCGCATCATCTTGATGGCATCGGACACGTTGAAAAGCGGTGGAGTCTGATGGAATCATTATCACAGAGTTCGCTAGTTGGATTTTCGACTACCGACAAAATTTGTAAACCAGGCAGGAAATCCTCATGAGATTGAATACAGCAACGCAGTGTGTATCCTTTCACTAGCTCTGGAGCTCAACTATTTGGCTGCACCACTTTCTTTGCAGGCTTTCATTCCCATGAATTCAATATTGTTTATTTCTCAATGTAACCCTCTCAACGGCAGAAGCAGGAGACGTAGTCGTAGTAGAAACAGCAGCAGCATGCATGGTGGTGATGTAATGTGATGGTTTCTTCGGGCTCTTTTTTCTTCTTGGAGTCTGTCCAGCACGTTTTTCCTCGGCGTCCTTTATTAAAAACGGGAATCCTCCGCAAGTCTGCGTTCCAACACCGAAATTGTTGTAACCCTGCCCCAAACACAAAATTATACAATGTGTAAAATACGGCATCAATAAATGCAAGGCCAAATACTTTACATAGACTTTTTCAAGTGAGGGCTTATACTTATAAAACAAGTAACAAAAATATTCATCTCCATTAAAACTTTCTCATAATGATCATATGTACATATGCACTGTGTGTATGCGTCTAGGTTCATGGTACCTTTACGTCATTAGAGTTTTGGCCGAGTTTCAAACTACACACCCTCCAGGGAAATTCATCATAGCTTTGTCGTGGTGGGGAACGTAATATGAAAAATAAATTTTCCTTCATTCCAACAATTTTGTGTAAATAAACAAAGAGAATTAATTTAATCATACACAAGCTTCAAATAATACACCAATTATAATTTCAGGACAATTCTTCTGATACTTTTAATATATATCACCAATTTAATTTATAATTTCCCTACCAAAATTTCAAATACGTGTTTCTGTCCATGCAAAAAAAGTCAATGTTATAGTAAAAGAACACTTTTACATTCATGAGCCCTACAAACGTCTCTTTTTATACTAGCATATATATATAAATATATACGATGCTCATATTTTTGCTGCAAAATTTTATTACTAATTTAAGTTTTATAGGCTATTTCGTCAACAATCAAACAAATTAAATGTAAAATAAATTACTTACCAAAAAGTAAATGGGTTATTTCGAATTTCACATGTTTCACACAAGTATGCCACTAAAACAAACTTCTTTGCTCAATCGGAGAAACGGTGAAAGCTTTGGTACACATATTTCCTTAGTTCATATCTCGTCAGCCAACCCAGTCTCAACAACGTGATATTGCAGGTTAATTATTTACAGAACAACTATTATTAAAGGTATATATCAAAATATTATTTAAAAGCCGGCAGTTTTACTAGTGAAAGCCAATCAGCTTTCTGTGGAGCGGTATGTATGCATGTATATAATGCAATTGATAGCGATTTAAATAATTTCACCACACGTCCACCGATGCACCACAATAATTAAGAGTATCCAACTGACTGAGGTTCATCAGACCGATTTCAAACCCAAGCACTCAAGCTAATTGATAAAAACGTGTCGTGCAGAGTGAGTTTGAGCTGAGCTGGTTTTCGTACCGTTGGTGCCATGGAATAAATTGAACTCTGCAGATAACATGAAAACCGACGTACTTGGAACTTGAGTGAGAGAAGACAGTCTGCAGATTCCTTGGTTCAGTCCCGGGAACGAGGAGAGAGAGAGTCAGGACAGAGTTTGGCAAAAGTACGGCTGCTGCTGGAGAAAACTAGTGGGGAGCCGACAGCAGACACAGAAGTAGTCGCCGTGGTTGGTGTTGTGCATGGAGAGCCTGTTGCGAGAGTGCTTTGTTGGTCGTCTGCTGCTCTCTGAGCGAGGCGAATTTCCATTGGCAGCCATTGCCCGTCCGTCCATAGAAAGGAGCAGAGTCGTCCTATGACTTGGCACGGAGAAAGCAGATCCTCTGTCTGCCTGGTGAAAGCATGGACGAGGAGCAGCAGCAGCAGCAGCAGCGGTGGTGGTGGTGGTGGAGGTTGGATGGTTGGGGCAATGTGCCCGCCGCCAAGGAGGGGGAGGCAGAGTCGTAGTCGTCGTTTCCCGAACCCTTCCACTGCTTCAACCGTATCTCCAAAATTCAAGTCCCAACCAACCTTCGAGTGCCGGAGCACAGCCTTTTGGTCCGACTTTCTCTGGGTAATCTCCAAATATTCTCCTTCCTCGTGACGACTATTACTGCACCACCACCCACAATACTGATACTCGCTTCCTATATATAATACCCTCCTGGACAAAGCGAGTCTTATTTCATTGTCCTTACGAGGACAATGTTAGTTGTAGAAAGAACCAACCCACATGCATGCACACATACATCTCATAGTAGCAGAGGAATTTGTTTAGACGGTCCTTCTCCCATCTCAGATTCTGCCAAAAGATTTGGTTATGTAGCTCTGTCTCTGCATTATCTAATTTCCAAATCATAACATGAGCCGCACTCTTGACTGAAATAATTCCAGTAATGATGGCTTTCCATTCAGTTCATTTGGAAGAATGAGAAAATTATGTACACCCACAACTACGCCTTTCCACTAAGTTGTTTATAACTTTTAGACGGACTTGGATATGCATTGGTTCAGTTCTCATGCATTTGATATTGGCTTGACTTGTCGGGATGAGAGCCAGAGAGCAGGGTAACTAATTGTTCTCCACATTCCACCACCCAACTTCCAAAACCAGCAGGAAGTCAGAGGAGGAAACTGTTCACTTCCTATTTGTCAAGTTATGTCTTTCATTACGACATCGCGAACCAACTACTGTTGATATTTTATCATGGCGATAGGAAATTCTGCTCGGACGAAATTAACTAAATACAGACCAGACTTCTAACAAGGGACACTCACGACCTGTCGTTTGAGTCCAGGGTACCCACTATGTTTTTTAGAATCTACTAGGACCCCAGATGAAGGATTCATTCATATTTCCGTGTAAAACTCATATTTGGCGTCGTGCCGTGGCGCCAAACTTAAAAATTTGTATTTTCGACCAATTTCAAACGCCCATAACTTTTGCAGTTTATGTCGGATTTTCAAAATTTTATGCTTAAAATGATCACAAAAGTAGAAATTTTTGACAAAAAAATAAAAATACAAAATTTCTAATTTTTGAAATATTTTTAGCATTTTTTCGACCAACCTCCATTTCTAAGAAAATTACGAAATTTTGCGAAAAGTTAAAAGTGATAATTTTGGAAAAAATTTCATGGAATACGAAAGTTGAACTCCTTGTCATGATTTTTGCCAAAAATTTTGAAAATCCGTCCAGGATTTCAAAAGTTATGGTGGTTTCAAATATAAAAACATTCAAATTTGACAAATTTGGCGCCACGGCACGACGCCAAATATGAGTTTTACACGGAAATATGAACGAATCCTTCATCTGGGGTCCTAGTAGATTCTAAAAAACATAGTGGGTACCCTGGACTCAAACGACAGGTCGTGAGTGTCCCTTGTAAGTGGAGATTGGCACTTTTGCAGCATTCGTTGTTCATCATGTTGCAAGACTGACATCCTATTTTCTTAACCAAAATGAATAATTTTTTTGCCAATTTTCTTGTTTATTTACTTTTATCCCTCACTAATATTTTTTGTAATGTTCATGAATAGTTAGATTTTGAATCTTAAAAAAATAGATATTTATATAGCACACACTGTAAATATCTATTATTGGATATTTGTTCTAGAATTTTGCATATGTTATACCTACACACATATATGTATGCATATGTATATAAATGCGTCAAACGTGTGCACATAAGGTACAATCTTTTCATAAAATCTTGGCCCTCGATCCTAAATTCTTCCACCCGAGGAGATTTGAAAGGGAAAAGAAAACAAAAGAGCAGTTTGTGACTGGTCACATATCTGGCCAGCCATTTGAACAATTTCATCTCGTGCAGTTTGACAACTAAAACTGGGTTTCGAATTCCGAAAGTTGGAAATGTACCAAGCAAGAATTGGAAGAGAATGTTATACTAAAGTTGAGCAGAATATGTCCTGTGCGGGTGGAGCCTAATAGTGAAAAACCATTCATTTCTCCTCTCTCCAACCAACTCTCTTGTCCTGAGGCCTACGGTTTTTCACCATTAGGCTCCATCCGCACAGTACATATCCTGCTCAACTTTAGTATAAAAGGTTAATACTAAAGGCTGGAACTCTTGTTTCTATCTTTTATTCAGCAGAACAAACACAGTTTTGCCAGGAGGTTCCGACATAAAACTTTTTGGTCTTGTTGATTTTGTCCCGTCTGCATCTACTCCAACCTGTCGTCGTGGCTGTAGCAAACATGACGAGTGAGTTCAATCACAGAACCATTGTCCATGCTTTGAATGGGAACCGAATTTAGTTATATATGCGTTTAAACAAAAATCCTGACGGTTCATTTGTCCCAAGCAGACAAGTGTTTCACGACTTTCACCGCCCCAGACACGACAAAAGTTGAAAGAAAGTTGAGATTTTATTTCTCAACTTACTTATTTGTAACTTGGTAAGTCAAATTGCGAATCTGCCACCATTGGCTTTAGCTCGAGATGCTGTTCAATGTTCAATCAGGCTCTTTTTTTGGGAATTCAAAGCTATATACAAATTATGCGATTTACAGGAGGCTAAATCCCTTGTCGCAATTTAACATTAAGTGACTTTATCTTTCTCTCACAAAAACCTCCAGCTAATACAGAGACTAGTTCAGGGCACAAAGAGTGTCACATGCATATTTGCTTCTTTGAAGAAAAAAACTTTTCCTTCCAACTTTTACTCAAATTCTGGGGCAGATGTTGGATTATGTAGAGTCGAGTACAAGAGTGAATTTTTAAAATCCAAGTGCATTTTTATTATTTTGTCAACTTTATCGCCTTCAAACTGTCAGTATATTTCATGTGGGCTTTAAGGATGGGAAAATCAAATTTATTTCTGCCCACGTACTCTGCTAGATCCAAGGACAAATCTTTAATAATATATCAAAACCGTAATCAGTAAATCTAAATGGTATGCTCAATCACGAATATAGTACATATACGTACGTATTTCTATTATAGAATCGAATCGATGTTTCTCATCTACAGAATGATATTGAGCTATAAAATAGTTCCAAGAAATGTTATTACGCAAGTATTACGTAACAGGTATTAAGTATTCCATGGTCAAGCTTAGCAGGTATCCACACTCAGCCATTGAGATTGAGGCTTGAGTCCACTGAAAACAGGCTTGTTTCTCAAATTATATAATGCATTCGTGATAACGAGAAGAGAGGAAAAGTAATCAATGTTGTGATAAAATTAACAAAGCACAAGAAGGTTTTGTATTGCAAGGTTGATCCGTCCTAAAAATCCAGATTGGATTAGATTACTTACAGAATCAATGGCAGAAAAGCCGTGAATCACCGCGACTAGATTTATCAACGACATGTGGCAGACACAGCCCCACAATTCCACTCTGTTATCAGAGGAAAAACCCGACAAGAAGGAAACGACCTGCCCACGTGCCTTGCACATAAACCAAAGTTCTGAGGTCGAAATAAGAAATTGTGAAGCGTGTGAAGATTGTGAAGACTTTGAGCATATAACCAACGAGGTCAGCACATTTTAACCTGCAATTCGGTTACAACAAATCTTCTAGAAATGCTTGGAGATTATGAAACCAAACAATCCTTCAGCTTAAATCTAAAATACGTAATTCAAACCCACTTTCATACACTGCTTCAATGCAATTAATACTAAAGTGCTATTACATAACGCACAATTGTTCCTTTTCAAATGTCAGAATGCTACAAGACTTTTAAGCAACAACATCTGTGTGGCACCATTGATGATGAATGTTATTTAGGATAGTAAACCAGCATCATTCTCGTTGCAGATAGTGGTTAGGGATTTTCTTAGCTTGTATGTTTTGTGTACAAACTTTTGCAATGAGCTATTCAAAAGTTTTGCTGGAAGTGGAAAGTTTCAGATCGTGCGTTTCATTCGATCGAAGTCATCTTGAATAAGCGGGCTTGTTGGGTTAAAGTTATTTCTACTATTTCTCTAATCAACCTTCTTCTTGGACGTCAAAAGATTGTGGTCCAAACCATGTTGCATGTTGGCCCCAAGCTGAAAAGTTATTAATAATACAGCAAAAGAGAAAAGTCCCAAAAAACGTGAGAGACCAAGGACGGTGGTTATATGTAGTTGACCGTTATTGCATATTGCAACATCACATCAACTTCAAAACCAGAGCCACAAATAAGGAAGGAGCACTTGAGCTGACGGGTGTGCTGTCGTTCCCCAGCCGAGGTTGACTGGAACTGGCAATTAAAATTTATGAGTAGAGTTTGTCCCTGCGTATGTTACAAATCAAACAACCAGCAGTAATGTCAGCCGTCCTTTTTCTGGGGAAAGCAACCTCATTTTCCTGCATTTGCTGCTAAGTGAGTGGGTGGTTCCTCGTGAAGGGAAAATGGCTTCCACTGTTTCTCCCACCAAACTGGTTCAATTTCCACTTTGGTGCTCCCACCACCACCAAAACCACCCTTGAATCCAAGTCGCATTTTCCAAGAGATGAAGCCGAGTCTCGGCGTCGTCGGTGGCGGAGAGAGGGAGAGAGTGTGATGGAAGTAGTTAAACTGGCTGGGCTTTCTGGATAGCTGACACGACTGACTGAGTTATTAAAGTGATATTACGATGGGGAAAAATATATGACTTTTATAGCCACCCAGTTCTGTCTTCAGTTTCCAATGCGAGGGAACGTAATGATTTCTCGAAAAAGAAAGCAACTTTTTCTCTCCGTCGTCGTCGTCGTCTTTCTTGAGTAATGCAATGCAATGGTTCAAGATTATCCTATCCATCCCCTGAAACTGGATTCTTTTCCACTCGCCTTACTTTACCTCGACCCGTCTACCACGAAATAACAAGACAGCGGAATAGAATGTCAGGGTATAAACAGAGAAAGTGAGAAAGAAAAAGAGGAAGATGACAACAAATTCCTAGATATTTACTACGGAAGGGTTCAGAGATGAGGGGAAAGTGTATGGCAGTACAGCACTGGATTTGACTCTAGTTATTAAATTTTTTCATGCCATTTATCCCTTCCACGATGATTCATATGTGTATCTTCTCTCTCTCTCCTCTTTCTCTGCTGTGCTCCTTCTGCACTCTACATAAAAACGCATGTGAGTAACTCTTCTACATATTCAGTGCTTCACTTCATCTTTAAGACAAACACATGAATTCGATTCAAACTAAACAGACAATTGTGGAATTACGCAACGCTACCAAATTCATTTTTCATTCAAATTGCAAGTACGTAATTGTGGACAGCTTCTTGAGACTCGGGAATAACATAAACTCTTGGTGTTTTTCATATCACTTTGGAATATAAAATACTCTGTGCAAGACACAATTCTGCAATTGAACGGCCCGAAAAGTGCAAAAATTGCATGCCACTGTGAAAGTGGAATAGCTATTTTTGGACGGAGAAGAAAGTCAAGCAGAAGAGGGAAAAGAAGTGAAGAACATTTTCTTTCAATAACAGTTCCACCAAGATAGTTGTTACATTCCGTAACTACTCTTGTGTCACTTGAAAAATAAATTGAAAAAGGACACATCCACCCAACGACGCTATACATACTTTCGGCAGTGCAGTGGTGAGAGTTGGAGTAATAGAAAACAAATGGAGGAATATAAAGAAAAAGCATAAAAACAATCTTAACAATAAGAGTTGGGTCGTTGTATTTCGACCCATGAACAAAACGCTCATGCGAGTGGTTGAGTCTACGGAAGAATCCAAATTTCGAAAAATGTCAGACAACATTTTCCTCTACATAGATTCGCCTGGGACGATGGTGGCATAGGAGACTCTGTGGACCACTTTCTGTGTCCATCCATTGTTATGCATCCGATTTGGAGAGATAGAGTCACACATGGCCCTGCCCTGACTGGGCCCTTCCTCTGGTGAGGAAGAAGTCGTGTGTGGATGAGAGTGGTGGGGATCCATCCGCAGTGGGAGAGCGAGCGCGGAGAAAGCAGAGGAGACTTTCTCTCTCCAGTCTTGCGTACTTCTCAATCGAAGTCTGCTCCTTGAGCTGGAGCCACTCCGACGTTGGCTTTCTGCTTCTCTCTCCTCTCCTCCACATGAATTCGCTCCGCTTTTCAGATCCCTAAGACCAACTGCTTGTGGAGCGAGGATTCCGAATTTTCTCCCGTGCTCAGTCCCACTAAATCTAGGAACGTCTCGTTTTTCAGGAGCTTCTGCCCTCAAAATTCTGTAGCTTCCCAGTACTGTGAGAGCTTTCCTTCGTGTTGTTCCTGTCACAAATCCCTCATGTTGTTTGGTTCGTCTGAAACAATTAAAAAATAACCAGCGCGAATAAAATTCAATAAGGAATCAGTGGAAGGTAGCCTCCTTCTATTTTCGCATTCAAGCATATCGGGAGCTCTATAGTCATTCCTATAACTTTTGTAAAGGTAAGCATTTCATGCTTTACGAGCAATTAATGTACAATAAAGGTTGCCGGTTGCAGTATAGATTGTCCTCCCGGATTTGCTTTATGGATTTGTTCAAGTATTCGATCTTGTCTGTGTGTTTGAACTTTTACTTAAACACTTGAATTGAGTACCCTGTAATTTATCGGAATCATGAACTCGCAAAGCAGGGATAAACATAATTACGTGGTGCTTGGGTATTTGTCTCTCATTTGACTGCACACTTGTTTCAAAAGAGTTCATACAATTTATGCAAGCATCTCTTCAAAGAATTGTTCACCACCGTTTTTTCCACAAAGTCTACACTCTTCAGGAAATTCAGAGCATGGAACATTTTTATGCATTGAAACTCGCCCCTTTTACTTTACAAAGTTAAGCTCTGCACTTGATTGATCGTTGTATTGACACAATTTGATTGAGTTAAACTTAATTGAAGGATACATCAGCACAATTTTAATAATAGACCCGAGCATATAATGCCGTCGTAGTGCAGATAGACGACTTTCCCAACTTTCTCTCACCCAAGAAGTTTTGCCCGAATTCTATAGCCGTTGACAGGCATTTGGGATGTTGTGACCATGTTAAGAAATGCCATTAATCATGTTATGACGTGGAGCTAGGCAAAAAAGTGACAGCCGAAGCAACTCTAGTAAACATCTGCAAAAGCGATATTTAAACTCCAAAAGAATTCACCCCACGCGGCGTTCTTTTAACTTTGTCTGTCGGAGAATGTTTTGTTATTGTTACTGAATGTTGCCTGCCAATGGCTTGAGAAATGAATTAATTTGAGGGTTACAAAATAACGGAAGCAATTATATTTGCTGATAATGTGAGTGTAAAATGAGTTTCAGATCACTCAAAGTCAATGTCAATTACAGTTTTGTTTTAGCATCCACGAATTTATGGAGAAAGTAGTAAAACTTTTACGACCCTGTGCGAAAAACCGTACCCGTCAACCGCATTTGACGAATTCACTTCAGTCATCATCAATATTTCAATTTTATATTTACTTTCTCTGCAGAAAGAATTCATGGACGTGACAGTTTAGCACATGAATAAATACATACACGTCGTGTGAAGGATGGCGAGCTGGATGCTGCAACGAAGAATGATGTTCACCCTGCTAGTCATGGCCATCGGATTCATTCCTTCCAAAATCGAAGGCAACCCGGAGGCTAAGCGTTTGTATGACGACCTTCTCAGCAATTACAACCGACTCATACGACCCGTTGGAAACAATACGGACAGGCTCACAGTGAGGCTAGGTCTCAAGTTATCTCAACTAATTGACGTTGTAAGTTTTTAACAAGTTCTTAAAAACGCCGTGTTTTACGGTCTTCTAAAAATTGTACTTTTCTTTAATTTTTCGTCTTTGTGCTGTATGTGTCTTTTGTTAAAGGTTCAAATCAGAGATTCGGCCTATTTATATCAATATACAAGTTACAAAGCTGAATATGCGCTTAATTATCTCAAAAATTGATTTTCATGATAATGTCGTACTTATATAATAATAATACGCATTAGTGCAAACTTTATCAGCAATGGCCATGTAATTGAGCAAATAAGTTTTGTGGGAAAATGTCCTATAGCAAATGACTCTGCTCACGTTTGTAGCACAACGTCTTGCAATGTTGGCGAGGGAGACAAAATGAAAGAGGGTAATTTTTGAATTATCTGACAACAAAATTGCATTTCCGTTGAGTTTTTGGTGCTTTTCTGTCATGCAAAATGCAAGAGGGGATGTTCCCTGAAAGGAAGTATACGGGCGCACACAATGAGGGAATGCTGGTGGCAAGAAGAGAGGAGTTTGTGATAAATCTTGCATAATAAAGAGACTTGATTCCATCGTGAGCTCGTCTTGTCTTTTTCTCCGTTCAATTTTCCCTTTCGCTTTTTTCCTTCGCTTGCGCGAATAAAAGAATGGAGAAAATAACAAATATCCGGTTTTTTAAAGCACACCATCAAAAAAATAAGATTGCACGACCACGCGAGATCATTTCTGTATTGAGAGATAAAAAGTTGTTCGAAAGAAACCCAATAATTGGATCCTTATGGCGAAGATGCATGTATGTATGTGTACATACATACACACGTATATTTCAGTCCCAGCATTACAATTTGTCCATTCATAGTATCTATACACGTGTAGTTTGTGTCGCTAAAATAACTCGCTCTTTAAACAGTATGCGTGTAAAGATTCACAATAAATGGGTCAAGAATACCTATACAAAGTCAAATGTTAAATTTGGCATCACGTACGTTGCGATTATAAAATATGACAAATAATAAATAACTCTGGAGCATTGACGAGAATACTCACACGAGGTTTCCCTTTCTCATTGTGGTAATGCTTATGTATGACACGAGCAATAAATAAGTACACAGGACACATCTGAAAAATCCCGAGGACGGGATTGGAACCGCAGGAGGAGGGAAAGTACCAGAAGTCGCTTGTCTAACTGCTGCTGGCAGAAAAATCAGCACCCATATCGGCACCATCATTCGCTCTCATGGTGGCAAAGGTACATCCATCATTAGGTGATTGATTGATCCACAGACACTCAAGCGTGCATGTTTTATTGCCTTTCCCTTCCATTCCATTTCCAACGCTCATCCCATTATCCTTGCTTCCCCGACACCAACCATCCAACCAGTTGGGCTCCCATTCATTTCCCAATATCCCACTTTCACCTCACGCTCAAATTCCATTTTCCTGACCGGACTCTCCTCAATCAAACCCACACACTGAGAGCAAACCGCACAATTGGCTATACATGCTCCTGTAGCTGATGGACAGCCAAAGAATTTATACTGCTAACCAGATACGTCTACATATAGTTATATCACACATGTCAAAGTTGGTGCATATGTCTTCAATCTCCTTTTTTCGATGCAACAACCCTTTATGCATATTCAGACGGAAAGATGTGATTCAGCAATCCTTGAAATACCTCGTCATTAATCTTTTCGATGGAAATCTTATAATGATCTAATGTCTTGCGATTTTCAGAATTTGAAGAACCAGATCATGACCACCAACGTATGGGTTGAGCAAGTGAGCAGTTTTTTTGTGTTCCTTCCTTCTCAAGTTGTGGTGATTAGCATATGCAGCATAAACATGATACTTAATAAATTTTTGCTTTGAATTTTTTCACTTATCTCACTCGGTTGAAACAGAGGTAACAGTCTACAAAGCTAAATAAATTAGGAAAGTATCCATTTTTTACTAATTTACTAACATTATTCAGTTGGTCAGATGTGAAACTTAGCTGGAATCCGGAGGATTATGGAGGTAATAATCAATTTAATTGACTTAAGAAATAATCCTGGCATTTAGTATTGTAATGCACATTATAATTATACAATAATCTACACAATTTTAAATTACAGGCGTGGAGAGCCTGCATGTTCCTTCCGAGCATATTTGGTACGCGACCACGTTACATTGATGTATTTATTGCGCTCCAATTGTTCCTCATGTGTCATACCTCACGTGATTAATTATCCTTTGTATTAAAAACAGGCTTCCAGATATTGTGCTGTATAATAAGTGAGTCGTCTTTCCCTTGTTGTTAGCGTGCACTTTAGGTTAAGAATGCTACCCACTCTGAACAATATGTAGGGTGAAAGTGCTTTCTCATGCCTGACTAATTTATTGCTACTTAAATTTGTAAACTTTTAATACGGACGAATATACGAAAATTTAATTTCCATTGAGCTAATAATGTGGTTCATATTAATTAACTATTTTTCGAGGCGTTAATTTGATTAATTATAGAATTATAATTTATTTTTCAGTGCGGATGGCAATTATGAGGTAAGACTATTTATTGTATTATGCGGACATACCAGTTGTCCAGGCATGTATATACACATGTAGAAAATATTTGTATCAGTTTCATAACGTTATTATTTTTCCTTTAAGATTACCATCATGACGAAGGCTATTCTAAATTTCACCGGAACAGTAAAATGGACACCTCCAGCTATTTACAAGGTAATTAATCTACAGGGCATTTTTAACCAATCAGGCAGAATGGTTTTTAGAACCACAGACACCTAGTGCAAATTATTATCCTGCAAACAAAATATAACACTTAGCTTGCAAAAAGTAAAACAAAAGAAATATTAAAGGCGATGAGTAAATGTCGGTGAAAAACTACTTGGCGTCTTTTAAATTTTATTCACCCAACTTAATCAGCATACTAAATATTTCATTAATTGAATCTATCATGCAAAAAAGTGAGCAAACAAATAGTTTTCTAAATTCGGAGAGATTTGACGTGTTCAACTCCTCAAGCACAAGTGAAGTTTTTCTTGCACGCCAACTGTTATCTTTTGGAAGGAAGAGGTAATGTTTGAATGGATAACAACTAGCGTGGCTTGGATTATGAAAAGAAAGTCGAATTATTCCAATTCAATTTCATTTCACAATTCTGCATATTAATTGGGCTAAACTATAATGCAATGCGTTTACTATTTTCAAGTCATCTTGTGAGATAGACGTGGAATATTTTCCCTTCGATGTCCAAACAGTAAGTAATTACAACTTAATTAATTATTACAACTTAATTAATTAATTCTAATTACTCCAACATACTCTAATTTTAAAGTGCACTTTAAAATTCGGCTCCTGGACGTACGACGGTTACTTGGTAAGATTTATTAATTTTATATAATGCATATTTAAATTTGGACCTCTGAAGATTCTCAGCTAGACTACTTTTTCTTTATTTTTACTGTGAATTTTTGAACAAAATTGCTAGAAATTTATCAACAAATGTGAAGCTATTACTACAATTTATACTGGTTTATGAAATTCATGGTCAATTTGAAATACTAATTATTCTTCTATGTATTTTTTTAAATCTAAAAGCAATGTGAGGTTGTATACAAATAAGGGAAAGTCAGTGGTTCCTAAATTTCTTAAATCGCACAACTTTTTTTCCAATCTAAAGCCAGCTAATGAGAGTTGTTGCATAAAAGAAGAGACATTAAAGCAAATCACCTTCCCAAATAAACAATCGCATCGTTTAAAGTAGTAGTCAAGTGGAGTCTCAGAGAGCATTCTCCCTTACGAAAAAGAGAATCGGTTGCATGTTCAAGCATTTGCTTTCATGTGATACCTCCTACTTCGAGTGGTGGCGTGGAACAGTCAGCCTTTGATGAACGAATCAATAATTTACGTGAACAAGGTAAAATGTAGATTAACTTGTTGAATTTTCCTCAGGTGGATCTACGCCATATCAACCAAACGGAAGATTCGCCCGATATTGATTTGGGAATTGACCTCCAAGACTACTACATTTCAGTGGAGTGGGACGTAATGGGCGTCCCAGCAAAAAGAAACGAAAAATACTACAGTTGCTGTGAAGGTTAATTTTCCCTCACTTTCACCGACAAAAAGATTTAAAATAATTTATATGATAATAATGTAAATATTAATATAGAGCCCTATTTGGACATCACATTCAACATAACCCTTCGTCGGAAAACTCTGTTCTACACCGTTAATCTCATAATTCCTTGTGTTGGTGAGCTTACATTTTCAAATTCGAATATATAAAGAAATACATGTTGATTTATTAACGGCAAAAATAAGAATTTTTTAACGATCGTTGCAGGTATTTCTTTCCTCTCAGTTTTGGTATTCTACTTACCATCAGGTACAAAAAAAATGATACAATTATTCATGCTCTCCTTACACTTATGAATAATTTTTTTGATAGATTCCGGAGAGAAAATGAGTTTGTGTATCAGCATTCTACTTTCACTTACTGTATTCTTCCTCTTGTTGGCCGAAATTATCCCACCCACGTCCCTTGCAGTACCACTCTTGGGGAAATTTTTGTTATTCACCATGCTACTAATCACGTTTTCGGTAGTGGTAACAATTTGTATTCTTAACGTGAACTACCGGTCACCAGCCACTCATAAAATGGCCCCTTGGGTCCGAACAGTGTTCATCGAAACGCTCCCAAAGTTTTTATTTATCAAGAGACCCGACAAAGATGACGAAGACGAAGAAGATGACAATGACAACGGAGATGCGCCCAATCTGCAGATTTGTCACATTCACGGGTTCAACCCACCACAAGAAATTGATATGCCCTTCTATCCTTCACTCCCTTCGCCGATATTTCTTAGCGAGTCCGAAGCCCTTCGTCATAGTGTTGGTGACGTTAGAAGGTTCCCGACGGAAATAGAGAAATCTGCAACATCTTGCAGGTAAATTTGGAACGAAATTTCAATATAATACGAGCATAACCTGATTTTAAGAATAGATGGAAAACATTTTATTTGACTATTTCGAATTTCATTTTAGATTTGTTGCTCAACATATGAAAAATAAGGATCGCTTTGAAGCTATAGAAGAAGATTGGAAATACGTGGCTATGGTACGCGATTTAAACTACTCATTCCATCAAGTTTTCCATGATGGTACTTATACAATTTTTATCGGACTTTGACGAATATAGGTTCTAGATCGCCTGTTCCTGTGGATTTTTACAACCATTTGTGTATTAGGGACCGTGCTCATTATTTTTGCTGCTCCAAGCTTATATGACACCACGAAACCGGTTGATCTCCAGCATTCTAAAATTGCAAAGCAGAAAATGATGATGATGGGTCCGGAAGAAGATTAACCAAATGATTCAAATCGTATATCCCTTACATCATATAAACAATAAACTGTTTAACGAACACAATGTATATAAAATATACAATGTAAAATTCTTACTTTTTTGGTTTCACACAAAATATCTACGCTAAATTTAATTCGTGTTGGTTATGATCAAGTAAGAATCACAATACTTTCTAACACAAAATATAGCCTAATACTCAATAAATCTACTCTTATTTATTAGACATTGAGAGCTTTTCAAGAATAAGTTGAATGCAGGATTAAGAGAGTAATATAGCATTTAAAAAATCAATGAAAATTTAATTACGAGGAAATGCTGTGTTAAATTTGTAAATAACCCTCGAAATTAATATATGTATGTATGCGTAAATAGCATGTTTGTTAAACTAATAAATAAACTGCATTTTCTGTACAAAAAGTTTATTGAGAACAATAATTTGGTGTCGTTTCGGCAAAATGCAAAAATGAACAAGATATATTCACTCTAAGCAAGTTGTACAAATTAGTCAGTCAGTGGAGTTGCTACCATTTCTACAACGTGTTGAGCCTAAAAATTAAATCACAAAAGTTCAGATATGAATGAATAACACATTGCACAAATCATGCATATCCACATATGTACATAGGTCACAATGCAAATAATAATGTTATACGGACCGTCTCCCCAATTCCTAATACGCCTATTGTCCGTTTCCTAGAATTAGAACGCTGAATTCGTTCAATCCTTGCTTCCATGTGGGATTTAAATGGGTTGTTTAATGGGCCACTATAGGATGTACACGAGTCCTGTTAATTCGACCAATCGAATCAAATGGGCAGTCTACATATATGCCTATTTATAATTTATGTAGTAAGTCTCACGTTGAATACTTCGTTGTCTGCAGTTTTGCCCCTCGTTAGTGTTTCTCGTTGTGTGGCTTGCATAGCATTTCTAAATACTGATGGAAGTTTGGATGTATCGAGGAATAACACGCTATCGTTTTTATGGGCCCTGGAAGACGGTCTATATGTGACGCTGGAGGTGCAATACTTGGGCGATTTTGGTACGAGTTTTTCTTGCAGTAAAGAATAGCTTTGAAGATAAGGAGAAATTGGTCGAGATGTCATCTCAGCAATGTCTGTGCCATTCGCTGTATTAGCTGTGTTGCCAAAATGCTTAGACGTGCTTGTGCGTGTGATGGCTTTAAATTTCTCGATATTAGTTTTTCGTAGCTGTTCAAGGGCAATTTGAACTCGTTGACTTGGAGTCAGTTTGTTGTTAGCAGTAGTAGCAGCTTCTAGTAGTGGTTGACCAAGTGCTGTCATCTTGCTGGTCATTTTTTGCAGGGAACTTTTAATGAAAATTTAATTCTGTTAGCAATAATGATAAGAAATATAAGTAATACTAATAAACTGAAAGTATAATTACTCGTAATAATTTGTTTGGTTAAATATCCCAGCAGATCCATTACTCTGTTTCTTATTTTCGAGCACACATTTTTTCTTTCGGGACCGTCCTTTGGTCCCCTTCGATTGCTGTTGGACCGCTTCTGCTGCAAGTTGTGAGTTGAACTTGAATTTGAGGAATTCCTGATGATTTAAAGGATATGGAGATGCTGGCCTGCTCTCAACATATACTTGACCGTATTGAGTTTGTCGAAAAGATGTCAGCGTTTTAGTCCCCTTTACGAAGGACTCACTGTATCCATCGTGCATGCAAGGTTCTGGTCTCTGCTTTAAAAACTGTTCGTCCTCATAGTCTTTGAGGAAATATTCTTTATCCATAAAAATTCCATATTTTCCTGGATTGTCTTCGCTGAAGATCAACCTAAAGTTATTTTTGTATTTTTCTTCATGGGCAAACTGAGTTTTTAATGCATCTGGAATTGTTGCTGCATGCGGTGTGCCAGGTCGTCTGTTGTAGTTTAAAAATTAGGGGACGAATTACAACATACATTAAATGCATGCATATATTTGTATTCTGAAGGTATATAGATTACTGGACAGGATATTTTGTATTCGAACCTTTGAATGTTGTACTTTTTTTGAGTAAATGGATCACTTTTCCACAACTCTTCAGAAGAATCCTCACCAAGATAAATCATTGCAAAGAGATCTCGAACTAAACTGAATTTCACTTTACTGTCGACTGCTGTGTCCAAGTTGAAACTGGGAGAATGGTTGACCTCGACCAACATGGGTTTTAAGTGTCGATCTATGAGAATGTCAAATCCAAGGATTTCGAAACAGTAGCAACCTTTGTTTCTCTTCGGAAATGTCGCCCGATAAGTGTGTCTGACAATGTTGACCAATTTCAGTGAGAAGACTGTCACAATAAGTTCTACTGCACGGTGTATCATTACCTGAGAGTTGGAGCCACTCCTACAATGGTCTTCACAACAATATCATCAATGTCATTCTTCAGTTTCTGGACATCGTAACCTGCATAATTAACAAGAAAATGAATACTTTACATACGCACGTTGAATGTCTTTCGGACGTTGCATTTGGTTAATATTTTATCATGTATTACTTCTTACCCATGTCACCCATATATCTATAAATCTCGCTCAGAGGTCTGTGGTAAAATTTATTAAAGCACACTACTGCAAAAAACGTTATTTGTTGAATTATCGCCTATACCTTTTTGTTCCCCCACTTTTGTTAGAGTCAAAGGCGTCGCTGAATTTATTTAGTGAGTAATTGGTCAGGTGCATGTAAGTCACGTCCAGATTTTGTTCGGAAGGCATTTGATATTTTACTGTTGCAAATCTATTAACATTATTACTAAAATTATTACTAAAATTGTACACAGCGTTCAGTAATTAAAAAAACATTTTGTAATACTCTCATATACGGACCTTGCAATTCCGTCAGAATGTATATAAAATCTCAACGGATCAACGCAAGTAACAACCTATAATAATAATAGATTAAACTCATAAATTGAAATTGTGTGAGTAGCATACGAAAGTACAACGTAAATCCTCTGGTCAAACTTGAATCCGTCAATAAGAAATGGCTATATCAAAAGAATTTGACACAATTTTGATAAAAGTGAAATAAATAAACACATTTTAAATGAAAGAATATTTACTCACTTGAGTCACATATAACTGACACACACATTTTGCAAAGGGACACAACACTTTTAAATTACTGACAAGAAATATTCCTATAAATGCATACACATATGTACATACATATCCGTATATGATTATTTACATGCATAATACACAAATCTGATTTGCTTACCCTTCCCTTGGCATCCAGAGTCTGGCTTGACAATGTATGTAGTGTTTTTATGTCTTTTACCATAATCCAATAAATCCGTCATACTGTAAATCGTACAAATTAATCATAGCGGACTGAAGTTGGCTCTCAGTTAATAGAAACAGCATAAAATTACGAAACTCTGTTGGAAGATCCCAGGTGGTTGGGAAAAAATTGTAGTCGCGTGGAAATATGCGTTGTAACCGATTGAGATTTCGGCATAAACGATCTTTTCGACAGATTTCATACATTCCTGGAAAATGATTAAATTTCTGAGTAGGAGCTGAATTTGGTCCACCGATAATCTAAAGGTGGTTTTGAATGTGAATGTGAATTAGATATTGGGCACGGGTGAATTGTGAACGAGGTCGTTTCGACTATATTCAAAAACAATGAGATAAACACGTGCCTGTTTTCTCTTCATATCGTTAATTCTTTCATTTGTCAGAGGAATATCACTCCAGCACAGGGACCAACAGTCAGTTTCTCCGACTCCTGTGAAGTTGTTTTCCATTGACACCCGGAGTATCACGTCATATCGACAGCCCAGAACCAATAACCCTTTCCTGGAATTGTCATTATACATAAATGTTATTGTAAATCTGATCGTGCATCAATTAATAAATGCATAAATTTTAATAAACTAAAGATCACTTTTCAGCCTTGGAGTCATCATTGCTGTTGTCGATCTTAAGTATGGGCTTCGACTTAATCATTCCTGACTGACTGGGACCCTTTTGGAATCTTGAGAAGTGACGAGGAGACAAAACAGTGGGGTGATTACGAGGCGGACATGTCCCCTCTCCTTCATTGAGAAACACTATAGACACGCCCTACATCTTTTTAGACATACATGAATGAATGTCATTAATTTGGAGAAAGTATTAGTATGGAAACCTCACAAGTTGCAAATATTTTTACTTGTTGACTAATAATAATCATAATTTCGTGTGAAATACGTAATCATAATTATTATGAAACGTTTATTTTTGTATGTATGCACCTAGTCCAAATTGCAGTATGTTATTGCGTAATAATAGACTGACAATATCTTCCAAACTTCCTGAACTTTCACTGCCGAGGATCACATAAATAATTGAGACTACAATCCAATAAGTACATTATCGAATACAATCATGCTAAAAAGGGATCACTGGAGTCTGTGTCACCCAGTAAACATTTATGTCTACAAGAATGGTATAACTGGAGTACCTGCAACTCTGGTTCACATTCCTGCAGGTAAAAAAATACAAGGTTGACGAGTTTCATGTTTATAATTTTTACTCGAGAACGGTTTCATGTACGTAGAAAAGAAAAAGAACATGTCGGGTTTAATGGAGGTACTTCAGGCACGACTCAAGCTTTCAGTGGGTTATCCACAAAAGCTTTATCACATAAACGGAATCCGAGTCTGCCGAACGAGTGAACTTCAGATGTATGACGAATATGTGGTGGTGACAAACTTGGATACAAGATTTAGATGCGCCGAATATGGGAGACCGAGGTCACCCCTCGTGGTGATAGGCCCGTACTCTAGGCATGTATGTGCAGGACGACTGGACGAGTTTTATTGCTGTATAGGCTTAAGACGCCTGTCGGAAGGTCAAGGCCAATATTTAAATAAACCATGTTTTTTCGTTTAGGTCAGAAGTATCAATGTGAATGAACAAAATTTCAATATATTTAACATCAAGAAACGGAAAGTAATAACAAATTATGAAATTATAGAACCAGATATTTCTATGTTTATTGTTTTGTACATTGAGTTTATCGCATCAATATCATGTTGATTGCAGAACGAGGACAAGAAAACCAAGTTTGGTTACGCCTACAGTTTTGCTCAAGATGGGTTCGGTCCTTCCGAGCTTGCATACATCAATACCTCTACTTCAAGTAGAGAATGTGGGTCGCTGTGTAGAAATATAAAGTATACGAACTTAGAAAAATTATTATGTGATCCTTATCATGTTTAAAGTGAAAAGCTATTCATATAATACCTCGTTAATTTATTTTGTACATACATTCAGACGCTGTGTCGGTTGCAAGAATTCAGACATTTCCCCATTGCAACCTCCAACAACAGCCATGCCAATGACTAGCTGCAAAACTCCGGAAGAAGATGCATTTTACAAGAAGTATAAGGCAGAATGCGAGCAGATAGCACCCGTGTGTCCCACGTACAACCAACCAACACAGGAAATGGGGGTGAGCACAAGAGATTTCGAATTAGAATTGGACGAGCTTGCAGAGGCGGACGTGGACAGCGAGCATTTATTGGCATTCATAAATCGATACAAGGACATTGGAGGACAACTCTACAGAATGTTTCACGATCGACTAAATGAAGTAAGGCCACATTTATTTAGTTTTACAGTTACATTTAAGTATTTCGTCACCAATTATTTTCCCTTTTCCAAAAGGACTCGCAAAAAGCACAGAGAGATCATTGTCTAGATCCTGACCAGACCTGGTACAGTGAACATTTATTTAAAATGTTCATAAACAGGATGGATCAGAAGGTACATAAATACATAATGAATTTGTGGCTAAATAACAAATCTTTACACATAAATTACAGGAAAGCGGCAGACCATCTGGGACCAATAGTATGATATAAGAACGCTAATTCCAACAAATAAACTGAATTTATAGTGTAAAAAATGTGAAGCACATTTCATACATTGTTTGAATTAAAGGTGCCAAAGCCAACTCGAACGATACGCCTGGAAGCGGTTCTAAATGTTCAGCAAAAACTATAGAATTTGATCAATTGAGTGATACGAGAACTGGAGCAAAAGCAGTTGCAAATTCTGATCCAAATGTTAAACACTATCCACTTGTTGAAGTAGGTGCCCAAAAATCATTATCTTCTCTCGTCAAACACTGTTCAGTGCCAGCAGGAACAACAAAGCCACGCGATAACAATAAGTATTCCAACAACTACAAAGTTTACAATGCTTATGCATCGACAAGCCAAATGCACACATGTCCAGAATTTGATGATTTCCTTAAAAACAAATTGCTTGAAAATTTGCAAGAGAAAAAATCTTCAGAACATCACGCATCCGCAATATCTAGAACCAGTTCAGGGAATAATAATAATACAAGAAAGTATCAATGGCAAAATGAGGACTCCGTGAATAATCTGACTGATTCGATGTACGACATGGATAGACCGCATCAGTTTCTGCAGAAAGACACAATTGCTGAAGATGATTTTAACAGACAATTTTCACGACGGGATTTATCTGAACTTTCTCATCTTCCTCATGTAACACAACCTTCTGAAAGTTTGGATCAGTTTACAAGATTCTCACACCAACATGAAAATACACTGGAGCCTACTCGACCCTGGTATTATGACGATGACGTTGGTCAAAATATGACAACATTGCATGATAACATTTCCAGGGACCTGTCACAACATTTTACAACGTTTCCGCTGTCTATTCCATCTGAAACGGTGATCGCGGATGACGAGTTTCAAATTCTTCACCATCACCGAATACATGCCAGAGCAGATCGACATCGGCCCCCACCTCAATTTCAAAATGCTAGACTTCTGATACCCACGTATGACAACAATGGGAATTTCGTACATTATGTATTTCAGTAAAATCAGCGTTATTTCAAATTTTTTATTGAACTGAATCTCACTATTTGTACATACTTATTTATTTACATCTTGTAATACATCTCGTGATGGTTTTAATACAAATCAGTACTGCCCATGCTTATCATACACAGCTATCAAGGAGTTGTTGCTAAGAAGAAATACACGTTATTTATAAATTGAAGTCAATTTGCATTCATTTTTAATTATTATTAACAATCATTATTGTTTGTTTCAAAATTAAAAGTTACAATGCCCCACGCTACCACCCAGTGGTTCAAAGTAAATAATCTAACTTAAGGATTACTAGAAATCATGCTATAATAAATATAATAATGTTTCTATCAAATTCCTCATCGTATTCCACAAGTTCAAAGCGAAAGTCTTCCCAAAAATACTCTTCAAATTATTCTGGTATGATGACAGAATTTCTTTGTATACTCTGACTTATTATGTTTGAAATTTAGCAGCATATAAAACAATAGAAACAGTTAATCCGCAATTAACTAACGCAAAACACATTTTAGATCCTACAACAAAATCTAGTGGGAATGCCTACAACAACGCATTTTCGCTTCGTCCCACCCTAATCAGACCAATTGCTCCGGCCAACCGAGTTATTAGACTTATCGAGGATTCATCTTGTCGTCCACCTTGCTGCCCACAACCCCCAGCTGCCCCGCCCCCATGCATCCCACCACCGCCGTGCATGCCTTGCATTCCTCCTCCGTGTTGTCGCCCACCATGCTGCCGTCCACCCCCTTGCAGCTATCCATGCATACCTCCCTGTCCTACCCCATGCTGCCCCATGCCTCCACCACCACCATATTGCTTTCCCTTACGCCCAAGATTTTGTGGGCCATGTCCTCCAATATTTCCGTCGCCACCTTCGCCAATAATAATTATGCCCCCGTCACACCCTCCTCCTGCTCCTCCATGTTGGCCGTGTCCGATGCCTCTAAAAATCAAATGCAGCTGTCCTTGCCCTCGATTTCCAATTGCAAGCTCCCCACAAATGGGGTCCGGAGGGCAGAATGAGAAACATCCTTATTACAACAATTGCAACTTTTATGGGCCTGGTTTTGGTAATACAGATGAGCCCAATAATAAATCTTTGTTTAGTGCTGGAAATTCTATTTGTTCCTCCGACCTCCCAAATTCACCAATGAAGTCTCCCCCTTCAGCGAGACCAAAATTGTCAGTACATCCAGAAAAGGATATGCCATGGAATAGTGAGAGGGTCACGAAAGGAGGCAGGGACACTGCTACAACTAATAATATGCAATCCTTCTGGGGAGGTGGAAATCATCCCACTCATCACGGGGATTTATGGTCGCGCTCTATGGAAGGTAAACCGAAAACACCATTTTCATACGGATCGACTTGTAGACGACGGCGAAAGCTACCAGGCACAGCGACCTCAAATGATTCCATAAGTTTTGCAATCAATCGAGGTGAAATGACACGGGGTCGATTTCCACGAACTATTAGGATAGAGACTGTCGAACCAGAACCGCAGTCTCCTCCTCCACCAATTCCATTAGTTTTGCCCCCACGAAGACATTATCGAGGTCACCACCACAAACGACGCCACGGTCGTAAACGAAAACATGGGATTAATAATTCGTGCAAGAAATGCATTGAAAAATTCATTGATGAGCAAGTTTGTCGTCGACTAGAAGAAATATGCATTCCTGATCCTTGTTGGTGCGAACCACAAACAGGTTTGGAGGAGACTAGCATTCAACGGCGTACGAATAATAGCAACAATAAAAATCATGATGATAATAATGGATACAATCACTGTTAGAAATCGGGTATAGCCACGCTGGTGTTGATATCTCGGTGTTAAAGTGCCACCGCTAGTTATTAAAATTAAAATTATTATTAATTATTAGTACCGAGCTATTACTATTTAGTACCATTTTGGTAAAGTGATATATGAATGTTGGTATTATTTTAATACTGGATTTCTAAGAGTGATGGTATGAGGACCATTTTATAATATTTTTGTTGAAAAAAGTTTGTTCCATTCATTCTCAACTAAGGTTTAGATGAATATTTTTTGAGATAATTTTTTGGTTTGTGTATACATTTAGAAATTTCTAAACCTGCGACACCATCGACATCTGTCGCCGTCGTTGTGAATAATAATGCTGATAATAGACCACACTATCCACCACCGCCAGTTCAGTTACCCCAGCCAAATAATATATCGGTCAATGTACAATCTGCCCCCGTGGTACGCAGGCACAGTAGTGACCATCACCGCAATCATCATCCAGCCCCTTCTTTGGTGATCCAGCTATCAACAATTCTTCCTCCGCGATCACTACCGAAAGAGAGCAATTTTTCCCTTGCACTTGAATCAACAACCGTCACCACTGCCTTCCAGTCCCCGTCGATGGATAATATGATGCCAAAGACAACTGATTCTTTAAAAAGTTTCATAGAAATAACCACGAGCACGACAAAAATCGACATTGAGCGTCGATCACAAAAAGAAAATCATGATACTCAGAAAGAGTTACAACATTTTAAAAATGCAAATGCAGCTACGAGTAATTTGCACATCCAGACGGATCACAGCACACAAATAAATATTGAAAACGCTGTTAGTCCACCCCCATTGGAATGTGAACCATGTAAAGAAACGCCAGCTCCCGTAGTTGTAATTGCTACTACTCAGGAACCAAGACCTGCACGTTCTCTTCAACCTGCTAAACCCACCCAACCACAATTTATTATGAGACCTTCATTCTCTAAGGTTGACAGGTAATTTCCTACTTTTCTATTTTTGAAGTTTCTTTAATTCCAACTCTCATAATTATTATGGGTTAAGCCTGAGCGGGTTGAAGCCAGCATGCATTTTTTATTTTATACTCTTACAGCGTCGCTACCTCTTCTTTTGTTGACTATATATGTATATGACAGGGTTATAATTAAGAAGGACTCGTTAGAAAATGTGAGACAACGCCATGTGACCGTGTTCCGACATCATGTTCCGCACTCAATTATTCCAAACCCCAATTATGTTCCGGTAGAAAGTATACCCAATGGATGCGGCTCTTTCCATAAAACAGTAGCAGAATCTCATGAAATTCAGACCATAGCTACGGTCCGACCGCTGTCACAGCCAAAGGAAAATTCACAAGAACAGACACCTAACAAGGAATTGACGGAACACTCTCCGATCAATGTTGCCATGTTAAAGCCAGGCGAATGTGTTAAGATTAGAAACGTTGAAGTCAGTAATAATTGCAATGCAATTGCACAAACAACCAATACACAGAATACTAACAATGATAATGTGGTGTCACACTCTCCAACAAAAAATACAATGCACCCACCACATAATTTCCATCAAGAAATAGGTACACCTTCACTAACTGACAAACACGTTATCCACAATGATACTATTGTGGCCTCTGGAACTCCAAAATCCTTCAAGTCAAAACCGATCATATCTGACCCAAGGACTTGGCCACCACCACCACGGGTTTCATTGGATGAAGAAGAACTAACCAGCATTCTAGTGATTCCGTCAAAATTTGCTAGCACTTCTGGAAATATACCAACCATCCAAATTGACCAACAACATACAGCAATTGGACATGATCACAATACTAAAGACAAAGTCAATATATTTTACTCCAACGACGCAATTGACTCTCATGCATTTGCTCCCAACAAGAAAGCAACGCTACCACATTCAACTCCGAAGCTTCATGGAGCTACAAGCAGGACCACGCCACATCCTCCGTACGTTCATCAATCGCATCCAGGAAATACGTCGCATTCAAATATTTCAGCATCGCACCGTCGTTCATATCACCCTGAACAACCTACAGTTAGTCCAGTAAAGGAACTGGGTATGTTAAATTGAGTCAAACTTTCGAGAAATTGTAAGTCAGCAATGTCATATGTTGGATTTAGATGCATTTACGATAAATTATGGAAACCCACGGTCAAACGCGCACGACGGGAATGATGATCATCGCCCCACTTCGCATTGGCATTATTCTGCACAACCAAGGAAGCAACAACAGCATGATAAAAATCATGAACATGCTGATCAAGGTACGTATTCTACAGGTCCTCCTCTATATATAATTTCAATTGGTTGATTAAAATGTTTCAATCCAATCAATATAGAACCAAGCCACACCATTTCAATTGGTAATATCATGGAGGTCAAAATATCGAAAGCAGCAAACAATACAGAGCTTCGTGTAAATGGGCAAAAGGTTGATGTACACCACTCTCACTCTAGTCATCGCCACTAATCCAAAGTACGGATAGATAAAATAAATAGTTTGTTTCTTCATGCATTATTATACACAAAATTATTAATCAGCTATTTATCATAGGATTGGGAAACACACGCGACGACTTTTGACTAGTAAATTTATTAGACTTTTGATGGCTTGATGATACCCAACATACCGATGTAGGTATTGACGATTAAACATATTTATATGCGCTAAGAATTAAAGACAGTAGTCCAATTTAAATTGGCGTACGATATCTGCTACAGGCGGGGTTTAAATAATCGTTCGAAAATTTGAAATGGGTTAAACGCTTGTTGTTGTTCCTTGTCTCCTGGATGAATTAACCGGTTTTCATTGAACGTTGATTCAGGAGGAGCCGACGTATTCGGGATAAACTCTGTGGTTTCCACTTGTTCTCCTGTATCGCCATTTCTTGAGTAGCTTGTGATTTCTTTCCCATTGTTATTTTCTTTGATTATTTTTCCTTCCCATCGCTGAAATCATGTATGACAAAAACCGATTTGATTAATTTGTGAATAATAAGATAACAAATCAATCAAATTAATATACTCACCCCATTTTTGAAACTGTGTGTAGAATACACTCTTTCAAAACTAGACTGGATATCACCCCACCTTGGCGTTTGACTGCTTCTAGCAGTAGGAGGAGATGGGACAATGTCCTTTGGTGCCTCCGGTAAGTCAGTCAAGGGTAGCACAGAATTTGTAAATCTGTATATAATTTGGAGGATTATTTTTTACAAATAGCTTACAAATTTTTATTTCAAATTGTGCCGAACATGACACTCACAAATCATCCAAATCTTTGTCTATTTTCTCGGATTTGTCAAGAATAGGTACTTTTTCGGGTTCCTTTAAAACCCAGTTTCTCACATTTTCATCACTCTTTTGCAATGGCATAGGTAAACTTGGAAGGTCCTCCTGATGTGAACCAATAAACCCGTCTAGGTTTCCTAAATCTTTACGACAAAAATTAGCATGCAACTTCCTACTTTTATCGTCAGATTATTTATTATTACCTTGAAAGAATGAATCGATATCTTTCATTGACTGTTCCATTTCTTTAAACATATCTTCCATAGAGTTGAACATTTCTCCAAAAACAAAAGTTGACCTAAAATAGCAAGTTAAATAATTAAATATGTACGAGAACATTCCTTCTGAAAGTAATAGAATTTAAAATCACGTCACGACTTGCCTATGATTGTGATTTGGGAAGTCAAACGGAGCATTGTTTTGTCGGCCTCGAATATTGTTGTCGGGATTTTGATTACTTGGGGTGTCATAATTATTTCCTTCTGTCGGTGGGGGAAGAAATCCACGATTTATCCCCAAGAGATTGCGAAACAAGTCTCGAAAATCCATTGTATTTCTTTAATCTTTAAAGATTTTTATAGGAAAATTCACTGACTAGACTATAAAATTGATGACTTGGTTTTAATGTGCTAAATTAGAACTATGATGCAATTAATTTGCAGTTTTGCACAGAGAATTTTTAGAATAAAGTATGAACTATGAAGTAAATGAGAACCAATAAGATTATGAGATTGAGAAGGTGAAGAAATCGCACAACGCAGAACCAACAAATACGTGCAATTGGGGAAATTGAGACACATAGGAGAAAGTCCTTTATGAATGAATGGCTTTATTCAACAATTGACTAAAGGAAGGCTTTCTTAAACTCCTCTGTGAGTTTTTCCGTTCGTCTCCAATTTTCATTCATTTTTTCATTAGCTTTCTGGACCAGGTAGGTCAGATACTGAAAAGCACAAAGATCTACAATTATGCTTAGTCAAAATTTAGGACAGGGTGAGTACGATGAGAACAAATTTTAACAACTCACCCCTTCTGAAACTAGTTGACTACTGTCAGAGTTGTTATCTAAGCATTTAGATGTAGGCAATGGAATTTCGAATCCAAGAGCCGATCTTATAGCAACCGTTATCCGATTATCCTTGCCGATTACCATTCCAGAATTTCGGAACCCAGATTCCGTACCAGTGTGAATCTAAATTTGAAATCACGCATATCAAATTAAGTGATGAGTAATAATACATTACGGTAACACTATCTATTCCGGGTTTTATTAATTTAGTTTTTACCAACTTCTTGGCTAGACTCAGTTGTCGACACTGTACATGCAAAATAGACGCTTCCACTTTAAAAATCACATCATGATCCTTCACAGTGGCGCATGCTTTGTTCCAAGCCTCGAGAAAGTCTTGAACTTTCACCTCATCATGAGAAACGAACAGCCACTGGCATCCCTTCTTCCGGATCTTCTTCACCACAGGGTCGACGGGTTGAGAGGAGGATGTCGGCGGTACTCCAACTTCTACGGACTCCTAAATTATGATATTCATTCATAAACATGGATTAGAGCTAATTTAGCTCAGAGGTGAGGAAAACTAGGTTGGGCTGGAACTTGTTCAAGGGTACTACCAAAATGATTTGCAAAAATGCTAAGGAGGACTTATTTGAGAAGCAAATAAACAAAACAAGTGGTTCAATCCTATATAGTTTGTTGTTGTTGGGGTATCCTCGTCAGTAGATGGTAGAGTTTGCCCACACGGGACTTTGCAGAGATTTGGTGAATTTGGTTGCCGAAATCTGTTCTCCACCTGATCACCAGCAGTGCTACACATTCACAACTTGTGAGTCGCTATTTTGAGTGGTATACATGCCATTTTTTCATTATGTAAAATTACGTACATAGCATGATCGCAGTTTCTCATTTCTTGAGCTAAAACTGGCTGCTGCTGCTGTGGCTATGTTCAGTGCTTACTAACTACATTATACTTGGTTTTGGTTGCAATTATTTAACGTTGTTGTAGAGTGGGCAATCTCTTGCTTTTCGGTTTAGTCACTACTTTTACAGCAAGTATCAAATATCACTCATCATCATCATCATCCTTCTCTTACAACACTCGCAGTATTATTATTGTTTTGCTTCTAGGCAAGCCGATATTAAGTTTAAGTAAAGTTCGTACACGAGTAAGATAAGCAAAACGACCGGAATAATATTATAGCAGGTCCTCGTTTGCAATTAATGATACCCCATTTATGCCCATTCCTACTCACTCACTCACCCACCAATAAGTGAGAGAGATCCAATCCAAGTTAGATATTTAAAGATTACCAGAAAATTTAAGAATAGAAGAACCCAGCAGCCAAAATTAGTGCACATATATACATTTAAGACGACACAGCATACAGAAGTAATACAAGAGCACTTTGGTACCTAATAAACTAAACTATATGTGATACGACAAGAAGAAAACCAAGTCAAAACTCTATACACTACATAAATACTACTGGCTGCATTTTTGCCAATTTCAAGAGCAAAACTTGACGAAAGGAAAGAAGGAAAAGGTGGAGTGCAAAAGAAAATAAACAAAATATTTTAAACTGTCGAGTGTCAATCAATTCGAACAAGGTGAAAACAAAGAACGAGATACAAAATTTTGTTGACATGAATGCTTGAGAAAATGGAAGCGTTTAGAAATAACGCTTAAAGAAAGCTTTTTTTAAATACTGAGGTGACAGACAGACAATCCATTAATTAATATTAAATATCAAGGGAGTTAAATAATGATAAACATATGAGTACTTGGTGTTTAATTTCGAAGACTTGGTGGTAAATAGACGGACTTACGTTGGTGAATAAAATGGTGCGACCGCTGCAGGTGCTCGTGGTAAATAGATCATTGGTGGAGTTAATTAGTGTGACCAAGGGCAGGATTTTGGCGTCAACACTGCCTTTTCGACTCTTGTCCTCTGAGACGTAGGCGGTGGTGGGAGGATGACCTTCATGCTCGTCGCCCGTGTCGCCACCGACGTCATCACTAGTTCCTCCTTCTGCTCCCACCACCCTTGAACAAGGTAAGCCTTGACGGCGACGGTGTTCATCGAATCTTTTATTTAGTAATTCCGCCGACTCCATCAATTTTGGTTTAATTGCAAACTAATTAGTATTTACGTGTCCAACGTCTGGTGGTGGCGTGCAGTGTGGGTGGATACGATGCTTGCTAAACTCAAAGTTATCGATCAAGTTTGGGGGCTTACTGTATTCAGTAGTTCAAAAAATGATTTATTTATTTTCTGTCCACGTCTTTTCTCTTTTTATTTTTTAACACCCACATCAATTGAATGCGTTCTTTCTACAACAAAATAATAAGCCCTCTATTTCTCAGCAGTGTTTGAGGCAGCTCCAGATTCAAGCAGAATGCTGTGCAGTCTGAGATTAGAATCGAAACAAAAAATATTGTAAATTACAGCATCCAAGCATGTAAACGCTAAATTTTTTGTGTACTTATTAAGGTTGGGTTTTATTTTGATCACTGATGAATGATAATTATTGAACCATAATGTCGTAAAATATTCATTTGCGTTTTTTTTACTAATACTATTCATAGATGTGTGTAATAACGTTTATGCATTTTTTCGCTTAAAGTAAACTTCAGATAAAAGACTTTTTGTGATGTATGTATCCATCTGCCTTTTGGTTGGGTTGAGTTCATGAATGCATGAGTTTAGAAAAGTAAACAGTTAGTCTGATTTTTATCAGGAGAAATAATTGAGTGAGGGTGCGCGTCTAGCATTGCGTTACATTGCGTTCATTTTCATATTTTCAGTGTCAAATTATACGCTTTAAACACGAATATTATAAGCCAAGCGTAGCCTTCGTATTTCAACAACCGAAGAGGGCAAGCCAACTCGCAATCACACAAGTAATTCAAAAAATGATCTGTTTGTTAGTTCTTTATCTTGAAATAAGTGGTTCAAAAAGTATGGCTACAATCAACCTCATCTTGTTTCTGTCTTTATTTGATACCTCGTATGATCTTCTTCATACGGACTTCGTGAAGAGTTGGACCTCTTTCTTTCCCTTAAAACACATAAACAACGACCAACATCAAATATAGTGGATTCATTTAACGAGTGGTCTTCTTTAGTGCTTAATAGCTTGAGAGCTCATCTTTGAATTACTTTTGCACATGGATTATAAATTGCAATGAATGAAGGGTATGGTTGTGTTGTCTGGTTGTGGGTTCACATGATATATGATGAGATGATGATACACTTTACTTTGCTCATCGTATAGTGCAATTCTAGAAGTCCAAAAATAATTTGGTCACTGTCCATCAAGATAGTTACATAAGCATAGTTTGGATAACTATATATAATTATCCAAACTAATAAGACGATTAGAATTATGAATCTTTGTGAATTGTTTGGATGAATCATTCATACGTATACTCACAAACCTAGAGTTTCGATTTGTAAAACGCCAAGAAGAAATGTCTGATTTTTGTGCCAAACAAATTGAATTTGGTGGTTGGTATGTGAAAGATGGTTGTTGTAAGCTGACTGAAGTTGGTCCAGGACAAAATTTCATATTCCAGAGAATAATAACTACTGATTACATTATCTTTAAATTTCAGATTCAAATGAACCAATAATAATTATTCTACTTCTGGATACCATTTGGCCGCTGGCCCCATTCCTTGAAGGAGGACAAATACAAGTATGGAGGATGATAATGCGAGACATATTGTCAGGGTGTATGTGGGAGCCTTGTCGCAAGAATATGAAGCGTAAGCATTTATGTCTGTTACGTTTTCAATCCTTTTCATATTTTTCTTAGGTGAGACAAAAAAGTAATTTCACCAAAGTATACATTTAGGGGGGTCCTAAAGAACTTTGGTCCGGCTGTCCAGCGGCATTTCTCAACCGAAATTTTCTGTAGAGTTAAATAAGTATGACCCTGATGATATGTGGTCTCCAACCCCTTTCAAATTGAACCTTTCAGCCAGTTTGTCCAATAAAACTGCGGAAAATTTGTAAAAACTGAATGCTCCGTTATTGAAAATATTATCGGTACAATATCTGCATTTTGTAATCTTTCGCAGTGTCGAAATCGGTTGAGAAATAACGCTTGGATTATCTTGGTAGCGAGGTAACTCGACGCGACTAAAGAAGTAATTTATTCTGAGTCACCGAGTCTCACCTGAACTTTAAATTTTTTGATTTATATACTTGTCTATAAAGTTACCCTTATTGTCATTACTAACAAATAAATAATGATACCAATTTAATAATCAGCACATTATTGAATTTACAGGTTGTCTGTGGAAGCCAGTAAGCATACAACTGCCGAAGAAATTGTCACTTGCATCGTTCAGAAATTAGGATTCAAAAGTGCTCCCGATTATGAATTGGCAGAAGTCATTGAAAACTCGACGGGTCAAGAATGTAAAGAACGACGTATTGGTCCTCACGAATCTCCTGTTGCGCTTAAATTGCTATGGCCAAAGACTGTTACAGGTATGTATATATAAGGTGTATTAATATTTTGGAACAAATGGAAATGAAATAGGAAAGATATGAAATATAAGAGGAAAAAAGTCTTTCGTCCTTATTTATATTTATTTGGTTTTTCAGCTGCAGATGTGGCACTGTTCTCTGACCTCTCTTCTTCATCAAGGAATAATCTCACTCAGACATTATCCACCATTAACAATGGGATGGAACAGTATCGATTTTGCCTCCGGGAAAAACTTTCCGACTCTGTTCTCTGGTCAGGGAATTTTGCCATGGACCCACAGATACTAAGAGACTATTTTTATCGTTTTTTGTATCAACCGGTAACGCACAATCCGATCTAATGTTAAAATCCATGCACTACAATGCCTACTCATGATGTAATTATTTTTAAAAAATTTAGAAGGACAAGGAGTATCCTGACCTTTGCGAACTACCCGACTTAAACTCTTCTACTCTTTTAAATAATTTAAAATTAAGGTTCAATGCTGGCCATATTTATTCGGTATGCATTTTATTCGCTAGTATCTCCCTAAAATCACCTCAAATTTCTCAACAAATTTAATCGGATTTTATTTTTGTTTTCAGTATGTAGGATCGATTTTAATCGCCATCAACCCCTTTAGTTGGAATTTCCAACACAATGCAGGTATGAAAATTGAGGAGTTTGTAGAGGTTATTACTTGAAACCTCTATCTATCTGTATACATATACTGATATACATAATTAAATATCTAAGGCTGTGGGATCTACAATCCAAAATACGTAAAGCTGTACCAAAATCGAAGAAGAGAGGAACTGCCTCCCCATATTTTTTCTGTCGCTGATGTAGCGTATTATTCTATGCTTAAAACTCGGCGAAATCAGGTACAAAAATACGACTACGGCACAGTAATTTTATTCACATCTACATATTTATGTGGAATTGTATTCAATATTCAACTGGAATTTTAATCTTGACAATTGTCCATATTTTCTGTCCAGTGCATCGTGATAAGTGGTGAATCCGGCAGCGGTAAGTTTTTTTCGTACTACTACATGGGTAAACTAAACTAAACTAACCTATATTTCAGGAAAGACTGAGAGCACTACGTTTTTATTACACCATCTCACGGGTAATTTGACTTACGAAATTGGTAGTAATAGTATATAGTAGTGTAAAATAGGGATTTTACATAAATACATATACTCTAATTAATTTACAGCTCTAAGTCAAAAAGGTAATTTAATTCAATTTAATTTAAAAACTCCATTTGTTTTTCGCACTACCCAACGACAGTATGTCTTCCACCTGACTCAATTCAATAATCTTTCAATTTTCAATATCTCAGGTGTCCACGGGAGTGGCGTGGAACAGACGATTGTAAGATACACAAAATTGCATCAAAATCAATCATGCATTAAAATAAATATTTTTACCACTTTTTAGCTCAGTGCTGGTCCCGTTTTAGAGGTAATAATGAAGTTTCGTTTATAATGATTCCCTCATTGATAGGATTTATAGCATTTCCTGCCTATGCAGGGTGCATGTGTACCAACTTATTTTCGATATGCTTGCTCAAATTGACATGTTTTTCAGGCGTTCGGAAATGCAAAAACTGCTCACAACAATAACTCAAGGTAATTTGTTATCATATTTTTCTAATTATGTTTATGGAACAATAACAAACGCATAATTCACTATTTGATTGTTCTAGCCGATTCGGAAAGTTTATTCAAGTTAACTACCGTGAAAATGGAATGGTACATGGGGCTTTAGTTCAAAAGTACCTTTTAGAAAAATCTCGCATATGCTCTCAAGGTAGCACAAACAAAAAAATACTGATTCCTAATCTGACCCTTAAATGTTAAGATGCTTCTCATCTTTCATAAGAGTTTGATCACTTTTGCAGTTTAACAAAAGAATATTAAAAACCTGATATTGTGACACTTTTTACTATCTTATTGCAGCCAAAAATGAAAGAAATTATCATGTATTTTACTACCGTAAGTTTTATTTAGTTCTATTATTCGCGTATTTATTAACATTTTAATTGTGATTTGTTGGAATAATGGCAAGTGAATAATTTATATATGCAGTTCTTGCTGGTGCCAATGACACCGAAAAAGAAATACTCCATTTGCTACCTCCACATAAATACCATTATCTAAATCAAGTAAGTTCCTAGTTGATATGAAAGTTGCTATCATTGTACCTTTAGTAAAAAAATTGATATAAATAATACTTCCAACACTTAAACACTTAATAGAGTGGATGCTACACTTTGGAAGGAGTGGACGAAAGTTACGAGTTTTCCAGGTTGAAACAGTCGATGGAAATGGTGGGTTTTGGTCAGGATAAGCAACGGAAACTGTTCTCAGTCCTATCGGCTGTTTTACTATTAGGTAATTATTCAAATTATGACCCAGAAATTTCGAAATATTAAATTGTAATATGCTGTAATACTTGCTGTATTGTACTTAGGCAATGTCGAATTTCTTCCGAAAAAATCTTCTTACCATCACGATGATACAGTTGTTTTGAAAAACCCGGAAGTGGTGCAACTAATTTCAGGTTTATTGCGAGTGACTGAAGAAACGGTAAGCGAGCTCATTAAACAATTGCAATTTTTAAAGATTTGCGAATTTGTTGAGCGTTTTTCGCTTTTCCACTCCCTGAGGTGGCAATACACGAACTACACCTTAAGTTGAGTGATGACAAGTTTATTAGCATATGTGGATCTCAAACTTGAAGGCGTCATTTACTTTAAATCTCTATTGTTATATCTCTATTAATCTTGAATGATATTTGCCGGCCTAAAGTAGATGCCGACATCTACTTTTATTTGGTGTATCAATATAATTAGACAGTGTGTCAATAAGATGTCTAGCCATGACAAATTCGTGAATTCATTGTCATAGTGTGTTGTCCTCTGACAAATTATTGTTTACTTTTTTACAGTTGGTTGCTGCACTTACGTCAAAGAGAGCTCGTGTTTCTGGTGAAATGCTAGTCATCAACTATAGGATGCCAGAGGCAAACGCAGCAAGAGATGCAATGGCAAAGTGTCTGTATGGCTCATTATTCGATTGGATTGTTCTTCAAGTCAACCACGCTTTATTAAGCAAAAAAGATGTCAACGGGTGTGAATATCTTGGAAAGTATTGCACTATTGGGGTACTAGATATATTTGGATTCGAGGATTTTGCAGATGCAAATAGGTAAAAAACGGTGAACCACGAGTTAATTTGCAAACTCGATTGAAATTAAGACAAGTTGTAAATATATTAACATTTTGTCGTTTATTTCCTGCAGTTTTGAACAGTGGTGCATAAACTATGCTAATGAGCAATTGCAGTACTACTTTAATCAGCATGTCTTTAAATATGAACAATTGGAGTACAAAAATGAAGGTAATTAGAAAATCAAGTTCCACGCTCACTCTCGCTTTCTATATTTTAATAATAGTGGATAATTGTTAATATTTCTATAAATTTACAGAAATATTATGGACTGATATAGAATGTGAGTATAAATAATTGTAACTTTTCATAATACTCTTATGCAAAACTCTCATAATATCATTATATTTATATACTCTTTATCTGGATGAATACAAAATAACCAATGCATGTCTCCTTTGTGCAGTTATGGATAATGCCCCGTGTCTAAGTTTATTTGAATCGAGGCCTAATGGTCTCATTTGTATTCTGGATGATCAATGCAGGTATCGTCGCAGTATATAGATATATGTTTTTTAGTTTTATATAGTTTCCAGTGACCATAATAGCATCATATGACAAACGTTATTGGCGATTTACAGTTTTCCCGGAGCAACAAACGAAACCCTGCTTCAAAAATTTAATTCGATACATAAGGACAACGAATTTTATGAGAAACCTCAACGAAGGGAGGCTGCATTTATCATAAAACACTATGCTGGTAAGCATGATTTATAATATAATTTTCAGTATGTATGGTATATGGAGTCTTGTCAAGATTTGTGTTTGAAACTACCCAGTTGGGGACAGCTAAGGCAAGTTTTTTTTATAAACTGCAGTATCAATCTATAAGTTGGCATAATGATGCATAATACCCTAGATTTTTTAAGTAGGACATTATTCATTAATTTTTCAATAATAAATCAAATATATACTTATGATTATTATTATTTTATAGGAAAAGTAAAGTATCAGGTAAGCACAATAATGTAGTCCTTAAAAATAATGATTTGGTCAGTGTTTATTGTATAAATACTTATAATTTTTTATTATATTAGATTGGAGATTTTCGGGAGAAGAACATGGACGGTGGTGAAGTGTCTCATTTAAGTGGTAATGCAAAAACTCCAACTCTACATAAATCAGCTAATTAGTATATGCATGCATACGTATGTATAATGACCCCAATGCATATCTGAGGGAACAGTAGGAAGGGGTGGGAGGGGCAATGTGTGCTATTGCAATTGCAGTAGAAATGAAATGCCGATGAAAATCGATGGCGTTTGTAAAGTTGGAATGTGGTTGATTTTTGTTTCGTTCCTTCTGATAATACAGTTGGACAGTAAATAATGTTATCACAAGGTTTGAACCAGGGGTTCTCTTTACGACGACGATGACACGATTTGAGATACTTTGCAGGATACACGATAATCTAAACTTAATTAATTAATTAATTACTATCGTAGGAATGCGACACGACATTGTCAGTGTACTTAAGAGCAGTAGTATGGCATTTGTTCGAGAGCTTGTTGGAATTGATCCGGTAGCTGTGTTTCGGTGGGCAATCGTTCGTGCTTTTTTTCGGGCGTACTTTGCGTTTAATGAAGCTGGAAATCGACAAAGGGTTCTCAGAGGCAAGTTTTGTTTTTCATGTGTGATTATTTCTTGAATATATTTTATAATTTCAAATTTGTTTCCTTCTTTTATTCAGCCAAGAGTACATTAAATCGAGCATTATCAACCCCTGGACGCCGAAGATCATCAAATGACCAATTAATTAAGTAAGTGATTATGTTTTGGTTTTTCTTTAAGGTTACAAATTCTGTATAATCTAATATAATAAAAATAATAATGCCTACTAAAAACAAGTAATGTAGGTAATAAGTACCTGTAACGATAATAATTGTTGTTGTAATGTGGGTTGCGATAATATTTTAACACTGATACAAATAGTAGATTTTGAAATGTAGAAACTTACAATGGTTACAATTCAAATAATTAATTTTAGCCTGCTTGTGACAATTTCTTCTGTAAATTTGCGTGTAAATCGGATCGCGTAAGTAAACATAACAGAATCTGATGGATATACGTTTTTGTTTGTTTCATTATGATATTTTAACATCTTAAAACCATTTATGTTTATATCCTTCATTTAGTAGCAGAATAGTTTTGATTTGAAACAATCGATAGCTATGTTGTACAATTTGTCATTGTTTTTTAAGATTTTCTTGTGCGTAAATCTAGTGTCTTTTCTAATTTTAGTGTGGTTTAAATTTCCAGGAAGAACAGATCTTTTCGCCCTCAGCAATTTCTTGCCAGAGGAATTAAGAATTTGCACAGCGTAAAAAACCTAGCTAGTCAAACTGCAACAATCGGAATCTCCAATAAGAGCTACAACCCTAGAAAGCAACCAGTTTCTGTGTCACAACAATTTCAGCAATCTCTCAACAGTCTCATGATTACTCTCAATCAAGCCAATCCATTTTTTATTCGGTGCATAAAATCGAACTCTGAAAAGGTTAGCTTATTATTTTCATTCCCCGTTCTAACTTAAATTCTTATTTTAATCTGGTGTTATGATTTGAATGATTGATTTGCTTAATTAATTTTTAGAGTCCAAACGTGTTTGATGGTAAGAAAAAGCATACATATAACCACTCCAATTCATTGCTGTTCGTTATTTATTAATTGTATATTTTGTTTGAATTGTGAAGATGAAACAGTTCAGCGACAATTACGCTACACGGGCATGTTAGAAACAGTACGAATTCGTCAGGCCGGTTACAACGTTCGATTAACATTCGAAGAATTTGTTAATTTGTACCGAATACTGTTACCCACTGGTCTTCAAAGGTAATTCAAATTTTAAAATGCTGTATTGTATTTCTTATTTTATGATTAGAAATTATTTAATTGGCACATTTCTGTTTTAGTGGGAGAAACGAGATTGTCGAATTTTTGAACTCGTTGCGTTTGAATCATGTAAACTATCAGTTGGGGAAAACAAAAATATTCTTTCGAGAATCTGAAAAAATTAAATTGGATTATTTCCTCCATCAACAAATTATGGGCAGCATTGTGAAAATACAACGGTAGGTGATTTAAAGATTATTTACAGCCAATTTTCACCTGATATAAAAATTTATTTATTAATTAAACCCGCAGCTGGTACCGGGTTTCCCTAGAACGCCGTCAGTTTCTTCGGATTCAAGCTGCGGTTTTAAAAATTCAGGTATTTAATTTTCACAAAAAAGTCTTTTATAGACACATTATTAGTCTGAAACTATGTAATAGTAGTCTCAAGGGCTTTTTATAAACTCTTTTAATAAAACATTTATGTGCACGTATATATTTACAGAGTTATGTCCGAATGTTCCTTGCTCAACGGCTTGCTGCCAACTTGCGCATGAGAAATCTTGCTGCGACTTACATTCAAAAAATATGGAGGGGTTATAATACTCGCATTTGGTATCAGAACTTGAAGCAAAGCTGTATAGAGTTTCAAGCTCGAGGTACTATTTCTATTTTTACTATGATTAATAAATAATATGCAAGTAAATGATTATTATTATGGCTACTTTACTGATAATCTTTTTTTTATATTCTAGTTCGTGGAAATATTCTCAGGCAGAAATATCAACATCTCTTAGAAAAACACAAGGAGTTGCAGAAACAAAGAGATGTAATATTCATTTAACTTTAATCAGTAATAATTAATTTGTATTTTGCATACATGAAAAATTATTCCTTGTTGTATATTGTAGAAAATCCAAGCTTCCGGTTTGAGGGTAGATGAAGGTGACTTTGGATCAGGACAATCAACAGACTATGCATCGTTGTCGAAAGACTCCAGTCAAGAAGAGCTTGAAAATCATTCCAGATTTCCAGAGTCTGAAGAGTGAGTGAAACCAATACATATGTATTATAATTGCTTTTAATTATTCTGCTTATAAATAACTTTATATAGTTTTGCCAACTTCATCTTACTATTATTTTGTTTTTGACCTGTACAAATACTTTTAGAAGTAGCGGGGTTCATGAAGAGAGTGATGATGTGGAGTCAGCGTTTGTAAAATACGGTGGTCGAGATGATAATACTCAAAGGTCACGGGGCCAGTCAACGTCTGTAGCCTCACGGTCCGAGATGTACTCCAGTTCAAATGTGCTGCCAGCCTCAATGTACGACTAGAAATTGAACGCAAATTAAAAATATCGACTTTTAAGTTTTACCACAAAAAAATGCAATGGAATCTATAATGAATCTATGAATAATATTGCAGTAATCCAGATGAAACTCCCGTCGTAAAGGAAAGAAGCCGTAAAAAAATGTCACTGCAGTCTAGGAAAGAGAAATGTGTAGGTATGGGCCAAGATGTGGAAGAAGAATTTCTCCGAGGTCAGCAAGAACAAGGAATGGGTACGTTTATTTTATCGTCAGCATTATAATTGACAATTACGTGTCGCATGAATATCGTCTACAGTTTGTTAATATCATGTCTAGACACAAATGGTACAATTTGGGATGATAAAAATGTTCAAGATCGACAACTCGTCACAAATCCATTTCAAAAAGCCACGAAACATTTAAAAACATTAATAGGTAAATATTTATTTTTGTAGCTAATTATACAAATTTTAATCACGACATTTTCATATCCAGGAACCAATAATAAAGTGAAGCAGGATAAACATGAAGCAGGTATAGTTATTTAATAGTTATTTATACAAATATATTAATATATATATAATTTAATTAATATAATATATATTAATATATATTATATATTAATATATAATATTTATATAAATATGTGTTTTTTGAATTTTTTAAACTTTTCAGTTCTGCTGGATAGCGAAAGTGGAGATGATAGCGAATATTCACACAAATCAGATTACAAGTTTAGCAGGGATTCCTCGAAATTTAGTGATCATTCAGTTTTCGCCGGTCTTTCAACTAATAAGCAACATACTACTAAAGCTGGCGAGGAATCCTCATCAAGTCTCAGTTCTAGTGTGCTTCTGAATAAAAACATTACGAATGTTGATGTCAGGCGAAAATATCAATCCGAAGACAATTTTAGAGGAAGTATGTCCAGCTATTCCAGTGAGGATAAAGTGTCTAGACCTGTTCAGGGTGACAAGTCTTTTGAACCAGTAAAGCCTCGTCGTGGGATTGGCTTCTTGACAAGTTCTAGTTCTTCAGAAGTTTCTTCTAGTCGTACCTTAAGTTCAACTAATCAGGTTGGCTTACACAGAATCAAGCCAAAAATAAAACGAACTGAAGCTTCAAGAGTGTCATCAGTTGACACGATAATGGGATCCTCAAGGAATTCAAAGACATCTTTAAGTGCAAAGTAAATATTACTTTCCAATTAATATTAATTATGATTAGGGATAATACTTAAGTGTGCTGATAATGACGTTTTTTGTTACTTTTTGTAATAAATAGTATATCATCATCGGACATTGCCCAGTCATCCGTTGACTCAAGTAAAGCTGGTAGAACAATGTCAATTCCAAACCTAGACAGTAGCCGGGAAGTAAGACGAACGCGATCTGTATCAGAGACGAGACCTCCGGTTGTATCCAGAGATGTGGTGGTTAACCCATGCCCATCTCCATATGATAACGAATACGCTGGGAGTGCTAAAACGTCAAATTCTTCTATAACTACTCGAAATAGTCATAATTTGGAAAAGGTTACCAAATACCATCGGGGAGATAGTTGTGCTTCATGCAAAAAGACGATGCATGCCTTTTTCAATCCTGGTGTGAGATGTATCCAGTGTCAACTCATGTTTCATTCCAAATGTGTGCAAAATGAACTGGCCAACGCATTCCCTTGCTCCAACAGTACAAAAAGTCTTGACGTAAACGATGATTTGTTTACCATTGAAAAGAGTCCGAGCACAATGGGAAGAAGGAAAGGAAGAAAACAAAATAAAAACATAGTGGAAAAACCTGGAAAATTTAACTTCAGAATGACTGGCACTTCAGAATTTACGGATCGAACAGATCAGATAATTTCTGGAGTCAGAGAGTTGCAATTAATGCAAGAATTTATTTCCAAAAAGGTAAGATTGGGCTCACACAAGCACTAACAAAAGTGGATATGCATATTATATTCACACTTCACCTATGTATTTTTACATGTTGTATTTACTTGACAGATCTATTTGGTAAAGAACAGAGAAGGAGAAAAAGAAAATGCTGTAGACAGGTAACATGTTGTTTTACCAAGTGGGTGGAACTGTGTTAAAAACCGTTTATAATTGCAGAGTATTTCAACAAGCTTTGAAGGAATTTTTGGTAAAATATTTACGAACTTATGAGTGGTTTAATAATGGAACTTAATGAGGAACGTAGTTAATATGCATTTTTTTTTCAAGGAAAATTTGGTATCAACATTTAGTGTCGCCTGCAAACAAGGGGATGGAAAGCCACTTAACATTAGATACAAAGATCTGATTGCCAACTTTGCAAGCATGTAAATATTTATATCTTTGATCAAGTTAGTATTATTAAGCACAACTAAGTAAATTGCGTTGCTGACACAGAATGGAAACCGTATGCAAACACGAAGGAACTGGAGATGATTTTCCTACCACAATGGGTGTTAACGCATTCAGGTTAGTGAGCAGTGAAATTTCATGAAATTATAGTTTATGAGAACTTGAGATTAACCATATGAAATGCTTCAGAGGTTTCTTGAATGAATTCATGAATTCTTCACGAGAAGAAAAGCAAAAACCTTCAAAGACCAGAAAAACTGGGAGGAAGGAAAAAGGAGGTAAAAGGCAACGCCTTGAAGAGAGTATCACGCATTTGGGACATTCTTTCGTTACTACAGTCATAAACATCCCTACCGTTTGCGAAGTTTGTTCCTCATTTATAATGTGGTACATTTATACTTATTTATACTATATTTATACTATATTTTTATACTGTATTATATTTTATATTATATTTATACTCATTTATAGGCCAATAGAGAGAGGAGTCGTCTGTCAACGTAGGTTTTAAGTTTTAATTTGATTCAATATTAATATAAAAGTGTGATTCAGCCCAGAAATTGTTAGGTGGGTAATGATTCATGTTATGTAAAATTTTAGGATGCAAGTTGGCTTGTCATAAGAAATGTCACCCAAAAATAGCGACGGACTGTATCGAGGGATTTCGAAATAATAGCTCTGGGGGAGCTGCAGATGGAGCTATTTTTGGTGTTTCTTTAAACTCACTTGTGCCCGATGGAGAAGGAATTCCGGTCGTAGTTGAGAGACTGGTCACTGCAATTGAATTTTACGGGTTAAGGTTGGAGGGCCTGTACCGGAAGTCAGGTAAATGAATATACATACATTGCTCCAGTTGTATTGAAGCCAAGCTATCTTATTGTATTAATGTTTGTTGAATAGGTGTGAGCTCCAAAGTAAAAGAATTGAAGGTGGACATAGAAGAAGGAAAAGCGATAGACTGGGAGCTTTACCCTGTCCATGTGTTGACATCTGTATTCAAAAGGTAAGAATAGGATCATATTTTTATTAAAATAAATCCACAAGAGTTAGATATTCATAAAAAAATTAGGCTTATAATTATATTGCGAATTGAAAACTAATAGATTTTTTTGTTTCATAGCTTCCTCAGAGGTCAGTATGGAAATGATGGAATAATTAAACTCTAACTCTATTCTTATTTAAATGTATAGTTAATATTACAAATGGTTAAAATATATTTTGTTTGAAATAGAACTACCAGAGCCGTTATTAACATTTGAGCTTTATGAGGAATTTCTACGCGCTGCTGATCTGAGCCAACAAGAGGATCGAGTAGTTACAATTTTTGCTCTATTAAAAAAGTTGCCAAAGTGTAACTTTGTAAGTCCATATTGTACAGCCTATATAAAATCGCTATGTACTGAAGTTGCAATTTGTTTGCAGGATCTGATGGAACGATTAGTATTTCACTTGGCCCGGTAAGTTTTACACAGATAATCATTGCGTGACCGGTTGACATTCCTTAGCTTAAATTAATATTTACATTCAATTTGTGTAGTGTCGCATTATACGAAGACAAAAACCGAATGAACGCCAACTCTCTTGCCATTGTGTTCGCACCCTGCATTTTGCGAACGAATCAAGCACGTCAAGTTCAAGAGTCCTTAAATGATATTGCTCGTCAAACCATGTGCATTGAAACTATAATTCTCTCTCAATTGAAGAAAGTCAAAGAAACTCTCAATAATATCGAAACTTTGGATTCTGCTGCCTATTCGTTTGCTACTCGTCTTAACTCTATTCGATCTTCCAAGGTTTGTTGTACTATTTATTATTATTGTTCACTAGTTTTTCTTTTTTATTTGTAGCTTTTTATATCCCAAGGTTTTTGCACTGGGAGTTAATTTTACACCAAGTGGTGCCAGTTTAATAGAATTTTTAAATTGCTTAAAAAAATCCGGGCTTTGGAAAATTCGGGAAATTTAGCCTAATTTTTAAAAGCGAAAATGTCAAATGCCAGAAGTGAAAATATGTTGTTGGGTAAATATGCGTGGGTAGAATTATGCACAGTTTTTACTCCACAACTCAAAATCTAACCACATTGACCCTGGTTTCGGTGATTCTGGACTAAAATTTCATGCATACGTATGCTTATTATTGTTGAAACTTTATATGGCTATAGTTTAAAATTACGGAAAAGTTTAAAACAAAATTAATGTAATGAATGAACTGTGTATGATTCCATCACATATTTTCACTCTTGTCAAAAAGTTAAAAATTAAGTGACAATTTTTTGAATTTCCCAAGTCTGGATTGATTAAATATTTTAAAAATTCGATTAAACTAATACCACATGTAGCAACATCAAATTAACCTCCCTATAAGTGCAAAAACCTTGATTTGTAATGCAGTGGTAATAACCTTTTTTATATGTACTTTCAGATGAAATCGTCGGTAACAACTAGCACGACGAAAGCTGTTAAAGGAAGCTCAGGCTCACTCAGTACCGAAGGTAGCGTTGATGTAAAATCTGTCAACGAGTCATCGACCCCCGAGTCAATGAGCGCTGAAGAAGAAGAAGAGTATCTCACCCGGCACATTAAAAACTTGCAAGATGTAAGTTTACTTATAGAATATTTACCTTATACATAATATCTAAACCAATACACGTTATATTTTATTTTAAATGTTAGGAAAAAGCCATTTTAACGTCAGTGTTACCCACCCTATCACGAACACCATCCTCTGAAAACTCTACGGACCAAGAAGGGGATAGCCCAGGAGGAAGCATTGACGATTTGCGAAGAGACTTAGGCCCCTCTCCTTCACCCAGACAAATGCGGGCTCACTCATTGCAGTATTCTCGATATGATCCAATATCTGAATCATCATTCAGACTTCCAGGTGCGTATATTCTTATTAATAATAATTGTACAATTGCAAATATATTGACGCTACCAATATGTAGCCAACATGGAAAATAAAGCCTGGCCTGTTAAATTTCTAGGCTCCTCTGTATTACCAAGTTTGCACAAGAATAGAGGGCCTAACAGGAAGCCACCCACTCGATTTGTACGTAATATTTCTTCTGTTGATTTTGGAGAGGAAGAAGATGATGCCGATCCAACGACTTCACAGGATGATGAAGATAAGAGTGTTGTGTCAGTTAATCCGTCAAATAATGACGAAGAAGCCATCATGGTATGACTTTAGTACGTAACATGTCGGACATTTAGAGGTACTTGCACATTGCACGAGATATATTCAACTCAGTATTGCATTCGTAATGGTAACGTTATAATAATAAAGACACATGCCAAATTGCATGATATGCAATAGAATATTTAATTAAATACTTGTGTACGAGCACAAGATATTTATCGATATATTCATAAGTACCGATAAATACCGATATATGTATGTAAAATTGATTTACATATAACTGTTCAGTAATTTTTAATTGAGATTGACACTATATTGACATTTATTAGAGATATGGAATATGGATATGAAAGGTTCATGTCGTTTGATATATTCCGCATTATTTTTTTCTGTCATCCACAATCATCATAATACTCGGTAATTTTAGTATTATATTCCGTACGAAAGTAATTGACAATCTAACATGTGCGATACGAAAGATTATTATTCATACTACATACCGATGTAAATTAGTCACAAGCTAGCTGTTATTAAACGAATGTATGTATAGAAATACGAACCTCAAGTCCAAAATTTTTAATTTTTATCATAAAATTAAAAAAATAACAACATAGGTGATATATGACATAACAGGGAAACGTCCCATTGTTGCATTTCAGAGTTTATAATTATGGTTAACTATATTTAAAGTTCTTAATGTTCCCTGTTTAGATGTATGTACCTCTTGAAATAATGTGCCAAACGCTCCAGTAACTTGTAACCTTTTAAAGAGCTTCGCACCAACGAGATCGCGAGGATGCGTATGTTTGACTTGACTTTGTAATGGTGGACTGACTATATAACATTCTAGTAATGATAACTTTGGCATCAAGTCAAATTTCGCTGTAATTAACAAGTTTTTTTTTACTTTGCACGTAATACGTATCACAAATTCTGTTGATCTCTTCGTTTAAAAATTGTACTTTTTTAATAGCTTATGTATATTAAAATCTCACATCTTGTATTAACATACATTTTACTCTAAATGTCGTAAATTCCATTCCGTTTTACAATATGCATAGCTTCACTTGTTCAAATTACTATACTCTGTATTTTGTAATGTTTTGACAATTACACATTCCTTGAATTATATTATTATTATTTATATACAAAAAATGTGTACCTAAAACTAAAAGATACACAGCCAACAGTGCCTTCTGAAGTTCTAAATAATACAATCATGAGATATTATTATCATTAATGTTATTATATGTGTTGTTGTTCCCGTAATATAATCTAATATTGTGTGAACCGTACGTCAAGCTGGATCAACAAGTATTTTTCTTGTCATTCAAATTTTATCACTTTCATTCATATTTGTATTGCATCAAATATATACACAAGTATATATACAAACGCATGAATCACCTTAAATATAGTTACAAAATATCTATAATGTGATGCTAAAATATTGTATCACATGTTAACGAACTGATTGATATCCACCTTCGATTCCATTCTTGGACATCACAATCTGCCACAATTGATACTTTCTTGCTCGAAAACACGCTGCTGAAATTGTGAGGTACTGCAATAGAGAGAACAAACAAATATTATTGCTCAAAACGCCATGGCATGTATATGTAAATATGTAAATGACATTTGGTTTCATTACATAGATCCACATCCTATAAAACTTCTCGTCGACTTTCTTTCCCATCGAAAGTTGTTCCCAATTGTTTTCGAAATTCTTTTTCCACTCTCGTAGCGTTAAAGAGTAATCGTGTCCCATGTTGTGCCAATCCTGTTCATTATTATGCATACGATTAAGATGTGTGTATTATACCAAACCCTGTTACAATGTGACCATCATTTTTACCTCGAGTATAAACAGGCCATCGGTGGCTTTGGGGATGTCGGTGTGATAAGGAAGTACTGCATTTCTAAAAATGTACCTAGTAAATGCACCCAAGTAATTAATTAGACGAATTAATAAACTTTGCACTAGGCTGATTAAATAATTAGCAATTCGAGTGTTAGATAATTTACTTGTGGAACCAAGGTTCGGTGAGAGGAACGTTATTGTGCGATACGCCAATGGTATGCAATAGTAAGATCCCGTCATCTTTCAAACATCGATTTGTCATCTCAAAAAAGGTCGGATAATTCTGCGGGCCAACGTGTTCAAACATGCCTAGTTTTTTAAAAAGAAAACGCGAAATATAAGTTTATATTTTCGATGGAAATTTGATCTGATTTTTTATGAAGGCCACGTGTTAGAACATACATACCTACGGACACGATGCGGTCGAATTTTTCCTGGATGTCCCTATAATCCTGCACCACTATTTCAACGTTTAATCCTTCACACCGCTCTCTCGCCAGTTTCGCTTGCTCAATAGAAATAGTGCAACCGACTACTGAAACCCCAAAATTTTCTGCAAGATATTTCGCAAGTCCTCCCCACCCACACCCAATGTCGAGCACGGTCATTCCAGGCTTGAGCTTCAATTTCTCCCCAATGAGATTCAGCTTGGCAAGTTGTGCTTGCTCAAGATTGGTGGCGTCCTTCCAGTATCCGCACGAGTATTGCATGGTGGGGTCCAACATGCATTCGAAAAGTTCATTCCCAAGATTGTAATGCTGTTCCCCTACTTCGAAAGACTTTTTTTGGGTTTGCAGGTTTATGGCTTGCAGCAACATGTAGTTTGTAATTTTATTAACCGGTCCGAGGTACTCCTTTGCGAGATCGTGTTTCAAGCCTTGGTATGCAAATTCTTCCAAATCTTCTACATCCCAAATTTTCTCCATGTACCCTTCGCCTAGTCCGAGCAACGCGTTAGACACCACACGAGTGTAGAATTCCTTCTTGTCATTAATTTTTGGGTCGTACCTCTTTGGGCCATCCAAAACAATTCCTGCCTTTTTGAAAATCTTATTCAAATGTTGCTCAACGAAATCTTCAGCGTATTCAATTAGCAACCACTCCAAGTATTTATAGACTCTTATGCTGAATACTATCACACGGTAAACTACGTCCCTGATAAGATCCATTTTAGGTGCAAATTGTTGGTAGACCCCAAGGAGCACGATAAATGTCTTGCCTATTTGTTCAGTAAAGAGAAGAAGACTCAAAGTTTGCTGTTGTTCGGCTGACTGCTGCAACACGAATAACTCATTGTTGTCGCGGTGTTTTAAAGATAACCATGACACGGCTACTGCTAAGGTTTGGGAGGAAAATTGGGTCCATCGACTACCATAATTCAGCATATGCATGGTGCGATATGCATGCATGATTTCATATTAGAGCTTTATTGGTATTCTTCAATTAGAAATGTGGGTACTAGTTCTCGTAGGCATGCACAACATTAGAGGTCAAGCTGCATTTTGGGATGTTAAGGTGAGGGTCTACAATTATTATGTACGTCTAGTTTGCAACCAGAATCACATGAGATGTAGCCGCTTGGGGTGACCCCGTTAGATTAATAGGTTGCTGTCCATCTAGTAATAGCACAAGCATCAAATTATCCCACGTGTATGTACATATTTATGTAATGCACGCCACCTGAATTTATGGAGATTAAAAAATTCACCCAATTTATTTGAGTTGTGATTGTGAAATGTGGGTAGGACGATAAAAAATAACACACAAAATTGCAAGCATTTATTTATTTATCATTTAGTTCTTATTTGTACAAGTTGTGAATTCCAAGTATACAATCAATTTTCCTTTTGTGAAACCAGAAATAATATCAAACAATACCATAATTCTGAATGTGGTACTAGTAAGCTTGTAATTTTTAATTCACCTTTGAATTCAGGATCACGAGTTAAGTCAATTTTTTTTATACTTGATGGATTTTAAGTGTTTATTTTTCAATATTTTTCACACCTGAAGAAGGGGCAGTGGGACCCTGAAAGCTTGTGAATAAATCACTTCAAAAATGTCATCCATACGATCTGATAACTCTACCTTAATTTTTTTTAAATTTTTTTCTGAGTAATTTTAGTCTAACCTTACCCTTGAGTGAAGGATCATGTACATTACGCATAAATAGAACTAGATATGTAGTTCTAGCAATATGGATCTGTGAATCAATCACGCTTTTAAGGTCACAGTATTCACAACTCCACCATTTATTTTGTAGGATTTACATATTATATGTGAGCCATATTTTAAATAGTGATAGAGATGACAACTATCACAAACAAGTATTGCAAAATTCATGTTGCAATTTCTCGTCGAAAGGGCAAGTGCTTGTTGATTGTTGTATAGAACAAAACATTGGCAAACTGGTTTTTGCAGTGACCACAATGAACAGCAAGGCTTATTATTTCCTATGATTGTCAAGCCAGACCCAAATTTCAAGAATCCCCTGCGTCGACTGACCTTCAACTTCAACCCATTTTATAGACATTGCATAACGAAACTAATGAAAGGACGCCAATTGGTTTGACGGACTACAAACCATGCCACGTATGTACATATGTATGTCGTGTGTGTTATATGGACAAGACTCTAAATAAAACATTGTTATATCGTGGTGTGGGTCAAATAGTCCATTTCGACATTTAACCTAGCCCTTGAACCCTAATAATCTACTTGTGAATAATGAAATTTTAGCAGTAGTATTATTATAGCACCCCCGGTGCATGGTTGTTGCACTGTCAACTCTGGATGATGATCAGCATACTTTAAACATGCTAAAAATCTAACAAATGAATTTTCTCATAATAAGGAACGTTGAGGTAGATTAAAACACTATGTTTCTGGCATGTTTCTGGATATTTGTCGTTGAAAATGGGGATACATACACATGCAAGAATACAGTATTTCTATCAGACCTCATGCGTATGACACTTAACTTTCTGTAAGTTTTTTCTATGTATATGCATATTTACAGCTACTTCATTCCTTTGAGAGTCACGTTGCAAGGCTGTTAGCCAATGCCAATTCGCAAAATCCTACTTTGCAATTTTGGATTCATACGCAACACAAGTTAGAAACTAGAAAGACAAAAACGAAATATTATTGAAAGAATTTCTGGACTTATCTATTATTAATACTCTCAATATGTGAGATACACAAAATAAATTAGTACGTATAGTAAATTAAGAGGAATCTTCGTTTTTAAAAGAAGGTAATCATTCGAATTTACAAATGTATTTCTATACACATATTCAGTAATAATTGATATCCACCCACTCATCTTTTTACAGCAGCAAATTCTGTTCCCGTCAACGGTGGCCACTTTCTTCCGTACATTGATTCAGAGCCAGTCTCATACACATGGATTTTCACTCTAGAAAAGCCAGTTTTCCTAAAAATATCAAGTCTTTATTTCTAGCTTACAATTTGTTTGCTATCACATTATCGGTCGCCGTTATTTGGTCGGCCAGATTAACGGGGGTGGGGGCGTCCCCCCAAACTAAATATTTATCCCAGTGTACATTGGACACAGACTGTGACAACTCTAGAACATTTCTACGTTGTTCCAATAAACAGTGTCAATGTTCCGCTATCAATTACTTTGATGTTGAGACGAATCGATGTCTAATTCGGGTTGGAGGTACATGTCAGCTAAAAAGTAAAAATCAATATTGCGTCTCGTTTGCAGAGTGTCGTCCATCATTCACCGTTTCAAATGGAAAATCTTCTGACATGGGGACATGTCAATGCAGATCAAAACACAAGGAAACAATACATAGTTTGTGTTCGAGGGGTGCCACAATCCAAAATTTTTACTACGGAACCACTCCTTTCTTATTTTATCTTATCTTGTATATTACAATGTGATGAGATTCTTTAGCTTTTTGCATACTCAAAATACTCGTACATATGTACCAGTACACAAAGAATTCAACAACTAGTTTCCGAATGAGTTCATGAACATAATGCCAATCTTGTGACAATATAATTTGACAATAGATGAAAATATCAAACAGTTTATTGGATAAAATACAGAGTTATTATATAAATAAGATATAGAATTGTAATGGATATAGCAGTTATCAATTTGAGAATTTTAAAAATAAAATATGTAATGTGACATTTGTTCTGTGTTGGAAGAATTGAGCTCATACAGTTTAAAGAAGAGTAATTCAGTCTCTGCGTACCATGTCTTACATTTCGACCTCCTGCCGTCAGCATTTTTTATGACAATATTTAGAAAAATTTAGCTATCACACTTGCATAGAGCATTGGCAATAGGATTGGAAGACTAGAAAGAATTTGCGAGCTTCCAGATTTTTCGCACTTGTCCGTGGCTGTCGCGGTGTAGCCTGGTTCGCAAGCACAGACTCCAATTCGGGGGTCCATATCGGTCTTTACAATGTGGCCATTTGTTGAGGTTGAAGGCGTTTGACGGGTACATACTGCATGACGAATACACTTTGGCATTTTTGTGATGTCGTACACCACTGGAGCCTGTGTAGTTGGAGTAGAACTGGTGCTGGGGGTCGTAGTAGTAGTAACGTTGGACAATTCTTGAGCGGAAATTGTGGTGTTGATGCTGGGTGTCTCTGTTGTAGTCGTCGTCGTCGTCGAGGTGGTGGTTGTGGTCAGTGGGACAACATTGATATTGTTGTTGACGACGTTGTTATAATCTAGAGCGCAGACGCTTGAAACTCGTCCGTAGCACGAGAAGACCTTGTTGAGCTTAGTTTCTTGTCGCTTCCCAGAGATTCCTTTGGAGACTGCTTTGCCAGCCACGTACCCGACCGCTCCTCCTGCCACGCCTGCAGCAATTTTCTTTTTCAGTCCTCGTTTAGTACGCGAGTTGACCTTCTCTGGTTCCAAGTGGTAGTCGTACAATTGGTTTCCAATGTCATTACACATGCACCTTCCAGACTGGCATGACAGAAATTTCGATGCATCACACGAGTCCACTGTTATCCCCGCTCCTTGAGTTATTGTGCACTTGGCTTGGTAATTGTCCACAGCTGAGGTCAGTGTGACCCCGATGATCATCAGGGCAATAGTAGCGATGACTGGCTTCATTTCTTTCGAATGGATATTGCTACGTAATTAAATAAGAATTAGTTAGTAATTATAACGATTAAATTATACCCGTGATACAATTATTATTACCCTTTCTGATATTTCTTACCCGATTTAATTGTTGTTGAATTAAACTATTCCAGTTTGTCCAAGTATTTCTATTCAGCGTGTAGAACTGTAAAGAATTCCAGAAAAAATAATCGAACTCTGGCTTAACTTAACCTGTAAAAAACAATTTGTGATGACAAATAGAAAGCAGACCCCATATAATAGATTAATCGAGTGCGTGCACAGTATGCATACCATAAATTTCTATTGCAATGCTGTGGGTATACACATAACTAGTACCACAGATCACCACAAAGGGAGGGCATACATATTTTAGTGTATGTAGTTAGTTTTCACACACGCTGACGCTATTTAGTTACCTTCTTCCCCAAGAGCCCCACCAGACCACTGCGTATTTCAACCCAAGAACGTTCCACTTCCCCCTTCGTTCGTGGTATGGTGAACCTGCTTCTCGAAAATGAACCCAGATTTAGTTGATGTAAACCTGACTATAATACTTGTGCATATTCCAACTCTCATTAACTAAGGCAACGGCAGTTACCATTATTTGGCCCATTCGTCGACTGTGATTGCTACACATTATATCCCACAGTGCTGTGGATATCAGCGTCAGAAGTAGTCAGAACCTCGGAAGTAAATAATAACTGGTAGCTAATAAGGAAAAAAGAATGTAAAATTCAATGCCATTTATTCAATTTCTTTGCATATAATAACTAATTTACTAATTAGAAATACTTGTGCATGCAACAAAATCTCATAAGGTATTGCTAAATTTAAATTACCAAAATTAAAATCTATCATTCCCATCTCATCTCACACGCACCGCAATTTCCAAGTCGAATTTGTCTTTTTAATCAGCAAGTTATTGAAAAAATAAGTCCCTATTACTTGTAAGCTCATGTATGTAATCTGTTGTGTGGGTAGAGGCTCATAAAATCAAAGTACTAAATATATACAAATAGGTAGAACTAATAAAGACTTCCAATGGGCCAAGAGAATGAATAAATTAACTTAATGTCACCTCTGTACATCAATAGAATTATAGGGATTTTTAGTACCTGGTAATTAAGGTTATTTAGCATCCTGCAGTTTTTAGAACTCAATTAAGTAATAATAATGCGGCTACTGCCAGGTATATGCATATGCAGGCATAAATATATCAAGGTAGCATATGAAGGAGGATAGTTTTAACCGTTAATTGATTAGATTCTAAATTAAGGAATTTAATGCAGGTGACTATTTTGAACTGCATACAATAATAATTTGGCTGGCATGTAATGAGAGAATTGCACATTGACAAAATCCATTCCATGTCTGTTAACTGTCCACGTATAGACAAGAGATAAATATGTGCATACATAAAGCATTTGGCTTTTGTTGGTAAGGTTGATTTTTAATGTATAATATTTATAATTAAGGGGAAGATGACAAAATTGCAGTGCATGAATGAACTTCAGTGATATCTACATAACCCTTAAATAAGTCTGCACACATATTTTTGCTTTTATAGCTTGCAATTTTCAGAACTATTTCCTGTTTGTAAACATTATTTCGAATTGTGCATGACCGACATATTTTTTAAACAATGTTGGCTAGAATATAATTCAGTTTAACTGTGATTTTTATTCGTAACTCAAACTCCACACCGAATATTAAAATTAATGCATCTAATATTGTGCATTTTACATATGATATTGACATCATCCACAAAGAAGATCATCCCTCCTCCAAGCAGTGGCTTCGGATTAGTCTAGTATGAAGAAAGGTTTGTGAATTAATGTACTTGTTGCTTTGAATTTCAGTATTTTTTAAATAGAAATAATAGTTTAGAAATTCAGATAATTCGAGCTGTAATACTTGGCTGGCTCACAAAATTTGGGCGAATAACACTAATTCATCCTAACGTACAACAATCGTTTGTGCATGAAAAGTAAAATCGCTGTGCTGACAATTTTACATAGCAAGCGAGCTTAAAGGGAATCTGGGATTCGATTCGTCTTACATATTAGAAGAATTTTCGACGCATGTTTTCTTGGGTAGAAGACTGAACTCGCTGTATTTCAACTACCGTGTCGTCTTCTTTTACAGGAAGGAAGGGAATATATACATATGTACTGTTTTTTAGTAACGTTATTGTATCCTTTAGTCAGATGGTGAGACTGAAATAATAATACATAAGTGACGAGTAGCGTATAACAACGGGATCTTTAGTTCACCTGAGCATTCATACCGATTTATTATTTTAGTCAACTCATACACACCTACACTAATAATTTTTCGCTATCATTCATGTTTCACTTGGTTGTGTTAAGCTAGGTGCGAAAATTCTGTTAAGAAGCAACATTCCATGATTTGTCTGAAACAGTCTTTCATAGCTCTCACTTATGTCTTGCCACTTTAAACACAGCAATTTTTCATTAACTTTGACTCCAATAAATAATCTTGTACTTAAACGAGCGACATACCAAAGTACTATCGACGTCAACCACAAAACGTAAAATTGAGAAATTTACAAACGTGATACTTTTTACACTGAAGACAGTAAAGAAATTTATTGGATAATATATCACAATGCTCAAATGGTTGTTTAATACTAGGTCGAAAGCATTGCACGAACATTACTTTTCTGCTGAACTCTGCATATTCCTATTAATTCTGTAACGTATTATTGCAATGTACATACAAATGTAAACGGGTCGAAAAATTATTTGAGACGTTGAATTATTCTTCACGTAACAATGCAGGTAATGTGAGAGACTGTTTTAATTTTTTAATCTGTAGATTCTTCAATTTGATTGTTTGTACATGAGTAATTTGTGATGAATAAATAACTTAACCCTCTTGATACAGAAAGACGAAGGGAGAATCATTAAGTCGTCTGCATTATCGTGAAACCAAACCATCAAATTTTTAATAGACGAAACGGACAAATATAATATTTAGTCAAAATGCCAGTAAAATTAGGGTCTCTTTTTAAACCGAGAAATGTCCGTACAATCATATTGCTTTTAGTTCTGATAACATTGGTTTTCGCACTATATCAACTAATCCTGGGAAGTGCATCAGAAACTGGACCTACCATCTTTGTCCCTCTTGAAACAAACTCTCGCTCTCATAAATATCAAGAAAAAATTGTGGAAACCTTAAATCAGATCACTAAACTTGATGGAAGCAGTAAAAGCAGACCTCATCAACAGATAAGCAAGAAAAATAATGTACCCAGCACGGAACTTAATCTCATTCCTCGTTACAACAAAGGCTTTGCAAGTGCAGCAGCAAAATATGAGAAGGATGGGAGATGTCCAAAAAGTCAAATATTATTCAGGCCTGACATTGACGCAACGGAATTTTATCCTGATCTGGAATTTGATGTAATATATTTGCTGATAAGGGTCCACTTCCTTAGGCGTAAAAATACTCATTCCAGCATTTTTTTTCTGTAGGGAGACTGGATCCGAGGAAAGGAGTATTGGAATTCGTTTTTTGAACAAAGATACAAAACTGCCAAGAATTCTAATAAAACGCCACCGTTAAAGGTTTTCGTCGTACCACACTCGCATAACGATCCAGGATGGTTGAAAACATTTGAAGATTACTACACGATGCAGACTAGGCATGTGTTGGACAATGCTGTGGAAAAATTGACAGAGTTTAAAAATATGACGTTTTTATGGAGGTAGAAATTTCCTGGCTTTTAGCGCCTTATTATAAGTTTCGTGACGAGATATGTAAAAAGAGACATGTTATGTTAAATTAAACATGTCGTTTAATTTTTCCAGCGAAATTTCATTTTTATCAAAATGGTGGCAAGACACTCATCCACGTAAGCGAGCCCTATTGAAAAATCTGGTAAAGGAAGGGCGTCTAGAAATCGTGACTGGAGGTTGGGTGATGACAGACGAAAGCACTGTAAACCTGTATTCCATGATTGACCAACTAATTGAAGGTCAGCAATGGGTCAAGATGCATCTGGATGTCGTACCAAAGACGTCGTGGAGGTAACATGTGGGATACTAAGCATTTGGAGAAGTCATAACTAACTAAAAATAATCTTTTGATACGTTTATTAGTGTAGATCCCTTTGGTCACGGCAGTGTGCTTCCGTATTTGCTGAAGAATTCCGGAATTGATGGAATGGTGATCCAGGTATTTTGCATGACCCTGATTTTCATAGCCCGGATTTCATCATAACTACTTAATTTCTGTTAATTACAGAGAATTCATTATGGATGGAAAAAATGGATGATGGATCGACAATCATCGGATTTTCAATGGGTATTCACTACGTCAATATACTCTAATAGATCTTTCAAACTTTATTACAAAATTCATACGAAACATATAATTATTATGATTATAGGTTCAGCGATGGGACGCAGCTAATAAACATGGAATATTGGCGCATAATGCACCTTTTGATATTTATTCCATAAAACATTCCTGTGGTCAGCTAATTTTTATCATTATTACATAATCAAAATTTAACCTCAACTATGTCGACTAAAAATCTTAATTTTCTAGGTCCTCAGCCCCAAATCTGCCTAAATTTTGATTTTAAAAGTATTACTGGAGAATACAGTGAAAACTCAATGATAATGCAGCCCATTACGAAAAACAATGTGAAAGAAAAGGCAGAACTAATGCTTGAACAATATGGGAGAACAGCTTCATTATTTCCTCACAACATGGTAATTTTTATGTTTCAATTTGTACAGATCTTGCTTGTGAACTTTTTTTTAATCCGTATTTTAACTTTAAATCGCAAAAATAATAGTTTTCGCAGTCTCTTAGAAAAATACTTGGGCCCCACAAAATTTGTTGGTAATTATACCATTGTTATTTTTAATAGGCACTCATATCACTGGGTGATGATTTTCGCTTCGTACAGCAAATAGAGTGGGATCAGGTATGCTAAAAAACTATATGAGCTTTAACAATGTAAAAAATTCCTAATATGAAGGAACGGATTATTTTTAATTTTTATCACTTTCAGCAATATACAAATTATATGCAATTATTCAACTATATCAACTCACACAAAGAGTACTACAATGCAGAAGTAAAATTTGGAACAGTCGCAGATTACTTTGATGTACGCATAATAATACATATGCATTATTTAATATTGCATTCATCCATAATTTATGTACCTATGTAATATAATTACAGGCTCTTAGAGATACTAACTATGTCCCTCTTAAATTTTCTGGCGATTTTCACGTTTATTCTGATATATTTTCTGACGGGAGACCAGGTAATTATCAATTTATTAATCTATGTTCAATTTGACCATGGCTTTGTAATGCATAATGTAATGTAATTAATTTCTTCAATTTTTAGCATACTGGTCTGGCTATTATTCAACTAGACCATTTTGGAAAAAGGTTTTTATCAAACTTTTAACTTTACAATTAATTTTTCTGTTTATTTTAAATAAGTAACTTATTTTATTCTCTTGTTTTATTTTTTTTAGTTCCACCGTGAAGTAGAAAATTCTGTCAGAGGTGCAGAAATTGTGTTCACATTTGCCAATATCCTAGCGAATCAGAAGCGTTTGAATCATTCTCAACAGGTAATCAGCGTTAGAAATATCTTGCTGACATTATGGGCTTGAATAGATATGTAGAAATATATTTGACGGTGACATAGGTGTTAACACGAGTGTACGAAGATCTAATTGTGGCTAGAAGATGGTTGGCATTATTTGCTCACCATGATGCTTGCACAGGTAAAAGCATAATTAAGAACTACTTAGCACATCAATTTACTTTGTTGGTATGCTATATATTTAGGCACTTCCAAAGCAAACACAATGACAGATTACGGAAACAAGCTCTTGGAAGCATTTACACTCAGCAAAAGAGTCCAAATGAATTCGATTGAAACTATTTTGTACGGAAACCCGGATAGTGGAATACTGACGACGGATTTAGAAATTGACGGATTCGGGGAACAGCCTAAACAAATTCCGATTGCTTTTGAAAATCCTTCCGGAATCAAGAAAGTTGTGGTTTACAACACTCTCACACGACATCGCTATCAACTGATTACGTTCGTCGTCACCACGCCACACATTGAAGTCGTCGGTCCCTCTGGAGAATTCATTCAAGCGCAAGTAAATATGCTAATATTATTTAAATACATAGCAAACTTTTACTTATTATCGACGGTCCCAGAAATATTATCTGAATTCAAATCATGGATTTATTTTAGCTCAACCCAGTTTTGGATACTACGAGTGGAACGATGCGCCTATCCGCCGATGTTTTTGAGTTGAGTTTCCTAGCATCATTGGCCCCACTTTCACTGTCAGTCTTTCAAATTCGAAAATCAACACCAACTGGAGAACATAACGCCATTCATGCCCAAGTCTACTGTAAAGCTTGCACAAGTGTACATGGGATATTTGAAATCAATGAGATTCAGGTATGCAGTTGACATATGCAAATATGCGTATCCTCAAGTTCCGTATATTCAAATGCTAATCTTATGGGCACGTGATTTTGGAATGCAGAAATTCCATCACCAAGAAATGCATAAATGCAATTTGGGATTTATTTATTTTCAGACGGGAGATATTCAGCTCAACAATGACAAAATACAAGTTTTGTTCAATCGAAACAGTGGGATGATTATGAGCATGACAAAAGTGAAAGAAAATATCACAATTGCAGTAAACATGAAATTTGGAAGCTATTCGTCCGTTAACTTTCGTAGTGGAGCGTATCTTTTAATGCCTGATGTCCAGTCGGAACATGAAGTATAAAAAATGTCTTTTCAATTTTTACCTAATTTTTCCTAATTTTTTAAAATTAAATTTTCCAGATTCCATTTCCAAATACACATGCCAAACTCATCATCATAAGTGGACCGATCTCAAGTGGTAAATAATTGTGAAATTAAACAATTCCACATGCACAAATAATGTGAGTGAGTGGTATTTAATCTGTACTTGTGTATGTTTTAGAACTTTCCTTATTCCACGACCCACTTCTCCTGTCGTCTAAAATTCTTCATGCGGGTGATAACCGGATGTTGGAAGCTGTTTATATTCAGAATCAGGTGGATCTCAAAGAACATAATGGGGAAATTTACATGCGATTTGATACGGATCTCAAATCTGTCTCCAAAGTTCGTGTCCATGAGCGTCCCGTTGAAGTCGATGATATTCCCATAATTTTAGAAACTGAATCAGATCCTACTCATCAGCCCACCTTTTACACTGATCAAGGTGGTTTTACTGTAGAAAAGAGGATAAAAGTCCCTAAAATCAAGTATGAAGGGAATAAGTAAGTCTAATTAATTACTCAATAGTAATTTTGCATTTGCCCATCACCAAGTATTTGACAAATTAGAGATAATTTTGTATTGAGTCTAACTGATATTAACCAACAATAGTTACCCTGTGAATACAATGGCATTTGTACAAGATGACGCCCGCAAACAACGCTTCACAATTCTAGTCGATCGATCACATGGGTTTTCTTCAATGAAATCCGGACGGTTGGAAACTCTCGTGGAAAGACGTACCGTTTATGACGACGCTCGAGGGGTAATATTTTCAGATAAACAAAATAAAATAAAATTTAATATTACGTAGTGGTCCGTAAGTTAGAGTTACGTAAAATACTGAACTTTTCGTTCTTCAGATGGGCGAAGGAGTGACGGATAATCGCCCCACAACTTCAAATTATGTTATCATGTTGGAAAAGCTAGGCCCCAGCGACAAAGTTCGCCATGCAGAGCACGACTATCGAAATTATCAGCCCACGTTGGCAGCACACCATAATTCTCAGGAACTGAGCTATCCAGCATTTTCCTACTTAGTCAACGACGATGTGGCTGGAGTTTCCTCTCAAAAGGTCAGCAGTGCCGTGGAAATATTCCCTTTTCTCAGCCAGGAAATCCCATGCGATGCTCATCTCATAAATCTCAGAACGGTGACTGACTCCACATATAATCCCGATTTGAACTTTCCCAGTCGGCAAGCACTTTTGATTGTCCAGAAACTAGGATATCTTTGCACAAGTAATGATGGAGAAAAACCTGGATGTGGGAATTCAAATCCCAAGAGTCTCTTTTACCCACAAACAAAATTTAACGGTATTACGGTGAAGTCAATGAGCCACAGTAATTTAGCAGGAGTTGATCATAATCTCAACACGAAAGGCCTAATTTCAAACCTTCACGATATTACTACAGAACCTTACGAAATAAGCACTGTCATTGTTACCTTTAGTTAAATAAAACCTACTTGTCGTCTGTGATAGGGCATTATAAGAAATGCAACGCTTGTGTGCATTGCAATTATAGTGCAATGACACAAAATTGTAAAGCCCAACGAATGCAGTTTCAATGGTGCAAATTCCAAAAAAAAATATGATTTATTTGTTTTATATTCAGATTTTATTTTTAATATGACAAAGGTGCTTGTACTACCAATTTATGTTCAAATTATCAAATGGTTGTGAGCTATAGTTTGCTTTACTAATTTATTGTCAATTGTTGGTCCGGTGAATGCACAAATTGTGCAATGCTTCCAGAAATAGAATGAATAATGCAACAGCTATGATAAACTGTTGGTTAAACTTATCCTACATAAAAATGAAAAAAAATCATAGTGTTGTGCATTTGTCCAAAATGCGAGTTAAAATAAGGCTGATGATATCCAATAAAAACTGTGTTGTCTACATTCCATTGTTGAATAAAATAATAGACTTTAGACAATTTTTAAATATTGTTAGCAAATAATTTGATAAGAAGTTATCAGTAAAATAAAATGTTGGTCAAATATTTAATACTCTGCTGTATTGCGGCTAAATTAGTTGATTGGATATGACAATACTAGAGCTATACAAAAATAAAACACTAGTCAATTGATTGACTGGTTTGATTAGATTTTACATCTTTTGGATTAAGATGGAAGATGCGCCTCCGCCACCTGCAAGAATGATATGCACATGATTATGAATCTTCCTTCCCAGCATTGGTGATGTCATCCATCAAATCACAACTCATACATAAAATATTTATGATAGACTTGCCGTTACAAATAGAAGCAACGCCATATTCGCCGGGTTTGAGAGCATGGCACAAGTGTCCTGTAATACGACAGCCACTCATTCCAATTGGATGTCCAAGCGATACAGCACCACCATGAATATTTATTTTAGAAGGATCCAGATCCAGCATTTTAATATTTGCTAATACAACCACGCTGAAGGCTTCATTAATTTCTGTATTGGGTATAGAATAAGGCGTAACAATTATTCGAGTACCTATGCAAACTTACTTAATTGAAATTTGGAGTGACTATAAATTTTTCCCCGTACCCCACATCGCGACATCCTCTTTCTTGATTCCATATTTTTTAATCAGTCCTCGAATTGCGAAGACGGGTGCAATTGGGAAGTCGATAGGGTCAGTTGCAGCATCATAGTAACCAACAATTCTAGCCAATGGTTTAACTGAACTTCTTTTAGCCGCAGACTCTGACGCTAAGACCATCGCGGATGCTCCATCTAAAAATTGGAAATGATATGTAGTAGTTTAATGTCAGGGTCAAAGATACAAGTATCAATGAGATATTTTAATTACCATTTAAACTAGATGCATTTCCAGCGGTTACCTATTTAGACATGAAATAAATTAGTCATAATTTGTAGGCAAGAAATCGTGGGGACTATACATGCTTGTATAATGACATTTTTTTCTTTAATGTATATTTAGGACCAAAGAAATCCGGTGAGTTCTAGATTAGATATACAAGAAAATTTATACTCACGGTTCCTCCTTCGCGTTGGAATACGGTGGCCAACTTTGTGAATTTATCAAAATCCACCCTTTTGTATTCTTCGTCTTCCGTAATGACCAGATCAGGTTTGCCCTTTTTCTGTGGAATAGAAACCGGAATAATTTGGGTCTTGAACACTCCATCCTTAATGGCTTTAGCGGCTCGCTTATAGCTTTCAATTCCATATTGATCCTGTTCCTGCCTACTAATGTTCAACTTCTTTGCAGTGTTCTCACCACAGTTCTAAATTCAAAAATCAAGTTATGAAATATGTAATCTCAAATTTTATCATCAAGAGTAGTTGTATGCAATTTCCTGTTTTCTTACCCCCATATGGAATTTATTGTAGACGTCCGTCAGGCCGTCAAATACTATACCGTCCTGACAAATTAAAGAATATGTATATGCAAATCATGTAATATAATGTTTCTTGTCAAAGTTACGAGATTTCACAATTTATGTAAATCCATATCGCTTACCACCAAGGTCACGCCTCCATAAGGGCTTTCGCCACGTTTCATGTAATAGGGGACATTAGACCTGGAATGGAATTTGGTACGAAATTTAATTAGCATCTTTAGTTCTACGCTTCTATCATATATCAACTTTAACTAATTTCGTTCGTAACGAAAGTAGGTCATGTAAGAGAAAATAGGTTTTAACCGAGGACAGCTTACATCGATTCCATTCCTCCTGCGACCATTACGTCTTGGTCGCCACACTTGATATTCTGAGCCGCTAGCATTACGCTTTTCATTCCCGAAGCGCAAACCTTGTTAACAGTCGTGCATGGCGTTGACTTTGATAACCCTACGACATTATAAATTCACTTTGTTGTCTCTTTAAAAGAAAGATGATAACTTGTATTTCTTACCAGCAAAGAGAGCGGCTTGTCTAGCAGGAGCTATATAGCAGTATAAATAAATATAGACATTTACAAGCTAATTCCTGAGAATGTACCGCTACTTTCTGCAACAATTACCTTGGCCTAACCCAGCTTGGCATACCTAAGTAAAAATTTTAAAAGTTGTGGTAAATACGAAAAGCATACTGTTTAAAAGTAAAGCATATTCAGAACAATTTCAAGTATTTAATTTCTACTTGCATACATTTCCCATATAAACTTCTTGGACACTCTCAGCATCAAGACCACTTTGTGACACTGCTTCCTATTTACAGAACAAGCACACATTGGTAAAATAGATTTTTTAAGAAAATCATGATTATATCACGATAAAAGTCTGCACCTTGATTGCAATCGATCCCAACTGTGTCGCAGACAAAGGTGCAAGTTTGCTACGAAACGACCCAATGGCTGTCCTTACAGAGCTAAAACAAAACGCAAAATTAAAATTTATCAAATATTAATTTAATGCTACAGCATCCTAACATGGCACAGAAAACGCGTGATCATGTTGAGATTCATGGGGCACAATTTACGTATAGTGATGAAGCGTTTGAAGACGAGGATACGTACTAGACTATGTGATTCTAATAATAATTCTAATTCTAATAATAATAATAATAAATAATTCGTGTTATTTAATGTATTAAATTTATGGTTGACGTTTTTGAGTTTAAAACATTTTGTACCTCACCTGATATTATTCTTACTCTCAATTTGTCATTATTAATAAATGAATTATATTATGCCCTCTTATCCATGTCGTCGCCCTTGTTTTTTTCATAAATTCTTACCTCAAAATTACAACCTCGGAACCTTGTCGAGCGGCCGAAGAGCAAAAATTTCGCTGATGTGCAATATGGCGAATCATTTTTGACGCACGAAACAGTTTCATTGCAATGTCCAAAGTGTGGGTAAAATTCGACTCAGCTCCTATTGCAAGCTTGAATAATTTGAAACAATTATTAATTTTTATTATCAATCAATAGACTTTATTCAATGTTATGTAACAAAAATTTACCTGATTATCAATCAACACAAAGTAGCGTGCTAAATCAAGTCCAACGCTTAAAATATGAAAAGTATAATTTTCAGACGGCACGTGAGTGCCAATATGATTTAGTGTTGGATATCTTTCTGTGACCTTGAAGGTCACGTAAAACTATTAATACGAGAGCAGAATCACGTTAACGTGTGTAAAAAAACCCTACACTTCCATCGTTGTGTAACAAACCATAACCAGTATGTGCATATGAGCTGATTTCAACCCTTTCGGGATTATATGCATGCCGGGTTAGTTGGGTTTGATGAGCTGAGCAAGTGCATACATATTCTAAGGAAAGGTGGATATTTGAGACACGGCGATTGTCTATATAGTCGTATTATTTATTAGGTTTCGGTGTGTTCATTTTAGTCATCATTACAATGTATAAATTAACTACTTGAGACGCTACAACTTATGCATTGGCTTCTTATCACTGCGTGGTCTTTAGATGAGATTTTACACCGAAATACCATTTTTGTAAAGGTTTTGAGTGACTAGTCAAATCTTTAAACGCTTGACATCCTTCGATGGCACTGAGAACACCATATACAGCCAAATCTGAAAGATTTGGATTCTGACCTCCCATGAATTGTCCCCCTTTCTTTTTTATGTTGGTCATCCAGTAATCACTCTCGTCATAAAGAGATTGTCGAACATCATTTTTCAGGTGATGACGCTTCTTGAGTCGTTTTCCAATGATCCACATAGCAGAAGCTCCGAGATATATTATCACTGATCTTTCGAATGTGGTGAAATTTTTTTCCCATTCTCCAACCTTAATTATATTATATAGGAAATATGTTACTTTACTTTGTAGAAAGTATTTATTAGTACTTAATACTAATTAAATACTAACTAATAATTTCATTTACCAACCTTGTCAAAATATTTAAAGGAGTCCAGAGACTCTGTGAAGCTTTGGTAAATATTCGGGGACAAGGTATGCACATATACTTCGTCCGTCCACTTTCTCCATTTTCGCTCATCCACAATATCTTCTTTCCTCCTTCCACCCATATTTGATTCCGCCATCATCAAGAAATACTTGTTCATAATATCGCTTTGTTCTTTCCCCGTGTCATCCTATAATTATTCCTACAATTATTATAGCCATAGCGTATTCAAATCTACATACTAAATGTTATCGAATAAAAAAAACTCACATTGTATTTTAGTGTTGGATAGTATTTTACAATGCTCAGCAGAGTATGTTCTGTATCAGCCATGGAAGATTCTTGCCCATTGTTTGCCAACAAGTAGGAATATAAAGCGCTGATAATCATTGAACTGTCATTAAGTTGAAGTATTTCCCCTTGTGGCGTTTGCACAACTAGAATAGGAACCTTCTTGTACGTTTTTGACCATTTGGTTTGTGTCCTCTTGATGGAATTAACTTCCACAATATCGTACGAGATTCCAAAATAATCCAACATTGCTCGTACCTAAAATTTAAAATATAAATGTATGATCATTATGTATTTGAGTTCAATTTCGTTAATGTGAAATTAATCTGCAGCGCAATGTATACCTTACAGCAAAATGGGCAAGTTTGGTACTGAAACAAGGTAATTTTTAGGCCAGAAACATCCGTAGCAAACTTTATCTAAAATAACACATGACGATTTATACTTTAAAATGTTCCAATTGTAAGAATGTCGGTGAATATAATAAAAATATTAATTAACCCACAGATCGTGAAGCTTGAACATTTGGCATTTCTTGGAGCAAAATTGGACCTTGTTCTTCCGTGTTGGCAACAGTGGTTCGGGCTTTTCTAATTTGATCATACCCGGCCGCTATTCCTATCGCAGCTCCAGCACCAAATCCGACCGCCGTCCACCACAAAGCACTTCGCTTTTTAGTAGTTTTCGCCGCATGGGCGACAACCGAGATTTGTGGGGCCAGCCGCTGACGCCCAGCTCCCACTCCAGTGTAGAGACAGCGACTCACAATTCTTATGAGAGATCCTCCCCGCATTTTTTCACCAATGCTTGTACTTGCCTTGGTGAATACCAAAAATTCTGCAAATTTCACAAATCAAACATGCAAAAATTGACGAGCTTGAAAACATTTTGACTATTCAGTAGAAAATAGTAATATTCAAAATATTCCAATTCCTTGCTACTAATTTGTTGATTTACCTCGTCAAAATTCCCAAAGTTGCAAGAAGATATATATTTCACTTTCACAGACAAATTGGTAAACCGTGCGATTGTGTTTGTGAGCGAGTAAAACAAGGATGAGCGGAGAAAGCAAGTGGCGCCGTGCTCGTAAAATCGTGGTGCCCCAAAAAGCCTTTCTTCCAACTTTCTCCATAAGAAAAATTTCCCCATCGCCCTCGACTTCAAAAATTGAGTTCCATTGACAATAAAAAATCTATATTGGTCAAACTCCGTACTGTTTGTCTCTTCGATTAGATGAGCACAATTTCATTCCTAGTCTAACCATCATGTTATGTTGAATGTAGATTCTGTACATATCTACCTGCATATCAAAGTGGTTTATTGTTATATGATAAAGTAATGCTATATTATAAAGTATGATAGGGGTTAGTGATATTGAATGGGTCTACTATTGAAGTAGATTTAGCTGCATACTCAAAATAACTAATTTATTTATTCTGCACTGATGTCAAACCTAATTTTAACTAAATTCTCAATTCTCCCCAAGCTGCACATATTAGGAAATACATGAGTCCCATAAACTCCCATAGTTTTACAAAATAGTAAACTTGTTGTTTATCAGTAATTATCTTAGCAGTTATAATTCGAATCAGCAAACAAAAACAGGAAAAAAGCTTGTATGAGGTCTTTAAATGGAACCCAAAAGTTATTGTAAACCAATCATGATCCTATACTACTTTGGATTGGGACAACAATTCAGTAGTACTGAATCAGTACATGGTGTAAATGATCCCTTTGCACCAAATAAAACATACGATATGTGTAATGGATTTGTACATTGACATGACGAGCGTTTAGCGAAACTAATAAGCACTATGATGGATGTCAATAATCTTGTTATGTGCTGTAATTAAATACGTGAGAGAAAGTCCACCTGAAAGATTGATTTTTTTGTTGTAATAATTTGACGAATGTTTGGTTCATAGTTCATGCTACATATATTTGAGTATTCTGATTAAGTAGTTTTATATTTAATTCAAGGGAGCCGTGGTTCGATTCCCGGCTGGGTAACAATTTTTGGCATTATTGGGGATTTACGTATTTGATTTCTAAATTATATTTAATTATAATCTTTGTCAGATTTACGAACATACATATTTAATTATGCTGCATTTTTTCCTAATGTACTTGTGCATAGTTTCAAGCAATGTTTTCCTAAATAAGACTACTTCTCGCATGATCAGTTAATTTCATCAAATTCTTATAAGATTGAAAATGAATTAAAATTTCTCTCTTATTTACTGACATGGCAAATGCATGAAAACCCGTGTTGGATGAATAATGGAATAAAATGAACGTTCCAAAAACTCGAGAAGAAGATGGAAAGCGAGAGAGAGAGAGGAAAATAATTTGAACATTATGGAGAGATTTAGAAAGGTGAAAGAAGCACGAAGGTGATCCTATTGTTGTCCTAATGGGAGTGAAGTAATGGTTGGTAAAAGGTGTGAAAAGTTGGTGGGAACTTGGACAACTGTGGGTTCCAGAGATTTCTTTGAATTCAGCAAAGTGAATGAAATGGAGGAGCAGCGTCCACGTTCAACACGCAAAAGAGCAATAATCTGTAAAGAGGAACTAATGACGCTTTCTCCCCTCTCTCACACCCTCCTCCCTCCCAGACTCCATCCGTCCTCCGACACTTACCTGACTGCGGGGGAAACACCATCCGTCCAGTTGTTATGAGACAACAAAACAATCATGTGGTAGGTAATACCAGGTATCAATGCAAAATGCTGTTTCTCATTGTTCTAACAAGCTAGAAATTTGCGCCTGTTGTCATTTTCTTCATTTAAAAAAATCAATACGGACCCCAATTTTAGTTATAAAAACAAACTATCTATTTAATCACATCATTCATGAAGAACCACGGATGGATGAAAGGTGAAACTAATGTTGGTCTAATGCTCCATTGAAAATTGTTGTATGTATTGAGTGAGTCCAGCACTACTGTACTGCTTTGAGCATTAGTATTAAAGCCTTAAAGAACAGTTTTCACCAGATTTCATCTTCCTCGGCATGTTCTCAGCAGCAGGCCTCACTTTTCACCCGACAAGACTGAAACCTCATTTACCACCCATCAAACACTTCGCAGTTTCCATTCTTTCATTCTCACTCCGTGTCCAAATCTGCGATCAGAGAGAGAGAAGAGCGTGATGTTGATTGTGAGATTCTCAAGTGGAGAGAGACTTCCATCATTCATCATATCTCAAACTTACTGTTGGCCCTTTATTCATCCCATCAGGGAAAACCTCCATTCCCTTCGTATTTATATAGCAGGAGAGTAAATAGAGTGTTACAACAGAAAAGCGTGTAAATCCAAATGGTTTGAGTAGAAAAATGATGATGCCGTGGTGCTTTTCTACTGTTACATACATGTATAATACAATTGATAAATATATTTACAATGTAAACTCGTGTTACGTTTTTAGCGGAAATGAGACGCCGAGAAAAGCTTTCTTTCACCAACAGCAACGTTACGACAATTCAGAGTGACGAGTTTGTGGCTGGGCGGATACAAAGTGAAAACCAGCCTCAGAGATTCCACTCGACCAATCCGACCAAGTTGAGAGGAGTCCTCCTCCTCAACTTTCTTTCCACATTATGATTCGCGACGATGCTCTCATAGATATGTTCGTAATGGTAAAAGATGGCAAACCATTAAAGCTGTGCTATTACCTTAAAGTGCCATCAGGCCCGTGTTAAGTGGGAGTTAAATTACCACTCGGGATATTATATGCACTCAGTGCTTTCCAAGAGAGTGAGATGAGACCAGACGGCCTTTCGCCACACGAGGAACGAGGAGTTGCAATTAAGATTATTAACGCAAGACCATAGTTCCTTATAAATAATTATGGTTCGCCGAAACATCTCGATTTCTTCGATTTCTCACAATTATAAGAGTTGATTAGTATAGTCAGATTTAGTACAAAAAAGGCAGTGACAAAATGAGTAGTGAAAGTCTTAATCTCAAAATCTCAACTGGCCCCATTCTCAACTTAATGGATTCGTCGCTACAAGAGGATAATAATTTGGTTCATCAGAAAGGAATACCTATCTCAAAAACGAATAGTTTCTCGATTGATTCAATTCTAAAAAGTGGGAAAAATATGGAAACTGAAGATTCCTCCAATCACGACTCTGACTACTATTGTGAGGACACAAATGGGCACCAGGATGAGACCATCGAAATTGAGTCCATATCATCAGTAGCTTCCAATAATGACAGGGTCGAGTATACGGATGACATTGAGGACAGTCAATTCGGGGGACGAGGACAGGTTGATAATTGTCGAGTGCAAGTGTTTGAGAAAAACCGTATGCATGTTGTCGCCACGTCTCGAGGAGGAGAATTTAGAGGATCGTCTGGTGGTGACGCCATGGCCTCTGTCCTCAGACCCTTCCCAATGTACTCGAGTTTGTCAGTTCAACCACTGCTAACTGCATCCGGATGTTCAAGTAAAACTACAATAGTTTTTGTGATGATTGTCTTAAGATTATTTCATATGAAATTATTGATTTTGGGAGCATGGTTGACGAAAAATAAACAAACTATGTGCATAATTTTTCAGCTCTTGACTATGGACAACTTTGCATGTCAAACTTGTTCCCGTTTGCTATGGGAAATCCCCTTGCTGTGAACAATCCTTGGCAAAATAAGCCTCCCCTTTTGGGACTTCAAGGTAAAAGAAATAATGGCATTTAGTAAACAGTTTTCATTTTTCACATCCGTTTTAGCCCTAGCCAGGGCTTATAAGATCGTCATACGTATCTGTCCGTCTTTGCGTCGGTATGTGGCATACTAATCCATGAACACTCAATCGGGTTGACCAACTAAAGATTAGTCTTAAAATGATATCTCCACGATGCATTGTGAAATTTTTGTGCTGCTGGATAAGAAAATTTAAGCATAATAAACATGTAACTTTTGTAAAACATTGGTCAGGGGGCTCGAAAAGGCAAACTCTCACCAGGTTGAGACTGGCTCGGGCCATATCCAGCAAGACTGCATTGTAGGTTGATTTGATGCTGTATAGTTGCATTGATCCTTTGCTCTTGCCTTGAGAAGTTGAGACTAATGCATCAAACATCATAACTCTCAAATACAGGGTGGTTAAAATGTCACGCCACAATGGAAAATTTTTCAATGGGAAAAGTCCCAAAATCTCCATTAGTTACAAGATTTGCGATTGAGATTTTTATAAATTATTATCAAAACTGATGACAAAATTCTTAGAACATTGAATTTTAGACAAAATTTCGGTAACTAATGGAAATTTGTGGATTTTTCCCATCGAAAAATTTTCCATTGTAGCGTTACATTTTAACCACCCTGTACATACAAAGTCTCATTTGTACTACGTGCGACTCGATTTTTTGAAGACACTATGAGATTGTTATGTATATATACATTTGTGTATTTGTTTTATTCAGTCTAAAAGTTTTAACACCTTATTCCCAAACCCATCTCATCATGAATTGTATGATTACAGAATTGCATTGACATGCACACATTTAACTATTTTATTCCAAGAGCCCAAAGTTATGCTTAAGAGTCTGGTTAATTATTTATTGTGTGCAGTGCCATATAAGTGAGAATGTGTTATAATGTTGTTTGTTCAACATTAAAACAGACTCGCACTTCACTAAAAAGTGTTAATAACACTGTAATTGTACTTACTTGGTGTTTAACACTCTGAAAGTATGTAAAAAAAAGTCTGTAAAAGGAGGCTAAATTAGAGCTCAAATAGTCAATTTTCATTTTACCACAACATTAAAGTCTTTAGCATATCCACACACACTAATCACAGTACAGTGCATAGTGTTCATCTACAACATAATATTGCGTAATTAACCAGGGGGATGTGTCTTGTCTTTAAAACTTGACTTGCTCATTTATGATGATACGTTAGAAAAACAACTTTATATCTTCTCAAGATATGTCATAGGTACGTATGCATTCTGGTTTACGAGCTATTATCGCCAATTATGTAGTAAGAAGTAAATATTAAAGGTATTAAAGTGTTTTCTGAGGTGTGGTCATTCTCATACTTGGATCTATTAAATTTCGAGTGATATCACTGGTCAACGCATTCATTTGGCTAGCCAGTAACAAATGCATATGAAAAATACCTACATGAATATAAATAACATCTTGATAAACTATTTAGAAAAGGTGCTAAAATGCACGTGCTTATATTTATAAAACATAACACGGTCCGATATTAATGAACGTTTGCTTGAAAATAAATATGATTATCGTTTTGTTAAATAACACATTCTTCTATCTGTAAAGTTAATTCAATCTCACCTTGTTCAAAATGTATCAAACAAAAATAAAATGTCACGAGGTGATAGATTTACATAATTAAGTGCAAAGTAAGGACTAATTACTACGCATGCAAATTGTAGCACCGAAGCCTTCGGGAAGGAGAGCAAGGAAACCTGGACTCGACAGGAAGCCTCGACAAGCGTACAGCGCAAAGCAATTGGAAAGGTTGGAGTCAGAGTTCAAGGTAAGAAAGCATTCGGGGCGATTTGAAACGAGTTACTGTCACCAATTTTCACTGTATTTTTATTCTTATTCTGCCAGAATGACAAATATCTCAGGTGAGAGGAATAAAATATACAATTTTTGTATGTATAAACTACCAAACTCAATGCTCAGTCAGTACATATGATGCTTATCTACATACATCAACAAGTCGAACTCGAAATGTAATAATTCTTATTCTTACATGCTGCAAAGCGTGAGCAAGCGATTGGAACTATCGAAAACGTTGAATTTGACAGAAGTGCAAATCAAAACTTGGTTTCAAAATAGGTAAATATTTTACAAATTTTTATATAAAATTTATTTTTGAATTAAAATAAACTATTCAATTCAAAATCAAAATGGCATTTTTTTTACAAATACGTTCATTAAACTACTTCAGAATGATGACTTTAATCATGCATAAGCAGACAATGTGTTTAATAATTTGCATATGCACATTTATAGAAGGACGAAATGGAAAAAGCAAATGACTGCCCGTTTCAAGCTAGCACAACGCCAAGGGCTGGGGCCACACATTTACAACTCGTACTCTTCAGCGTTTGCAGCAGTAAGCTTTAATTTTTATTAGTACTTACTTATTTATTTCTTGAATTAAATACGGAATCGCTTATAGGTTAAAAAGTTGGTTTTATTTAGTTACACGATTGGATTATTTTAATGAGCATATATGTTTATGCATTAACATTTTCATGGATTTCATCACTGTAGCTTTCACCGTACTACACGCCCTCATTGTTCGCCACATCAGCCCCACTCTCCTCCGGTCTCACAGTAAACAATGCCAGTTCCTCCGAACACTCTGACAGTCAAATCAAGCACGACCTGGATTAAGAATATCATAGATAAACACAAACATGTATGTTAAGTATTTATGCAATATAGATGCGATTTTTGTGTACGCATGAAATGTCGAATTCAATACTCAGGACGATGATTATTATGATATTTATTATCTAGTAATCATGAAAGGTGAATTAAGTATGTGCCAAATTGGTGTATTCTTACAATGCGATGGTGTGAAGTGTAACCCTCCGATTTGGCTGAAATTTTAAAATTAGGTGGTCCAAGCCAATACAACTAACGTTTCTTCAGGCAGTTTGTACGATGGTGAGAGTTACTCAAAATATTTGAGGTCAAAGTTCAAAAAACGGCCGACTTTTTTCAGGCGGAGTGAGAAAACTCCACTTCCATTCTCTTCCCCTCGCTTTGATTTTCACTCCGAAAAATAATTCATTTCAACAATTTTAAATTTAATATTTTATAGAAAAATATTAATTATTCATTCCACATGTGACTATATGATTATTTTCATAAAAGTCCACAAAACAATACGATAAACTGCACCAGCTGAATTTGATGAATGTGGGATTGCCACAATTCAGGTCGCAACTAATATTTTTTTCTCTAAAACAAACTTCGCTTACATTTTTAAACTCGGGCTTTTCGTCATCACCCATGATCCGCTTGAGTACCAACAATATCGAATCACAGGAGCATTTAAAATATTAATATATAATTGGATATTAGAATAACCAACGCTTTCGAAATGGAAAGCAAGTTAAGTTTTTCCATGTTTATTTGCCGTTGGCGAATTTATAAATTAACTTTTATGTAAATTTGTACTAGAAATAAGTAAAAATCTCACTTATTTAATTATAAATTAAATTAAGTATGTATAATGCGTATTAATTGCTCTTTAAGCTATAATTAATAATGTTTATTTTTTATTATTTTGCATCAAAGCTTGTGCTTGAGCATGAAGGCGTATGCATGAGCGAGACGCCTGAATAAAATCAAAGCGAGGGGAAGAGAATGGAAGTGGAGTTTTCTCACTCCGCCTGAAAAAAGTCGGCCGTTTTTTGAACTTTGACCTCAAATATTTTGAGTAACTCTCACCATCGCACAAACTGCCTGAAGAAACGTTAGTTGTATTGGCTTGGACCACCTAATTTTAAAATTTCAGCCAAATCGGAGGGTTACACTTCACACCATCGCATTGTTAGATGCAAACTGTGTAATATAATTATAAGGCAAACATGTTACTTGTGCTATATAAGCTTAGGAATAAAATGCATACCGAATTATGAAAATTACTTGCGCAATTTTTACCATTTGTATATGACATTTGAGATTTGGAGCTGTAGGTAAGACAAGAAAACATAAGCAGGTACGTTATAAATATGGATTTCAAATGCAGGGTTGCTATGATGGGAATACGAAAATAAAAATTCATGTTTTGCGTATATGTATAAAGAAATTGAAGGAGAATCAAAACCAAATCACAACAATTGAATCGGCTTAATGTTCTGGATGAGTAGACCATACATGTGACATAAATACATGGGTATTGTGCATATTACGTTTATTTCATAAATCTTGTCTTGTTCGTTTAATTTTTAGCAAACATTTGTATCTTTATGTGTAATAGCTAAAATGCAAGAAATTCCATTCAGTCGAGAGTCGGGGGAGGAAGCCACCCATTTCCCCATTATTCGCAGGGAAAGCTGGGTCACTTTGCAGGGGAGGAAAATGTTGGACACCCCTCTTCACAGCCAGAACAACCTGTTGATGATGGAGGAAGAGAAGAACAGTCCAAACGCACTGAGGGCACCTTTCTCCACCTTTCTCCATCTCTTCACTCTTCTTCTTTGTGCCACCAGGAGCATGAAGTGCAAGCTATGTGACCACATTTTCATTGACGTCACCGTTCTCAACTGCGGTAAATATATAATTAATAAAAGATGAGGTAGCGACGCTGTTAAAGTATAAAATAAAAAATATATGCCCGCTTCAACTCTCTCAGGCCATGCTTTCTGCAAATTCTGTCTCACAGCCTGGTTTCAAACAAAGATGTTTTGCCCGACTTGCTTAAAATTGGAGGTTCACCCAGTCTGTAATCGATGCTATCAACTGGACTCCCTCGCAGAATCCTTCTATCGTCACTTTTTAGAGATTTTCAACCTCGTTTCACTGCCCCCCACTATTGTTGAATCATCATTCTCGTTGAATGGGAACGCTGCTGTAGGAAACACATCTCGGTACAATGTCAATAATGTGCCACTGTCTCAGCTTAAATTATTCAACATGAACAAACGGTTAGAAGCTTTTCGAATGGTCCACAAAACTAGAAAAGACCGTCGCGACACTCTGGCAAATTGTAGTTGCGTAAACAAATCATGCCCAAATCGGTCTATGCTTCAAGGTGTGGGAGACTTAGGATTCGGACTTCGGAGCTCCATACAAGGATTCATTTTGATCGTCATCGGAAGTTTTTTTCTCGGCCTCTCCGCTTGCCAATTTAGTGATCTCCTAGAAAAGTTGGAACTGGTTGGACTCAGGAGAATATACTACGTCGTACTGATCATGTACTTGATATGCACACAAAGAGTTCCCTTTATTCGTTCTGAAGACATTTCAAGAAACATTTTCTGGGACCAGATTTTGAAGACGACCGTCACAGAAGAGCGTGACCCTTTCTTTCAAAACGAAAAAGCAAGAATGAATCTCCTCGTTAGGCAAAATGAAATAGACTTTCATGCTGTTGAACGTGAAATTCTAAACATTGTTGAAGCACTTGGAGGGCTCGATTTAAATTAAAAGCAATAAAAACCTAGGCGTACCATACAATGTTTCATTATCATAGTTAAAAATTTGATCGTTAAATCATTTGGAAACTCAAATTTCTTGTATATAATTTATTTTAGGACTTATAAACTTACTACTTCTATATACTAGACATACATAATGTCGTGGTTCTTAATTTCCAATCAATCAATCTAACTACTCTACTACTAACTTGATGACTGTGGATTTGACTTTGAGTTATTCGTGATGACAGCATCTTGTAGATTTTCAGAGATTTCTTGAATGTCTTCTCTGGATATACCCTCCAAATTGCAACTATCTTCATCTGGTAAACTGAAATAAATTTGTACATTGTTGTAAATTTTATACAAATAACAGAACTAACTTGTAATTTTGCATAGATAGAAGTATAGAATAAATAGTTTTCGTACGTTTGTATTTCCGTCTCTGCTTCTTGCGCAAGCTTATTTTGAGTTCGAAAATAGTCTTTTCTAGCTTCTTCCAGTAAAACATTATGAATAAGTCCTGGGTGTGGTTTGGTCATGGGTCCAACAAGTGGGGGGTAAGGATTTCCTCTTAGTTCTAATACCACACGGTTACGTCTCATGTTTTCATTTTCAGAATCTAAGCAAAAAATTTCAATAATTTTTTATACATACTTACAAGTAATGGTGCAATGATGTATTTCCTCAAGTTAAAAAAATTATTTTATATTAAGAAGACATACAGTCAGTTATGTTTGATGGAGCCCTAAGTAGTCTGGTATAGGGTAATCCGCTAGGCCATTCTTGGTATCGAGGAACAAGAACCTTAAAAAGTTTTGGCACTAGTGCTTCATCTTCCAGCCAAAATTTTGCCAAATTCATAGTAGGACGATGACAATCTCCATGTCGAACTGCTTCAGAAATCAACCTTTCTGCGTAGCCTCTGGACTCGTCTGCTCGAAAGTACGTCATTTCTAGTCGCTCGTATTTAACCAATGCTGTGACAGATTTTCGCATCATCTTAATACGTCCAACTGGACCCTCGGCATTTTGCATTTTGCGATAAACTGGTTGAATTTTAATCCTTAGTTTGGAGACCAATTGTGCCAACCCTGCTTGCGTCGCCATCTCCTTGTTGATCTAGCGAATAGTTTTCACGTCGAGTTAAAACTAAGACCTCGTCCTCAACACCTGCTCGCTGGATTCGTCTAAAATCCCAAATGTTAAGAATAGATTAAGTCATGTATTATACTGCATGTCCTATCTATTTCTACATTTTTAACATTGATTTGATAATATTTGAAAATTGTTATATAATATTAAATAATAAATATACCTGTATTCGGGCCAAATTTTAAAGTAGAAAAATGCACCAAATCCAATAACCGCCCAGGTTCTGAAGATTCTAGCAATCCTGGCTGGTGCCAAAGGCCTTGGTTTCGAAGAATTTTGGTTTGATGATGATGCTGATTGTGCTGATAGCCAAGTGAAATTTGCTCCTAGTTTCATTTCATCCTATTCCACACGTTTCTGAAATAATGAACACAATTATATACTACCCCTTTACCTATAATTAATTTTATAGATAAACAAATAAGAAAATCCATTGTAAATTGATGACATGAATAAACTTGGATTACCTCGATCGAGTTAGTTTCAGCATTAGCAGAAGCACTACTTTCTAATTCAAATGACTGGTCTGGCTGTTGGTTTTGTTCTCGTTGCACCTGTCGCTCAAAAATTGGTTTCCAAATATAAACCCCACTCACAGTTCCAATTACGCCGGCTAACAAAATTTGTAATCTAGAAAGACCACGACGTCCACGAATCAGCATTGCAGACCATTCTCAAGTTAATGACAAATGTTGACACTCTAATAAAATGTCAATAATTTGAATAAGGATAAAGATAAAGCAATAGGTTATTTATTTCCCTACGAGAAAAGAAACTCAAAGATCAATCAGAGAAACCGGACTGCTTTCCAAAATGATTTTACCACATTTTGCGATTGAGACTTGAGACCGTCCGTCCGATATGAATTGAGGCGGGTTGAGGTTGGACTGGATGAACAAATGCGCTGAAATTGTGTCTTGTGTCTTTTGCATTTTGCTTTCGTTTCATCTTCATCTTTGGCTAAATGTGAAATGTTGACAATTTTTTATCCGTCATTGTCACCAGTCAACAACGAGTGCTAGAGTAAATGATTAAAACGATAGGACAAACTGCAAATAAATCCACATCACGGCACCGGCCAACCAAGCAGAAACTGCTTAGCAGTTATAAATATTTATATTTTCTTCGTTATTGAAAATAACTTATTTTTAATTAGCCAAAAGTCATTACAAATAATAAAATATGAGTGTATACTCAACCAGCCCTCGTCGTGACTTGTCCGATGATGATGATGTTGACCGACGTTCCACTCATTCTTCTGACGGTAGGAATGACGACGACCCCGAGGAAGCCACCAGAGGACGACGGACACCGGACTCAGGAGATGAGGAGGGTATTAAGATAATTTTTAGGAGATAAAATTGAGTCGGAATCCGACAGTGTGATATAAACAAGTAAGACGCTAAAATATTTTCTTCTATCTTCATGCACCTTAGATCGGAAAAAGAAGGAAGAGGAGAAAAAAAAGGCCAAGAAACCAAAGGGGCCCGTGAGGCGACAAATGATCAACGAGGACATGTAAGTGCAAATTAGTAATTTAGTATTTGCATAGTGCTATTTTATTGGCTTGTTTTAGGTTGATTGGGCCGAAAGGGTTATCTAATCTTAACGAGTCGTTAAAAGATTTTGAATTCGGAGAGAAAGGCGGAGAGAGGGACGACTTGGACCGGTTGTTAAATAAAATGGAACAATGGGTTCATACTCTCCATCCAAAGCACCCTTTTGACCAATGTTTGGAGCGAATCGAGTTTCTGGGAATAAAAAAGAAAGTGGTTAAAACGTATGTAAAGAAGATGCGCATGGGACTTTTGCCAACAATGTCATCCGAAACTATTGATGACATGGACCCCATGTTTAACGATGATGACTTGTTTTTGCCATTTGAGAATGAGGGGAATAACTCAGAACGCGGCCCAGCAGAGTCAGAATTTCCTAATCAAGAAGAAGAAGAAGAACTTGCCCGACAAATCGCCTCATTCGCCTCGCCCCCAAATGATGGTTTTCCTACCCTTGAAGAACAAATGGAATTGGAAGAACTCATGTCTGCTGCTGGAAATTGATGTAATTATAAGTAAAAAATTATGCGACAATAATAATTCTATGTATATTTTATTTGCAAGTAAGTGTATAATAATAATAACCAAGAGAAGAAAGATTTAGGAAATAACAAGTTCCATTGTTGTCCTTTAAATCACTCTGCTTGATTAGAAATCGCTGACTCGTCCTTTCCGTTCCCAGTCTCCGTATCTAGTTGGTTCCGGACCTCGTGGTCCTCCAATTTCCCCAGTATGTGGATTCGTGTTATCTGGCCATGGTGGCAATGGCTCTTTCTCTTGGTATGGATGTCGTCCTTCTTCTAATTCGTCCAATTTTCCTGAGATCAACATTACTTTTGCAAGATCTGTGTTCTGTGCGAATTTGTATTTGCGAGTAGTACATTATGCGTCTTAAATACCAATAGGAGTTTTTGCCCTCAGCGTTTTGGATTTTCTGGTCGTCGGTTTCTCTTCACCAGCCTTGTTCACTAGTGGCTTATCATTCTCGGACTTATTTGTCGCTGTTATAGATGAGCAGTCTCGATACTGCATCGAAAGAGCAATTCCACGCTTGCTACTAAGATGTTTCATGTAGAGGATCATAGAAAATCTGTCGAATCCACTATTTTTGTACAAGTTCAATAATTTTCCCCTTAAAATTAAATTCATTTTATCTGCCGTCAATTTTTGTAGAAATGTAAGCTAGAGATGAAGTTTTCCGCGCGTGAAGCAACCAAATTGGATGTGTGCCCTATGAAAGTGGCAGTGTGATTGGGAGCATGATGTGACGATGTTACAAGTGCCCGTTCCCGTAGCAGTGTGGCCCGATTTGAGCAGGAGAGCTGAGCACCCTCATTTTTAAAAATAAAAATTGCATTCGAAAATTACATTCATAATATTCGCCGGTATGAACGTGGGGGGATATAAACTTGTATAACAAATATAATAACATGAATGAATCATGTTCGGGAAAAATGCTTGCGAGTAAAAAATAAGGTCAATTTTGACCTTACCGTCCTTACCAGTATTGATTCTTAATTCAATGTGTGTGCATGTTAGGACTAGTTAGGAGGGAGCAGTCGACCATATTTCTATTTAATGACCACGTCCCCTGGATGGGTGAGCGCTAGAAGTTTATCTCCGCAATATGCCCTCATGAAATTTTTTTCGGAATGCATAGCTTTATTTGATGAGTTACTTTTGATATAAATAAAACTGATAATACAGCGAATATAACTCAGCTGAGATAAATTTTCAATGTATTTCTTATGAGAAATGTGGGCCCTCTGTGCGCCTCTCATGCTAGATCGGGCCCATAGTTCGTCGTCCACATATAACTCGTACGGAGATGACTCTGTTTTGGATGGTCTTTCACCACAACTACCATTCACATAGATATTTGCTTCCGATTGTGGATTGATTGTGTTAATGTTATTCACACATACAATACACAATAATTAGTAAAAAAAAAACTGGAAATTTATTGTTGCATTTGTCAGGTAAAAATCCCTCTTTTACATCATTGTTAGAATTGTGCATATTGCGATAAATTGCTAAAGGGATTTCAAAATGTTCTGTTGTGATTCTCCAGCTTGAACTTTCGACTGGGCTTCCTAATTCAAAATCTTCATACTTTGGTTGATTCATCAACCAATTGTTTATGTACATGTGCCGAAATTGTTCACCATTTACTACTGCCATCAAAGCAAGTAAGTTAACATTTTGCTTGCACTTACAAAATTAAGAAAAAAGAAAGCAAGTTTTCGCCAAACTCTTGTCAATATTAATAAATATCGCACTGCTATACAAGTAGGATATAAGACTGGCAAGAAAATTAGTCACACAATAATCGGATTGAAAATATTTATTGGAACAAATAAAATAATACATTAAGAGCTGATTACTTTTGGAATGAATGTGTGCAACATTCGTCAAGAAAAGTAACAAATTGCAAATGTTAATTAAAGCTAGATGCCTGAAATCTAGACGTTTAGATACGTATACATGTTTGTCTATCTGCAATAATCTACTCTATTTAACTTAATTGCTGTTTATGTATTGTTTTACTTTAGCACACTTTTAAAATACTTTATTACGTTACTAACGGTTTTAATTTTTACAGGTCGGAGCTTTATTAGTTATCGAGCAGTGTGGTACCTAGAGATAATTGGCTAACAAGTGGATTGTACTACCTACTATCAACATTTTCCTCAAAGTACCAGTGATGAACACTTGACAGCAAAACCTTATTTACTAGACAGCCAATATAGTTAGTAAAGATGAACGGACTAAGTTTCAGCGAGCTGTGCGGATTGTTCTGTTGTCCGCCGTTTCCATCCAGAATTGCTGCCAAATTGGGTAAGACTACCAGTTTAATTATTTACAATCCATGATACGTTAAATATAGTATAATTCAGAGATAAAATATACCAATTTTGGGCTATCACAGTATCTTGTCAAAAATTCAAAACCAACATTTTACATGTTGTATGATAATTGTATGTTTTTTAAATTAGCTTTTCTTCCACCGGAACCTTCGTACAAACTGAATGCAGACGAATCTGGGTCCAAGTTTTCCATTGAATTTAATGACAAGGCTGAATGGCAGTATTCAGATAGAGAAAAAGATAATATTGAAGTGTTCTATACAAGAACATCAAGGGGAAATAGAATTGCTTGCATGTACGTTAGATGTTCTGCCAGTAGCCGTTTTACAATCCTCTTCAGTCATGGTAATGCAGTGGACTTGGGTCAAATGAGCAGTTTCTACGTGGGGCTGGGTTCAAGAATCAACTGCAACATTTTCAGCTATGACTATTCAGGTAACACATGTTTTACAAGCCACTATTCGAATAGCTTGTACCTATTTGAGCAATAAAGAATATTTTCTATAGGCGAGAAATATATTATCGCCCAAAAATGTGTTTATGTTTTGCAGGGTATGGTCCAAGTAATGGGAAGCCATCCGAAAAAAATTTGTATGCAGACATCGAAGCAGCATGGCAGGTTAGTGCATACAAAAAGTTTCTTGACAATGCTTGCCCAAAATCGTACCAGAAAGGTTGATAAATATTATCGTAGTTATTATTGATTTAAGATAGTGCTATATATAATAAGTGTTATACTTGATTTTTCAGTGTTTGCGTACCAGATACGGAATTTCGCCTGAAAATATAATTTTGTATGGTCAGAGTATCGGGACGTAAGTCTTCCGCTTCTTTTAATCTTCCTTAAATAGTATTTAAATTTATAAAGCTTGAATTAGTTAACGCTGATTTTTTCATGTCACATAGTGTCCCTACTGTAGACTTGGCTTCAAAGTATGAAGTTGGTGCTGTGATTTTGCATTCCCCATTGATGTCTGGGATGTAAGTCAGTATGATGATTACGTTCATTTGCTTTATTTGACATGATTTTCTAATTGCAGGCGAGTTGCCTTCCCCAACACCCGACGAACATGGTTTTTTGATGCTTTTCCAAGGTGTACAACATACTCATAATGTTTATTTTTATTAAATGCTATATTCTCATCCTGTACATTCTCTATAAAATTTGAATTACGTTTATAGCATCGATAAAGTTCCAAGTGTGCAAAGTCCTGTCCTAGTGATTCACGGGTAAATAACCTACAAAATGAAAATGAATGACATGCGGACTTAGTTCGTTTATCCAAATACTGTTTTACAGAACTGAAGATGAAGTGATTGATTTTTCTCATGGATTAGCTATCTACGACAAAGTAAGTTTTGTTGTACGACAATTTAAAAAATGTTTTGAGTTACACTAAAATAAATGCTACTGTCACGTTGTGTGTAGTGTCCTCGTGCAGTTGAACCTCTTTGGGTCGAGGTAAATACTTTTTGTTTTTAACTAAACTATTTTAGGTTTTATATTTTTCTCTTGAAAATTCAATAATAAGTCACATTTTTTATTGTAGGGTGCGGGACATAATGATGTTGAATTATTTAATCAGTACTTGGATCGACTCAAGCAATTTGTGACGGTTGAGCTCGTGAACTAATCAAAGTGAAATAATTTTAGCATCAAATTGAAGCAAGTGCATTAACTTACAACAACTATAAACCAACCAAACTCTTCTCTCCTAAATTATTCCAACCCCCATCAGGATGCACGACACTCAAGTGCATTCGTGCAACTCGTTCATATTTATTTACAACAGTATAAATTTTGAAACAAAAACGGTCGGGGTGTTGAACCAACGAACAAAACAAAACAGAAAAAGGCTCTCCTTGCAAGTGATTCAGTGAACTACAATAATATAAAAATATCCCTACGGCGCTTGTCAATGTCAAATTCAACAATCTGTTTGTAAGGTAGTGGTAGCAGCTCTCATTTGAATAGCCGAAGTAAATTTATATTCTTTAGTTTCGATTTGACAAATCTCAGTATTCATTGTAATTAAATACAAGAAAATTATTGTAAAAAATCGACATTTTCCCCACGGCAAGTATAAACCTCCCGGCTCCTGTCTAAGATATACGTCAGATATATTTCTCCCGTAAAGACCCTTACATTTTAATATACTATATTTATATATATATACATTATGGTTTGTTGGTTGCAGCAACAGCACTTTTTTGTCTTTTATATGAGGATCTTCGTATCTGATATTTCTCATGTTTGCTGCTTTTGAGATTATGTGTGATTGGTTACGCAAAATAGTTATCCAATCACGAATAATGGCAATCACAATTAGTTATTAGACAAGATATACGCCACTATACATATATACTACGTTCGTACATATCGAAACTTTTTAGTTCCTTGTCAACTATTTTTTAGTTACCTAATTTATTCCATGCTCTCAACATATGTTTGTAACTGTTTTGCGTTTTATTCAATGTTTGAACAAATGAAGCTAATTCTAAGTCTTTTTTAATGCAGTTAAAAAGTATAGATATAAGTACCTTTTTTACATTTTATAGATTGATAATAAGAGATCTAGAATCCTATTAAATTAAATACAGTCAGTTATACCTCATGTTTTATGTTGTACCTTGTTTGATATATCATATCTCATTTAGACATGTATGATGGATACATATGTCTAAAAAATATAGTAGTTACTGTTACTATTAATATTGCAATGAAGACCAACAAAGGCTAAAAGTTATTTTAGCAACTGAATTATTACAGTAGTGCGTCATACAAAATGAAAAATTCCCCTAAATCCATATTCTTCAATCATAAATTGAAATTTTTAGTTCTTCAAACAATAAAAATCAGGCGAACCCCATTAGTTACTGCAGTATGAAAATTCTAATGGACTGACTGATCAAACAACTAACTCCCATCACTCATCATGAATACCGCGATATGGAGACTATACTATATATATTCTACGCCAGCCAACATTTTGTGAAATTAACAATAATTAATCAGTGTTTGTCGTAAATTTTTGTATGTGTAGAATCTAAGTAAAGTAAAGAATCAAATGTCTCTTAAAATTAATTTGACTATACATATATTTAGATATATGTGCATGTTATTTAGTGTATCACACATTTGATAATACCCCAAATTGGGGTCCCCAATGAGATCATCATAAATTAGAGAAATTGAGAAGCCATCACATCATAGCCAATTAGTTGAAACAACCCACCTATTAAACTCATCTCATATTTTTATCATTTTCTACATGCTCACGAAAAATATTTAATAAATAAAAAAGCTATGTAAGATTCTGGTACAGATAATACAACAAAAAACCATGAAAAAGATTTCATATTTTGTTGCATATTTCCCTCAAACAAACGAAGAAGCAAAAATCGAACTCAAGAGTCTCAGAATCTCATTCCAGTGAATGAAACGAACCTTGTACTAAAGTCTTCCGTTTTCTTTGCAACCAAAGATTCATACCCCGGGAAAATATTTTTTTACCCTACCCTACTCATGTTGAGCTCAACACGAGTAGGGTAGGATAAAAAAATCTTTGTCCGGGGTATGAAGATGATCCAGTCTCAAATTAAATTATCACGCAATACTTTAGGATAATATGGATCATCAAGAAACAGCCATGTTGATATTGCCAATAATTCACGATTACTCGTAATTGAACATTGTAAAATTACGAATTAGAGATATAAGAAATCTATTGTTTGTCAAAATCAATTAATCAATCATGGATGACTACATTAAATTTAACAACCAAACGGCCGGCAGAGACAAGATTTTCAGGTAATTTTGAAAACGTATTTTATTTATTTGTTTTTATAATGCTCGTTAAAGGAACGCAATTACGCAATCTCAACAATTTATTTGTTGTTTTCACCTCAATTTACAGATTGATTCAGTACTGCAGCAGAATTGGTAGAGTTTTGTTGTCTTTATTCAATGTGCGGTGTATTCGATTAATATTTCCATTTGAATATGTTTACAGTGTGGTATAATTTGGACAAACGAGGAATGAGTGTGAATGGTGTTCAAAAAGCGAAAAAACTGGATGAAACACTGGGTTTAATGCGCCGATGTAATTGATTTTGCTATTTACATATGTATATATTATTGTTATAATCAAATACTAATTGAATGCTGTGTTTTATAGTGTTGAGATTTGGGAGAGTATTTGACACGCTACACAGCGCTCTTCCAGTAATGTCAACAATAGACGACCAAGTTATCCGACTAACATCTGCTTTGTCTCGGATATCGAGTGCCTGTTTCATGGCAATTGACCACATTGTTTGCCTACATAAACTAGGACTAATCCACAAAAATTGCATCGACGCTCCAGGCTGGGACAAAACAGGGACGCGCTTTTGGCTATACTCCATTGTGATGGGACTTGTTCGAGACGTTTATGAGATTATGAAAGTTTACAAAGAGGCGTGCCAAATGCGACGAAGAAAAATCAAAGGCCACCACCATAACTATCAGCGCCACAGAAATTCACACTCTGATGAGGATGAACATTCCACTCGTGTAATAATAAAGGGCCTTCCAGCCAACCTAAACCTCACTCTTCAACAATCCATAATTTCCGCACGAATTATAACCAAGTGTGTTTCGAAGCATGCAGATATTACAATAGACGTTGTAAAAAATATATGCGACCTGTTCATACCTCTTACGATCTTGGGTTACATTAGACTGAGCCCCGGCACGATTGGAACCTTAGGAATTGTGAGCACCATTGCCAGTGCAATACCTCAAATTAACCCAATGTTAAAAATTACATGGGGTTAGGTTAGGTCGTGCTAAAAATTGTCACAGCTTGTTGAACCTTTGTGCAACTAAATCACAATAAGTCACTGTTAAATCTAGTCGTAATCTCGTAATATTGTCATGATTCTGACTTCAAATCTTAATATCAAACTCCAATAGAACTTACATATTATAAAATGCGTTTTAATTAATTAATTTGTTGTCTTGTCTTTAATTCTCTGTAATAAACGTAAAACGTAACTACTTTCTACTCTTCAATAAATTAGCTGTCAAACTATCCACATTTCTTTCTAGCTGTCACTAGCTGTATTCCCTGCGTGGTCAGATTATGATGGTCATCATTAAGCAAGCCATTGACGAATGCGTGCGATACGGTATGAATAGTATGAAACCAAAGAAATCCACTTGGAATATCAAAGGTGAAGGTTTGAGCATTTATTTGACAATGTCGTGACTGATGATTGTGAGAATGACCCTGAGAATATTTTGGTCTCGGAGGAGGAGGCGGCGGGTACCAGTCAGTGGGTGTCACGACCGGTGACATTGATGGGAGAGAAAAGACGCTATAAGACGCGAGCAGAGGCACCGCTGAGAGCCAGGCAGTCGTCCTATTACTACACTTTTTCTCTTCCGACATGCGGCTCTGTTTATCATCCTCACTCATCAACCCAATTCCTCATTATCTGTTCCACCACTAACTAATCCTGCTTTATCAACATCAATTCCTCATAATCACAATAAGCAACAGCACATTATTAAATAATTCTAAACAGAACGGGACAAAAATTAACGTCGGTCTCACTTTCGGTCGGGAAATAAGGTAAGTTGCAAATAGTTTAATTTATACACTGTAGTAATGACACGTGAATTTGAATAAAATATTTAGTTGATAAAACATAAAATGAATGATAGTTAATTTTCCGTTGGTTAGACTAGATACCTGTGTGCATAGGTTGATAGCTGTACAATGAAACTAGGTTTACATTTTCAAATATGTATTATCGTGTGGAGAGAGTTATTGCCGATTGTTCTCGAAAATTCTATATTGGTGGGGTGTAGTGAAATGATTGTGTCGTTTGGCGTCATATGTCATGCCGCTGTAATGTTGACTTTATGTTGTAGCTTTACTGGATGAGGAATAAAACAACTAGCCATATTGTAACATTCAACCAAGTGGCGAGGGGGTGCAGCAGGAAGATGAGAGAGTGGACGCACAACTAACTGCGGTGGGGAAGCGGACGATAGACATAAAGGTGAGACAGTTTTTTTATCGTCGTAGAACCTGTGATTTACGTGGTCACAACTGCTCAGTGCTTAGAAGATTTGTTGCTAAATTCTTGTACTAATGTTGCTCATTTTATTTTTATGCAGGACATTGAAACACGCTTTAGATTAACTACAAATAAAAGCGGACACTATCTAATCAACTATCAAACCCGATAATTATGAACACAGTCTAACCAAATTATTTAGGAGTGGAGGTGCCGGCGAAGTACTATTCTCAAATTTATGATCTCGAGTGATACAAGAGTTATCATTAGTGGGCTAATAGGGTGAAGAAATAGTCAGCACATAAAGTATCATATTTATAATAGCACAACGCTTTTACCCCATAAAGTAAACTTGTTCGTGTGGTCTGCAGTTTACTATATACATTTGTTCTTAATGTCGAGCGTATTATTCGCAAAATGTGTCTCCGTGTTTATAATATTTGCCGGCTCCGCAATATGTGGACTTCTTCCGGCCTTCAGAGTATTTTCTACATTTCCTAGATTTGCTTTGTCTTTGATTTTATCGTATGGTGGTGGTATACTTATTGCAACATCACTAGTTCACATTTTACCTGAGGTGAGATTTTTGATCTAATATATAAATTACATTAATTAATTAATTGTTAATAATAATTATCTAAACAGATTATAGTTTTAGCCCGAGTCAGAGTTTATCAGTTTATGTACCCGTCGTTATAGTTCGAAAATGGGCACGATCGAGTGGAGTTGTTAGTGTGTTCATTATAGCAGACGGCTGCTATAAGAATACATTGTTATGATAACCGAGTTACTGCTTGGAGGTACACAGCAGAGTGACCCATAATGGTTTCTAAAATTGGTAGCCACAGGAAAAGCTTAAATGTTGCATGCTTTGGTAAAATTATAAATTATGAGACTACAATAACGATGCTGCATTTGTAAAATATTGGTCAGATGTCTCGAATTTAGTGGCTTTCGGAATAAAGGCACCAAGTAAATGACTGACTCGGGCTATGTACATGAAGGCTGCAACTGCTGCAAGTAGGTTTCAAACTATTATTTTTGCTTTCAGGCACGAGAATCATGGCCAGACATAAGATTCACTCCAGGTACGCAATACGTTTAATGATAAGTAATGTAGGCCAACATTTATTTAATTCATTTGAGAAAATGCGAGTACTTGCCATACGTTAAAACAATCCACTTTCTATGCTCACTTGTTACTCAATTTTGTCCATGATTCCAGAAATGTCGCTGTGTACCGGAATATTTGTTGTCTATTTCATTGGCAAGTGTTTAGTTATAATTTTACACCTACTTTTTGAGTGCATATTTCTTTAAAGTAGCTTGTGGGCATGGTTTATGCTTGTATTTATTTTTTTAATCTCATTGTCTATTTCGTACAGAGGAGGTGGCACACTTCTTGGTGTGTCATGATGTCCATTCGCCAACGTTGACTCATGGAGGTATGATATGAATCTACATACATATAAAATGTTGTAATCAATTCGATTGTTACCAACAATAAGACCATTTTATTAGTGCTACTTTTCATGTACCTTTTTCGTAGGAGAAGGTGATGGACATAATCATGGGGTTCATGTTCATCATGATATACCTCCAAACAGTAATTGATTTATTATATACTAATCTCTAGTTTGGAATATTTTAAAAGTTCACCCTAAAAATAGGATGTGACGAACCTGCTGCTGTTTACCTATTTGCTGACGAAGCCGGCAGATCTGGCGAATTTGCTGCTACCACTAACCATAATCATCACCACCGACACTGCTCTTCTGGAGGGGGAGGGGGTGAACAACATGTGAAACTCTTTCCGAGTACTGAACAAAATAAAACCACAGTTTCTTCCACTGTTGATGATGTTAGTAATAAATTAATTTCGAATATTCACCCACTATATTACATTACCTTAAATTATTTAATTTATAATCTTATTGGATATATTAGAAAGAAGATCAAAAGACGGTCGTTGCCAAATCGCGGTCAAGTATGTAATAGTTATTTCACAGTGGAGAACGACAATATTTTATTTAAATATTAACGATAAACATTTGAACGACGTTTGCATTGCAGGTGATAAGGTAAATCGACTCCGATCACTGGTTGGGTTGATTGCACTTTCAGTTCATGCGGGTTTAGAAGGTTTATCAGTTGGTCTAGGTGAGAATTTTTAATATTCAGTTTTTTTCTAGATGTTGCCTACTTATTACTTATTACATCTATTATTCTTATTACATGTTCTATCCAGGTCGTGAGGCATCTGACGTATGGTATTTGTGTGGTGCAATTGCAGCTCACAAGGTATACGCGTGTTTTTCTTTTTTAATAATTATTGTGTGTCATCCAGTAAATTTTATATATGCTAAACGAACTATTGCAGCTCGTCATTGCCTTTTGCCTTGGGATGGAAGTTCGCAATGCGTCCTCTTCTCCTTGTACACTAGTTACAACTTCTTCAAGGTGACCATTAACTAACATACTTGTCTTTTTTACTATTCTCCTTAATTTATTAGGTCAGTAGTCTAAATTTTGTAATAACTATCATGTAGTGCTGCCTTCAAATTTCGATATGTGTTATTTTTCGCCCTCATGACACCATTGGGAATAGGTATCACAAATAAATTATATTTTATAACGTATATCTTATATAAATATACCTGAATCTGTAAAACTCAATGGACTACCATTTTCATATCCTTAGCTATTGGAACCATCATTACTGAAATCGTGCAAGAACCTCAAAATGGGAGTGAAACTGAATCTACTCTCGTCGCTGTATTACAAACATTGGCTGCTGGCACTTTATTATACGTTGCCTTTTTTGAGGTAATTATTTAACATTACGCCTTATTTTGGCATTATGTAGGCGTTGTAAACTACTAATTAGTATTACTATTTGTTTTTCCGTTTTTAGGTTGTTTTACGTGAACGAGCTCGTTTTTCCGGCAAGGGTCTTGCACAACTGGCTTTCGTGGTTATGGGATTTACTACAATGTGTCTAGTGGAAATCTATATTGGTACGCTCAAAAGGTCATGTTTTTAGTAACCGGTACATAATTAACAAGAATTTAATTAAACGTTGTAGGTGGCCATAATCATAATCATTCCGGTGACGGACACAACCATGACCAGGACAACGTTACCACACGAAATATTTCTTCAAGTCCAAATGAGCTAATCACAACGACAATTTCCGGTATTAACTTGACCATTACTGAATAAGACTAAATAATTAAACTCAATAACCGATTTTTTTATCACCTTGATTGTTGGCAATTACCATGAATAAGTTTAATCTGTTTTCTTACACCAACAACCTAACAGAAGTGAATTCAGACTAATTCGCCCGCTAGGGATAATTAACTGCAAATCTACTACCTATTCTAATCCTTCAATTCTTCTAAATATGCATTATATTTAGTTAATTGATCTTGGTGGGAGGATTGTTTATCGCTTGTGTATATTATTGTTATTATTCTAGGGTTATGTGATCAGTTTATGGTATTAGTATTGCCCAACAATTAATGCAGTTCACATTATTACTATAAACTACTAAATTATAGTACTTTCTATTTTACACTGGCTACTAAAAAATTAATGTGTACTTATTAAGTTGATTTTTTTGTTATGCCAGGCGGTTTTTGATTGGTATCTTCCTGGTGTTGTATTTTCAGCATAAGCAAAGTATAAAACCTTACTTTGGTCAAGTTTTTGGAGTGACGCGCATAATAAATAACATTTTTGTACGTGTGTGAGGTTAAAACACCGTATTTAAGTCTGACAACTTTAAATAATGCCTCCTATTGATTTCAGTTTTTCGTTATTTAGTATGCAAGTATGTATTAATATTTAGTCATTCATTGTATATGTACATGGTTGTTTCAAATGAAAGATTTGTAAGTAACAATAAAATATTTAAATTAAAGTCGTTTACACAAATTAAAAATTATTTATTGTCATTCAATCTTTCGTAATCATTTTATGTTATAATAACAAACGCACAAAATAAATGCAAAGTTCCATAACTCGGAAATGTTGGCCATGAAGCACATTTAATGCCAACAACTAGTTTGTGCTTTGGCGTTTAAACCGTATAAGCTAGTAAACAGACTTTTGACTGATTGATTATTGCTACTGCTGGTAGATAAAGGGCTTTCGCTTGCCGTCAAGTTGTTGCTGTACGTATGGTTGATTCGGCCCCGTAGGAGAAGCACCAGGACCACTTGGATAGCTAAAGCCACCAGTGCTAACCTTGCTGTCCTTGTCCCTCAGCCCAGTTCTATTCGTTTGCGATAAAGACACTCCAGGCGAATGCCGACGGTATCTGGTGGAGCTTGACAAGGCAGCCAACAAAAGTTCTACGACTTTCAGTTCACGGGTTGGGTCGCGGCCGATAGCATAATACTCTGATTTACTTGAATTTTGAGGGTATAAAAACTGTGTTTCTGTTGACCCTTCAGGGGAAGTAGAACTTGGTGTATTTGTCTGCTCTGTTGACACGGGGCTGCTAATAATGTCACCAGGATCAAGTCCCATGATTGAGGAAGGGATATTGAAGGTTCTGCTGAGGTAGAGATTGGCCCAGAAATTGAGATCACAAAGGGTAGAAGAGCAACGAAGGACTGTAGATAGTGGATAAGTACCACTCGATGAAAGTGTTGGCGGGTACAGCAGGGACTTGAGTTTGTACAAAGGATTTGCAAGAGATCCTGGTAATAATGGAGCACTTGACGTTTTTGGAGAATGAACGGGCATTATTGATTCATCGTTGTCGTTGTTGGCGTCGCGGTCCGAGAGTATTACACCCCAAGAAGTGTGATCCTTCCAGTGATCCTATGTAAGCAAAGTAAATAACCAAAATTAAGCATTGATGTACATTTTTCCATGAAAGGATTAATTTAAATAAGATAAATAAATAAAATACATTTTTAAAAAATCAGTTAAATTACCATTAATTTCCTTTGCTGCGGTGTGTCGAAGATAAACGTTCCTCGGCCTAAATTAATGTTAATACATGCAATAATTTGATCGGTTGCGTTTAAATTATAAATCTAATTAAATGAATTGCTTATATGTGCATACTTGCATCAAAGCTTGATTCCCACAACGTTGCCAAAAGTTTGTCGTTAAACTCAAAGTCAACCAAGTTTTGTTTCATTAATTGTTGAATACAATCGAGAAAAAGTAGTAAAACTGGACTAGTGTGCATATAAGTGGAATGAAACGGATGCCTGAAAAGAAACGTACATAAGTCAATAACGCTCGTTAGTTAGTTTACAAGACATTAAGCATACAATAATTTTTTAAAATGATTACTCCTTACCCAAAAGCAATCCATTCTTTCTGAATTAATTGAAAAAATCCAGAGACAGTACGAAATCTTGCATCAACAAGCACCTGAATAAGAGAGCTTGAGAGGCAAGCAGTATCTCTAGATTCATGTTCTGCAAGGAATTATAATAAATGAATATTATGAGAATGACGAATGAAACTGCGAAAAATTACCCAAAGAGTATATGTACCTTGAAGAATAATAAAATCTTGGTTCTCAGTTATTAAACGCCCAGCATAATTGGCAATGTGTAGAGATTTGGAAATCAGAAGCATCCATTTTGTATGTTCCAAGAGAGAATAAAACCGACTGTCCATTTCTTCATACTGAAGAGATGATTCGGGACAACAAAGCTCAAAAAGCTTAGTAAATGATTGTCTGATTTCCTTTGTCGGCAACTCGACATCGACTGTAATAAATTGATGCAAATGTTAAAGTTTTTGTACATATGTACTTCTTAAAATGCAAAATACAGAAACAAGTAATTACGATCAATTATTATGGGCTGTTGTTTCTTAGGGTGTGCTTTTCTACAGACTTCAAAGAACACGGATTCAGCAGAGCTAATAAAATTGAATTATATTTGTTAAACAACTTTCTAATTTATAAAGTTACAAAATAGTTGCATGTATGTATGAAAATTGAAAATATGACATTGACAGATCTCTTACCAGTCATTTTCACTATTCAGCTTAGACATTCTGAGTATACCACCACCTTTCGAATCTGCGAATCACAGCAGATCTCTGAAGTCATTTTTCAATCATTTCGACAAGTTTACAATGAGGAGATTACAGTGAAAAATTTGGCCTAACCTGCCCATGACCAGTGAGGTGGTCGAGTCCCTTTGAGTTTTTCAGCCAAACTGATTAGCTTAACATCGATTAAATCTGCGGGGACAATTATCCACTCTGGCAAGGATCCGCACAATTGGAATCCTTCATTAGCGCTGCTGATTCTGTAGCCTGAATTCGATCGTATTATATTGAGCTCCTTTAACCAGTCTCCTTTTTCCAGGAAGGAAGGCACACTAATAAAGCTATTGATTGGATGTCGCCAGTTTTCAGACGCGGCTTTCGAGTAGTCGAAATAAAACAGGCGATCAATTTGAAGGGGGAAGGAATGGTGTATAATAGAATTACAAATGCGAAGTCCGTTATCCAAAGGAGAAAATTTAAAACTATATCTAAACGATTTAAAATTTGAACATGCGATTAAAATCTCGTGAACCCGTGTTGACCCTGAAGGAATTATGCTGGGATTATTTACAGAGCTGGGTCCCAACTTTACCACACGACGGTGTTTTTTTGCTCCTGGTGTAGTCTTTGAAGTCTCAAAATACCACAGCATGTTGATGGACAATAAAGGCACTGCATCTTCAATTTCACGACGTTTCTCGTTCGACACAAATATCACTCTTGCGTTTGTAACAAACAGGGAACCTGAAATCCCTTTCTTTTTCGATAATGATGTGAACTTTAGCACGTTCAATGCTTCAGAAATGACCAGTTCCCCACTCAGAAAATCTGGCTGTATTCCTTCTGAATTCGTTTTTGGACTCTGCAAGACCCCAAAAACTAATTAAGTAAATGAATAATATGTATGTTACGTACTCATAATTAATATAAATTTGCATCTTTTACCTTCATTTCATACTCTTCTAAACCAACATAGCTACGAAACGATCCCATTTTTCTGAGCATTATTTACAATTTATGGTAATGCTTTGGTTATCTCCACTTCTACATGAATGTTAACTCGCTACATATAAAGTTTACAATAAATGAGCATCTTATTATCTTTTAATCCATTTTTCCTAATCAAACAAATTTTCAAATACCTTAACTTCCTTATGTTCACCACCATGTAAGAACCTGAAAACTGAGAAAAATGTTCATATTTTTACTATTATTACATTTCTGTTATGACCATAAACATATTTTGTCATATGTCTTTAAACGTAATCAGATAAGATCAAAGCTTTCTCGTATTAATCATCCCAGCTTTTTGGAGGAGGATGCCGAAGGTCGAGCATGGATTTCCAGTGAGCGGAGGATACAGAATAGCATCTCGGGACGAACACCAGAGAAGAGCTCAAGCCACCGAGCCGCCAGACCAACCACACCCACCCAGCCAGATGACCAACAAGCACAACCTCCACCACCCTCTTCCAGCTAGCCACATTGGTCAAATTCGGCCTTTGTCATCATTTTTACAATTTTACAATACACAGTTTACAAGGGAAAATAAATAAACGTGGTCTTACTTGTCAAATGAGATCTGTTACAAATATAATATGAATGAATGACTCTTGTTGATTGTATCCGGAAATATAATATTATCACAGTATTTGGAATTAGTCGTTCCCCTCCAAAACTACATTTATCAGTACCAACTTTTTCTACTTTTATCGAAATGACAATTACTTGAGGTCAAAATTGACGATGTTTTGTTAAAAAAATTAAGGTGAAATAAGGGAAACGAAAATGAATAAAAACTGGAAATCCTCATTGATTCCTCGTTAATCGAATTTTAAAAGAACGAAACTAATATTTTGGGGCGTGGGTGGTATCAGTTCCATCTCTATCGAACTCGAGTGTCAATTGGAAGTGAGGTAAACAAATCAAACATACAGGGCAGTTATTTAGTGTATTTAGTTAGTTGTAGTAAGCGAGGAGAAATATTTAATTGGAGGAATTCAGCCTCAGCAGCGCGAGAGTGGTGATGGTTTTGGCGATGCGTGGTCCAAGCTTGAGGACGAAATGTTCTCACCTTGCCTCCTTAGGAAAGTGTAATAAGGATGAGGAACAAAGGAAAAAAAAACATTTTGTATATACGGAATACATTCAAAATTATAATTTCCCCTTTCTTTATGCGATTTCGGTTTTGACGAACGTCATTGAAATTTCTTAAGAAGGGAATATTTTATTGACGGGTGGAAATGTATGGATAACAATTTTATGGCTTTTGCAGAATTTTTCAATTTGATTAAAAGCTGCTGGAATAAAACTTAGCAGTGGAAATTCGAAGCATTTAATGATAAACACATCTGTGAAGCAGATGCGGTCGGATGTGACGTGTCGATTGAAAAATTAATCCATTTAACTAATGATGTACTTAAGCGCTGAAGAAGAAGACGGTATGAGGAGGAGGTTATTAAAACAATTAAAAAATGTTCCTTTCGGTTTTATCTACTACAGCAAAAATGGGCATACACAAATCTTAACAGCAAAAAAATGGTACAGCACGTATGTAAAGTTTCTGGAAAAACTTAAAAAAATTTGAATCACGCTTATGATAAACTAATGTATAATTAATTGTTATATATAATTGTAATTTATTAAGGCTAACTTATAATATGTTGGATAATGCAAAATTGTATTCGTAGTTTGGCATCTTGCATCAAATTTTAAGCATAACATAAGGTAGTAAAATTAATCTGGAAGCTCTCGTCATAATCTGAAAAACAAATGTCAATTTTCATTCTGTCAGTCGATGCATGCATGTCTGTAAGCTGCATAATCCGAATAAATTAAATTTCGTAATTTGAGCCGTCTTGTGACAACTTTGTACACGACATTAAAAATCTTAACTTCATCCTCCTTGCCTGCCTGGCACAACGTCGCATCGCAGCAGTCCAACACAGGAAATCCGTGTGGGGCCACCACTCCTTCATTGACTCAACATGAATATTTTTCTAATTTATGGATTCAGCGTCCTAATTATTTCTGCACAGTCACGAAGTAAGTAAATTTCTTTCTTTGGAAATAGCATATTTAATAATAATTGTAATACCCAAAGTTTCGAGGATTATCCCCACAAAGAGATCTTTACATTTTGTGTCATACATGAATTTCATATTATTTAAAACAGACTTGGGTGGGTTTCCAGGCGATGGTGTGGGTAGTTCATCATCAGATTTCGCCCATCAACCTGAAGACGTTATTACACCGTCCACTCCTCCCCTCTCTTCACCATGGTCAGCATGGATGAATATCAAAGCTCCACCTGTAGCATTTCTGAAACCAAGTAAGAAAGTTTTTCCACCATTTGGGGCGATTTCAACCCCGGTGTCGGCTCCAACCGAAGGCGGAGGACTGCAGGAGGCACCATGGACATCGTGGATGAAGATCAAGGCCCCTCCACTTGTGACATCTTATTCTTACGGCAGTCCCCCACAACTTGCGCCACAACCTGCCTCAACCCCAAACATTGAACCACCATGGGCAGCTTGGACTAATCTCAAATTAGGAAGCTTGAACCCAATAGCGGCAAAAATTAAAATTGGGTCCAGTGCAGAAAGCAAACCAGAATCACTCGTCACTGATGTCCCAGCGAGGCAGATTGAGACGGCGACGCCTGATGCTGAGGAAAAATTATTACTGAAATGGGCAAAGAAAATTTTTGCATCTCAAAATAACAAACTTGAACAAACAAGCAATAAAAGTTCTCTACTTGAGTCAGCATGGGAAGACTGGCAAAAATTACATAACAAATCAGACCCCATAATAATTGATCCCACTGCACAAGCCTTAGCTTCAGATTTGCCTATTGAAACATCTGCAACGGATCCCAGCAAACTTGTCTATGTTTTGCAAACACTTGGAATTCCGCCCGTTCAAATTTCAGATATTCTTACACCGTCCAATGCAGAAATATCGGAAAAACTAAAAGAGTATGGAGTACCACCAGTCGTTATTAATAATGTTCTTACACTTCCTCCTGATGACATTACTAATGAACTGCTTAAAATTGGAATTCTACCACCACGAGTGTTACAAATTATGAGTGGAGAACCGAAAAATATCCCATTGGAGTTGGCAAAGCTTGGAATTCCTCCAGAAAAAATTCAAGAACTTGTCACACCTCCATTGGCAGATATTAGGGCAAAGTTGGAGGAGCTTGAACTACCATCTCCAGATATTGATGCAATTTTAACTCCAACTCCTGTAGAAATAATGAAAAAACTGGAAGAAGCTGGAGTTCTTGACAAAATCATTACAACCGAGCCTCTAACTCCAAAAACCCCGGAAATCCTAACAGTACCACAAGAAGCTATTGCAATCGAACTCTTAAAACTGGGGATCCCACCTCTAAAAATCTTAGAAATCCTAACTGGCCCTCCGGAAACTGTTGCAGTTGAACTATTGAAATTTGGGGTACCTCCAACAACAGTCTTTCAAATTCTGACATCCACACCTACCGACGTTACAATACCCGATTCCACACCTGTGACCCAGGATATTGTACCCACCAGCGACGCTACAATCACTCTTCCTCCCCCGCTTAGCAAACCCATCCTAATTTCACCTGAGCTTTTAATTACGGAGCTACAAAAATTGGGATTGCCTTCCAAAGAAATAGAGACGATTGTTGTACCAAATAAAGAAATTCTCTCCACAAGATTACAGGAATTGGGGCTTCCTGTTGACGAAGTATCCAAAATTCTGATGCCTTCTGTTACGCTTCTTGAATCTGATCTGGCAAAGCTGAATATTCCAGCTGAATATTCAAAACTACTAGAAATCATTCCTAACATAACAGCAATTATCCAAGTTCTAGAATCATTCAAAATGCCACCATCAGAGATTTACAAAATTCTTCAACTCCCGGCAGCGGACATTCCGATAGCTTTAAAATCAATTGGATTGCCACCGGAAGTTATTTCGGAAATAGTGACCATCCCATCCATTGAATCAATTGCTACAGAGCTAGTTCGAGTTGGTGTTCCGCCTGACGAAATTTCAAAAATTATTACACCAATGCCTGATGTAATTATACACAAGTTGACAGAAATTGGAATTCCTGCCCCCAAAATTTCTGATTTATTTACTCCAGCGTCCGAACAAGTGATAGCAGAATTACAGGCCATAAATGTTCCCGGACCAACGATAATGTCCATTCTTTCTAAAGTAGTTGTACCAAAATTGGCAGCACCGGAAGAAGCCGTTCCTCAAATTCTAGACAAAATTGTCAGCGAATTAGTACAGTTGGGCATACCTTTGACCAAAGCAGTGGACATAGTGACAACACCACCATATCTCGTGGGAGTTACTTTAGAAAAATTGGGCCTTCCACAAGAAAACATCACACAACTGCTGACACCACCCCCAGAAACAATTTTGCTGAAATTGCAAACAATTGGGGTGCCCATCCCTAAAATAGTAGAAATAGAATCCCTTCCGGTTAAAGAAATTCCGCTAGAACTCTACAAAATTGGAATACCTCTTGAAGAAATATCCAAAATCTTGACACCAACTCCACAAGAGTTATGGTCAAGTTTGCAAGAAACGTTAAATTTGCCCCCACCCAAAATAGCCGGAATTTTAACAGCCCCTTTAGAAGTTGTGGTCCAAAAATTAGTTGAAATTGGAGTTTCTCCCGTTAAAATAGTCCAACTTGTAGAACAATTGACAGATGCAGTCCCAGAGCTCTTGGACGCTCCAGTCACTGCTCCAATTCCCGAACCACTTGTAAATTTACTTCCACCTGCAGCAATTTTAACAGCCCCCTTAGAAGTTATTGTCCAAAAATTAGTTGAAATTGGAGTTTCTCCAGTTAAAATAGTCCAACTTGTAGAACAATTGACAGATGCAGTCCCAGAGCTCTTGAACGCTCCAGTCACTGCTCCAACTCCCGAACCACTTGTAAATTTACTTCCACCTGCAGCAATTACCGATATTATCCAAGAACTTGTTAAATTGGGATTGACTCCTGAAGAAGCCACAGAAGTTATAAAATCACCCACACCACCGACATTTGCTACAGAAGCATTCTCTCCTCCAGAGAAAGTTGAATTGACAATCCCACAGCTACAAGAATTAATCCAAGTCGTTCTTGAAGAATGTCGAAAAAAATCTAAAGCTGTGAGGCGAACCACATCTCGTAAAAAAAGCAAATATGTTGGAAAAAAATCTGGACTTGCAAAACCACAGTCTGAAAATAAACGAGCCCTGTATCCACTGTCGATACCATCACCCATCAGCGGTGAAAGCACCACGAAAAGTCCTTTTGGCTTCATTCCTTCCGTAATGTGGGATCTTGTTCCAACTGTTGCACCTAATGTGTCCATAATTGACCCTGGATACTGGGCTGCCAAAAAGGCGATGTTTATCTCTAAACTATTCGACGCTTTAGCTCGAGTGACCATGAATTACACGAATACAGAAACAACCACAGAAAGTCCAAAGCAGCAACTCATGAAAAAAATTGACACGGTTCTGTTGTCCGACGCTGCTCGCTCGGTCAAAGGAAACGATGACGAATCAGAAGAAATGTCTACCGTAAACAGCCCAAACATTTCACTCCCTTTATTTATGTGTGCATTTCTCTAATTGGAATTAAATTTTATTTTTCCGGATTTTAGAGGGACGAGGATTTGGTCGATTCTGGAGAACCTGAAAACTTACCCAAGGAACCCGACAACCCTTTGCATAAGCTTTTCAAGTTTGGAGTGCAAAAAACGATTTTATCAGTAACTTAGCGTAGAAAATATAGAATAAGGTAGACGTCTGTGGAACTTATTTGTAAAAGTTGAAGTAAATATTTTCATAAATTACAGGATATCAGCTCAACCCCAGTACCACCACTCATATCTAATCCATCAACTCCAGTTCCAACCACTACTACTGCATCAACCCTGGAACAACAAAAGGTCATTCTAAATAAGTTAAAAAAGCTATATCAAAATACTCGCGCATCGTATAAGAAGTCAAAGAACAAATCAAAAAAGAAGTTGCATGGCCCAAAAACTACCGTCAGTCCTATTGATTTTGAAGGTAGGGACCCATTTAATTTATATATTAACCCTTTATATTTCTTGTATTTTAAACTGTAATTTTTGTAACCTTCCTGTAATCCAGAACTTGCAAAAGCACTCCTCGTACAGCCAAGCAAATAAAACAATTTAGCTCTACAACAAAAATTTCCTGCAGAAAATCTGTGTACGTCGTGGAACCCTGTGAGTTTACTGATATGTATGTTGAATGCTGATAGTAATCGTTACACTGATCGTTAAAGTAGTTTCATGTTTTTTGATGAAAATAAAACTAATCGATATTGCAATGCTTCTTTAGCAGTCGAATACGGATGAGTTAATTATCTAGTCAAAAAAAGTTGTAAATAAATCTAAGCTAAAACTCGTCAAAAAACAGTACAGAATAGTTTATGCAATATTATTAATAAACCGGGGTAAAATATTTGGTTAGTTTAGAATAAGAACACAGATCGTTCTTGTAACATTTGACACTCCTGTTCTTTATTTTATGAAAAATAAATGCTATACAACAACTATAAATAAATAAGTGGTTAAGACACGCTCAGTGACTAGATTGAACATTAAATCTCATCTCATTAATTAATGCATGACAAAACTTAATTTTTATAAATTTTAAAGATTTGTCTTTTAATTAAAACTCTTTAAATAATTTGACTTTTTGGTGATATGGTCCGGTTTGACCTTTGGAGGTGAGTATGTTAACTGCACGTTTGTTTGACATTGAACATCTTTTGGCATCCCTCGAGCACGGAAAATAAATAAAAGTACGTAAATAAGTAAATTATTATGCTGTCTGTGAAAAGTCCAAGTATTTTTGATGACAATAGCTAACACGAGTAAGAAACACCATTCCCAGCAGTGAAACAGATGATGTAATAATGAACGACACTGCTTCGAAAATGAATTTTGGAGCAAAAATCTTCCACACCATGAGGTGCCGACGATGCCATCCGGCGCAACCCATGCACACAAGAAGCTGCAATTTAGAATAAAATTGAGAACGTTAAGTGAGAATTACTCATTTGCAAGTTTTAAAACACAAAGTCAATATAAAACAAATTGGTTAAGTGGTACGCACCTTCAGTCCATGCAACGCCAAATATTTACCGTATAGGATATATGCCATTTGTCGTTCTGATTTCCCCATTAAACTTTCAACTCTTCTTTTATCTACACTCCAGTGAATTAATAGAGGAAGGGTTATCGAAGTTAGGACTTGAGAAACATGCAAATTCCCAATAACAGCCAATCCTGCCCTGAGCCAAGATAGCCATGCTCCAGGAGAAGTAGCAGCCAAGTCTCCTCCACCACCCCCAACAAATGCAGAATCCCATGGAATAGCTGAAAATATTGGTTGGTGTCCAGTAGCGTAAAAAAAATATTGGGATGTTAATGTCCAAGCTACCGCTGATGACCAAGAATCTGAGTACAGAAGAAAATAATAATAATAATAATAATAATGTCTCATCTCATATATTCGTTAAATGTTACGTATTTATTTGGGAAGATGAATGTACCTGAATTTTTTACTGATGGTTTTTGAAAAATTCCAACAAGACAAACAAGTACATATGCTTGCAAGATAATTGCTGGAACTATTCCTGTACTGGTAACTTGTACCAAAAGAAGAGTGATAAGAGATGCTAACGTAAGAAAACAGGAAGAATACGTGTCCTCGTTTGAACAATCGCAAAACTGTATACCACCAATGTCAAATGGAAATACAATGGTTGTGTTAAGCTTGGATCTCGGCTGTAGTGGCTTATGCTGAGGGGGGTGATCAGGTGGGTGATGTCCGACCCCATTTGTATAATTTTCTGGTTTTGTTGAGCGAGAAGATTCGACCCGAGTTTTGGAAGAATTATTGACAACTCGTTGATTACGGCCGAGTTTACTAAAATTGGTGTAAGGCAAATGTTTAAGATGTCCAATGCAGCAAATTGGTTTCCACGAAACGCACAGTATTGCAGACACCGTAACTACTTGATACACTAAAGGAAGGTAATTCATCAAAAGTGGAATTTTTGAAGCATTGCAGCTAATGTATGGCAATCCCTGTAAAACGACAATGCTTGTTTGTTACTAAGAACTGCATAATATATAGATATGATTGATTAGATTTTATATCGATTTACCTGGAGAGCCCAAAAGACTCCAAGTAAAACTACTAAAAGAGAAGGAATAAACCTCGCGATAATTGCTCGTGGTTTTTTGCTAAACTTGCAACATCGGTAAATCATCCAGTGACGGAAACTAACAACGAATATAGCCAACGCTAGCAGGGAAACTCCATACCGAAGATACTTGTGAACCAGCCAATCTTCGGGAAGGGATGCAAGCTGTTTGTGTAACAGAAACTCCTAGAAAATAAACAATGAATCATTTATCAATATTTAGAATACAAATTGTTCAAAAAAAGGCAAGAAAATTATGCATGTAATAAAATACTAGTAGCACTAACCTCCGAACATGTGGTCTGCTCTTCACGACAACGAAAAAATATAAAAGAAATTCGCACTAAAATTAATAATATTATAAAACAACTCCAAGAACATTTTAAGATTTTTCGAGTGGCCAATGTTTGCAGTAGATTGTCTGGAGCTAATAGTGATGATGATGACGCAAAATTGAATCCTTGTTGTGTTCTAATCGTCGTTGTTGTTGTTCTGCTTGAACTTGCTACTTCAATAAAGGAAACCAGGCTTAGGGCAAAGCCCAACATGTAACCCTCGTACACAGTAAAACTGTTAGAAAACATGGCAAGGCACGTAAACACGTATAATCCAACGGATATGAAACTAGAAAAATAATATTCTCTACTTCGGGAGTAATAATAACCCACAAATATTCTCTTGTACATTCGAAACAGTATCAATCCATAGAACAAAAGAAAAACGACAAGACCCGAAATTGTTGATACAATTATCCCCAACAGGGCACTAGAAGAAATGGAATGGTAAACAAACGTGCACAACACTGACCAATGAGACAATGATGGTAACAACCATGATAATACTTTCGCTGGATAATTACTTGTAATACTGGAACGTCTTCTTAAAATGAAAGGCACACTAGATAGATAAATTATGAGAGAGGTAACTGAGAGAAATGTGATACAAACACCCGTGTAAATCATGGGAAGGTTAAATTGTGTCCATGTCGAAACTGCGACGGATTTCACTTGTTTAAGGTACATTTCAGAGCTTTTGCGCAGTTTCTCCCGGCTAGTTAAATTCGGAAATGATTTGTAAGCCTCATATGCCTCTTGTATTAACTTGTATTGCTGAATTAGGTTTGAATTATCCACGTTACTAGTCGTCTTTTCTGAAGTTGTCAACATGCTGGGGAAATTTTGAATGTACTTGTTTACTTGAGCAACGTTAGCAGCAATGGCGTCTGAATTAATTTTGTTTTGTAAAAATGCTGGAATTACTTGTCCAATGCTTGAGTAAGGAATTGGTATTCCAAGCAACAGTGCTATTGTTGGGACCAAGTCTATCTGAGATATGGCAAGTTCTGCAGCGCACTGAAATGGTGAATTGTACTTGTAGAATTGTTTAGAAATAAATATCACAGCCGATTCCGTCTCATCTTTTGAATCGCCTCCATGGTCACCAGTGGCTGTCATTCCATGGTCACCAAAAATCACGAGCAGTGTATCGTTGCTCATCGAATTGAACACATGTTTGATTATGGAATCCGCTTCATGCAGTTTTCTCGCCATCTCCGGATGACTTGGTCCATACCTATAATTTGTACATACATTAGACAAAGACAAAAGGAGGATAGGTATTCAGCCATAAGTTAGATACAACCAATCAAAACTAAACAAACTCAAATAGGTATGCAAATAAATATACCTGTGGCCGCAGTGATCCACTCCAAGTAAATGGCTGATCAGAATATCCCAGTCATCCTTGTGCGGAGTTAAAAAGATCTCTTGCATCGTCTTATTCACTGCTTTGTCAACGGTATCTAAATCCCAAGCGTTGAATGATGGGTGCGCCTCGACAAAACGAGATTTGAAGTATTTTTGTGGAAACAAACTAATCTGCAACACAAAGGGAACAAGTAAATTTATGAGCACAATGAAAACTAAATTGAATAAATATTTATATTTTGGTATTGAATTGATGCAAATACATCTTTCGTTGTGAAAAGCGACTACATAGATTTGTTAAAAGTATTTTTGTTGAATTAAATTGAACAAATATTTTTTTTACAACTAGTCACAGTGATAGACTTACCCAGGTATCGTCCCCCAAAAAGGCAATTCGTTTCCCAGCAGAGTACAACTGGTAAATAAGGCTGTCCTCCTCAACTTCATAACTTTGTGCATGGAGAAAATAAAAAATTGCATTGAGACAGATAATGCATTAAATAATTAATAAAATTACATAAAACTTAATATTACTACCTATTAAAATTGGCACTGGCATCTATGAACGTAGGCATCGTCCCAGTCATAAGAGCCTTCAATCGCTGCATTGTTGTGGTCGGGGGGTCTGCGAGGAACTTGAAAACGCACGATGTCAACGATCCCCCTTTATGATGACCAGCAGAGGAATTTCCTTTCCCCGTAATCTCTGAGAGAAACTGCATTCGTTGAACAAAGTCAAATCTCAGAGCGTCTACCAACACCAAAATGAGCTTAGGAAAAGGGGGAGTAGGGTTGCACCAATTCGCCATCCCATCCAGACCATGGTCACCCACAGTTTTTGGCAGATGGGGTTCGGACTCCGTGGGTCGGATGTGAAGTGAGCGTTGGGAGGAGTGAAGGCAGGGTCCAGCCGTCTCGTGGATGGTTTGACGGTTGAGAAGAAATCCTCGAGAAAAGACTAGGGCGCCCACGATCATGCCGAAGCAGAGGAAGGCCACGACGCTCACGTTCTCCACCTTCGACATCCTCCTCGTGCAAAGAGATAGCAGAAATGTCCACAAAGAAGGAGCACACCCACTTTAACTCTTTGTCTCATTTAAGTTCATTGTATAGTATGCAGTGTACTGCCTAAGGGTTTAATTAACAACTAATCATGGTACCAACCTACCAATAGTCTTTTCTTTCGTACACGCATTTTCTTAGTGTACTCCACAACACTAAATAAAATTACGTTCTTCTGAATGGTTACATACAGTGTTACGTATGAAGAAGCCAAAGTTTCAAAGTTGCAGCGATTTCTGAGCACCTGAATAAATAAAAAGTTACAATACAAAGAAGTTAATATAATGTAAATAAACTGTAATAATAAATATGTATTTTAACCTGTCAATGCACCACACTGTTAATTAATGAAGGGAAGAAATAAAGCTCAAATGTGCATTGCCATATTTCTTATTAAAAAAGGTGGAATGATGCTTTCAATGCTTTGAGAGAGTTTTTATTGAAGGAATTTTGACATTTTCTACCTCACTTCGGGAGGTCTCGCTCCCGAAAATTGACAACCCAACCCAACTTCCCTCCCCGCACCAGGCACATTCGGGGTCACCTGCAGTCAGTCTATGTACCAGTCTGTGCAGTGCAGTAATAATTTTTAAAAAATGGACAAATTCAGTAAGAATTATTTCTATATTTTCATCATAAGTGAGCTCGTCCTCCACCTGGATCAATATATGACTCAGACATTCTGTTGAGATGACGCTACTTAATGCATCATAAATATGTCGACATATATATATAATTAAACATTGGTTTCTTCAGACTCGGCGCCAGCGTCAGTAATATATTCTGTTTTATTGTCTGAGAATGAAGCAAAATTTCTTAATTAATTAATTTTTATAATACAATGAATGCTATCAATGAATATTACCAAAAATGTCAGCGAGTCTTGTATCAGGGATCGTGTGTTGAGGCGTCGTTGTTGTTCCGGCAGTTTGTTGAGCCCAGGCTAACGTTTGTTCCCACTGCTGGCGTTCTGCATCCAATTTGCATTGGTTGTAATGTTTCAAAAACAATTCCGAGTATGTCTTAATCCCAACTGCTGGTCGACATAGGGGTTCATATTTGGTTTTGAATGCTGCCGTTGATTCCATGAACAGTCGTTTCCGTTCGGAACACGCTGTCTGTACATCCTTTAATTCAAGGTCTACCTTTTTCTGGAAATAATATTCTAATTGGTATATATTTTATAATCCAACCTCTGGTACTACAAAATTTATATTTACATAATGCTCTTCTAAAACACGGACTTGTTCTCGCAACGCCTCTAATCTGGAGGAGGTCACAAAATGTCTCGGATCCTAAAATTTTGCCCAAAATGCCCAAAAATAAAATTTGCATGAAGCACGTCACTTGTTAAATTATCACACAGATCAAATGGGTCAATCTCTGGTTTTCAAACGAATCGATAAACCCATGCAACTTTGATTTATAAACACACATGTGTTGTATAATTAAACTGCCTGACTAACTAAAGAAGCATGAAATTTCAGCATGAAATTACATGAATGTACTCTCAAAAGCTAAAAAGATCAAAATAAATACCGGCATCACGACATCAGACAAGATTTCCTTAATCAGAGTAATGTTCCGATTATACCGAGCGAAGGCAATTAGTTTTTCAGAGAAATCTTCATCGCGATCGCTTTCCAAAGCTGTCCACCCAAAAATTACAGTAACCAAAAAGCATAGTAAATAGTAAATACCATGGATGTATAGGAAAGTACATATAGCACATCAAATGCTACGTCTCATAGATTAATTATATTTTATAATTCTCACGTTGTGTTGTTCCCGTCATTGTTTGATCAGTATGCGAATTAGATGCATGGTGCCATGAATTTTGCTGAGTTTGGAATTTGGAATTACTGGTATTGTCTCTAGAGTGTAGGAGACTCAAATTTCGACGGTTGTAATAAGAAGGAGCGTCAAGTGATGATCGGGATGCTGATGACGAACATTGTTGTTGGTGTCGCGGTGTTGGCCCCTCAAATCTGGTATCCATCATCATCATTGAGGAAAGCTGTGGTTGTGGGTGCATCAGAAGAGAAGATGTTCTACGGAAGGTACTGACGCCAAATGTGCTACCAAAATTAGTCGTATCTAATGTTCCTTCCCCGTAATGACTTGCGCCAAAAATGGTTCCTGTTCCCGTAGGGTTGATGTGATTTAGGCTTCCATACCCATAATTTGCTAAAATATTCGCGTTGCGAAATAAAATAAAATAGTGTACTTCGAGAACACTGTCCTTCGTGGTGCTTAATAACTTACGAGTATTTTCGTGGATTAAATAATGGCTGAGGTGAGCAGATCCGGCCAATTCGGCATTAGTATTATTTGGCTGATGTTGTGCTGGGACCTGTAGTCGAAATTCACTGTTCGACCCTTGTGGAAAGGGTCGATCAAAATTAAACGAATTGTCAGACATTGGCAATATTGCAGAATGACTGCATAACGGCAATTCCTAATTGCTAAACTACTTCACCAAAAGTTTACAAATAATGAAATCATTTCTCCGAACGCGATTACAAACGTAGCTATGTATGCATATGTATATGTACGTGCATAAACATTCTTAACAATATACTCAAATAACAGCTTACAATTTTATTATTGCAGAGCAGTTCCTCTTCTCAAATGTTGCGAAGACTGGAAATGTACATATGTAAGTATAGATGAAAATGATCAGATTTCAAGCCAAATGAAAATACATAAGTTTCTACATATGTAAGTACAATAAATAGGAGTGATGTGTTTTGATTGTCTTAAGTGTCTCGTAAAAATATGAAGCGTATAGATTCGTATAGCTTATTGGAATATGACGAACCAATAATATCAGCACAAACATCCGTCTTATTTTAATGTTTCTTTAGCTTGTAGAATGAATGACAATGTGACTATACGAATAATTTACAAACGTTGACTTCTGAAAGTCCCAAGTTACATAATAAGAAATCTACATATATCCATGTATTGCCGTGCTATTGCTACATAAAATACAGCTAAAAGATTGACAAAACGCCTCAGTGAGACCAATGATTAAGTTTGCTTTTACTAATTTTAATTTTTATATTATGTTACGTAAAATATCATGATTTTAATTTAAGGAAATACGACATTTTTGAATTGAGAAAGATTGTTCAAGATTGACAAACAAATGATCAAAGTTAGGCTGTACAACTGCATGGAGTTCGCAATGTCAATCCTATGTCGAATTGTGAGGAAACAATCACTTTGATAACCTAAATATGATGATTATGCCGACTGGCAATTTGGTTAGAGAGTTCAGAGTGGAGGGGAAGATGAGACGAGCATTGTCAACAGATCAGCTTGTTGTTTCACAGTTTGTAAATATTATTGTACTTTTGAATGAATGAACTTCTTATTGATGATTCCAATTTGCAATCCAGCCGTTACTCCAAACATCTAGGATGAACTGGGTACATGTTTTTATCAATTTGCTAAGCCATGAGCTACGAAAGCACGAGTGAAAAACATAAGTTTATACCTATATACAGCTCGTTGGCGAAAAAGCACAATTGTATGTATATAAAAGGGAAGAATGAGATGTATTACTTACGTTCCTAAACTGACACCATATTTATTGCTTATCAGGTTTAGTTAATTTTGTACACTCGTTGTATGCAATTTTTTTGTAGCCACAGAATGCTCATTGATATTGCATTGTTTGCATAAAAATCAATCAGACTGGAATTTTCTGAAGGTGAGAGTGAGACGTCTATCAGCAGCGGTATGCGTAAAATAGCAAACTTAAGAAAATAAACATTTTACAGACTTTTAAATTACATATGAACATTGTTGAAATATAATAAATCATGGCGGCGACAAGGCCCCCTTTTCCTACACAAAATCAGCCTCGACCACAACTTAACTTTCCAAATGTTCCGTTCAACTCAGGACATCCAACTTATCCACGACCCCACTTTAATGGTCAGTCCAATAATGGTCCAGCCATGCATCTTAAGTTCCATTTCATTTCGAGTATTACGAAGTATAATATTGAGATGCATTTAATTTAACAGGGATGCTGTATGGGAATCATCCTAACCCTGCTGTCAACCACATGTACTACGGAGGCGCTCCTGCTCCTCCTCCCCCTCCAAAACCTCCTCAGCCCGTCAGCTTCCTCAGCCCAAATTCCAATTATTCTGACCATCGAGCCTTGCCTCCACCTCCTGGGACGTCGTCGCCTCCCCGACAATTAGCACCTCCTGTGAATAATTCTGGCGAGGGTTTTGGTCCACTAATCCCTCCACCCCTCCCACCATTGTTCCCTTATTTGAGCCAGTCGTTGCATGACTCATTGAATGACGGCGCCGCACAATGTGGAATATCTTTCGTTGAAGAGTCCGCAGACCTGTCCTTCATACCTGTAATCATAGATGATAATGACCTCAAAAAAATGACTGAATCTGTGAAAACACAGTTTGAAGAATCTAGACAGCAGAATTTGTTGCTGTATGAAGATATCATTAATCCTAATTGGCCGAAAGAGTTAAGGTAAGGTATAAAAACATTGATAACACTTATTAAAAAACATACGAGTATAAGAGGCAACGTAATCTACATACATGTATACTTATTTGGCTATCTTTAAGGGATATGTTTCAGCCCTTATACTGCAAACTATGCAAGTTAACTGTAAGTACTGTTCATCATTCAGCATATTTAAAAGTGATACAGTTGTAACATTTTCTGTTTAATACTACATTATACAGCTCAGTTCACCAGTTGTTGCAAGGGACCACTATAAAGGAAAACGCCATATTCGTGGTATGTTTTTTAACATCATATCACAAAGTAAATCCTGAGCGGACGGGGGATCATTGAAATAAGTCTGTATATCTACATAATATTATTGGTCTAACTAAATGGTTATACGGTAAACCCACATCTACATAATTTAGATTTTTGTGTGTTAATGTTGTATTTATTTACCTATTTAATAGCTGCCGAAGTTTGGATGCAGAATAACCCTTCCTGTAAAGTTCAGCGACAACCTCAGAGTAATAACCGAAATCCTGGTAATCAACCGATTTCTGGTACTATCAAGCCAGTCGGAGAAGCCTCTCGGGGTGGGGGGTCAGTTCCATACTCACAGTCCCAGCGACCATCGTCATTTCGAAAAGACACTAGTTTTCACCAAAATCCCCAAGGGCATGATAGGACATCTTTTGTGCCACCCCCTTACAAACAGCAACAAAATTCTAATTTCAAGCGAAATGCAGGAGGCGGCAGTGTCTCACAACAATCACAATCCCCCCCAGAATTTATTCCAGCGTATAGAGCAGCTTTAGCTCCTTCCGGTCCTAGCAGAAAAAAACCAAAGAAAGAAGGTGCACTTTTTTCTATTTTTTTCAGTATATCCCATCCCGTGTGATAATAATATTGAATATTGACCCTTCCAGGAGGTGGGAGTTCAAATTTTGGTTATTGTTCGCTCTGTGATGTCCATCACACTTCCGCTGTCACTGCAGAGCAACATATAAATGGAAAAAATCACAAAGCCAAACTAAATGCTAACAAAACTGGGGGAGATCAGCCTAGGAGTAATCAATATTAGTGAGTACTTGTAAACCTTTAATGGAAATTACGTATGTGAGAGAAATAGTCAATATTTTGTAAATTCAATTGCAGTGAAGACTCAAATTTTGGAAATTTTGCATTCAAAGGAAATAGTACTCTCTCTGCTGCGAAACAGCCTCCTAATGTGAATGGTCCTAACCATTTTAGATAACGAATTTGATTGTTAAATGCATTCAAAAGTCATTAATTTCTATTGTGTTTATATCAAGTTGCATAAATAAGTAAATTAACTTTAGCCATTGCAAAATGGGTTCTACGTGGTTTCATTTTATGCATCTCGTTGGTATGATGATTCATTTCATAGTTTCTATGCACAAATTGTACCTGTTTCTCACACCGTATATATTCACAGACACGTTCTAACCAATACGGATTGAATTCACACTTGTCCATTAAATAGCAGAAATAGAAATGAGCTCTGGAAAAAGACTATCGCAAAACCAAAAGAGAAGCTCGTACTCAAAGGTGTCGACTAGAGGATCCCCCTCCACTTCGAGAAGTACAAGCCCAACTACGTCTAATGCTTACGGACCCACATCGGCAGCAAATGGAGGCCAGGTATGCACATGTAAATCTGTGTGTACAAATTGAGTTCATATTTTTACCTGGCGTTTGAATTAATCAGTCCTCGTCCGACTCTGAAAATATCGACCCGCTCACCGACCTAGAGAAGGAGCTGTTTGAAATAGTTAACAATGGGCACCCCCAAGACGTGTACAATTTTCTTCGACTCAACAAAACTGTGGATATTAATAAACGCGATATTGAGGTATGAGTAAAGTAACGAAAGAGTGAACAAATTATTCATAGAGGTGCATTATTTGTATGCTCAATATGTATGAACTTTAGGGATTTAGCATTTTACAACATGCAGTTCAAAATAACGATGAAGAAATGGTTGATATTCTGTTGAAAGATAACTTTGTCATCGAGATTTCTGACTCCTTGCTTCTAGCTATTGAAAAAAATTATGTTCCAATTGTAATCAAATTTCTAAAGTGGAAGAAACTTATGCGAGAGCCAAAGTTGGTTACATTATTAATATTTACCCTAAATCTATTGATAAACTTGCTCAACTGGGTAATAATTTTAACCTCCCTGAAGGAAAGCCATAATTACCTCACTATTTCCCAACATTAAACTGGACTTGGACTCCTCTTCTGATTATTATGGTAGAGCCTAATAAGTTATTGCTCAGTTAATAAATATGTACATATATTTTATAAATAGCATCATATATGTAGAATAAAAATAACTGACTTATTCTAGGGGACGCCATAAGTCCTTATCTTATGGCAGCGATATGTGGTCATTATGAATTACTAGAACTGCTTCACAATGCTGGAGAAGAGATGGGCCAGTTGCATTTTCCGGCATGCAGTTGTGAAGAATGCGGCCCGTACGTCGTCGTTCTGCATTTACAAATGATTCAATTGATGAAAATTATAATTTTTCTTGTAGAGCTTCCTCAGATTTGCAAAAGTCAAACAAGCGCATTCACATTTTAAAGGGATTAACCAGTCCAACGTATTTGGCATTTATGGCAGGAGTGGACAAATCTTTCGATCCGATTCTCAAAGCGTTCGATCTCGCGAATGATGTAATAACGGTAAGACAAATAATATTTATCATATGCGTATTATGCATATACGAGATGTCATGACGGATGATGATTACTAACCAACTAAAACTATATTTCAGTGCATTAAGCAGGAACCAGAGTTCAAGAACGAATATGAAGAAATTTTGGAGAATGTCAACAAGTTCCCAACAGATCTCTTAGGTAAGAACAATCAAAGATCATATGCATAAATATATGTACATTTATCAAACTTAGTTAACAATGATTTATATTAATTCATGTTTATATGTTTCCGATTTATCACGATTGTACAAAAATTTAGGGCTTTGTCGAAATGAAGAGGAAGCGGAAATATTACTACAACAAAAAGCTGGGTATACTGGAATATTATCCCCGTACCCACGACTAATGTTGGCAATGGACACTCGACAGAAACAATTTGTGGCTCATTATAATGCCCAAGAAGTGAGATATTCTATCTTGTTGAGATGTGATGACAGTTATGACCCCATAATTTTCCTTGATAATTTTCCATAATAGGTTTTGTACCAACAATGGGCAGGGGAACTAGGAAAACGGTGGACAGGGGGAGTGCGTATGAGAAACTTTGTAATGTGGCTGTGCATCATCTTTAGTCCAGTCGTCTCAATTCTACTCGTCTTTACGTACTTTTATAAGGATTCAAGACTTGGAAAATTTCTTAAATCTCCCATCATCAGATTTTTTGTAAACACAGTCTCATATATCGTATTTCTCGTGGTAATTGTGGTCATGAATTCCCAAGAAAAGGCAAGGTCTTATTTAGGACCCCCATCGCATTGTAAGGGCAATGAACTCGTGTTATAGTTCTGTCACATGGCATATATCATATATTAAATGAATTATCAGATCTTCCATGGATAGTGGGGACGTTTGTATTGGGCCATTTTGTTAACTTTTTGAAACATTGGCTGTTTTCCTCAAAACATTTCATCTCTTCTGGATGGAACATCTTTGAACTAATCAATTACATTTTCTTTGCCACAAGTATTGGCTGTTGGATTAAATTAACGTTTCGAGACGAGGCATGTCCACACGAGGAGATTCATTTTTATGGGGTTTGTAGTTTATTGCCAATATGCACAAATATGTACATATAACATTTAATGGAGGTTTCAAGATATATCTATTTATTTCCATCTTATTTAGAAATGTCACACTCTGAAGCGAGAGTGGTTAGAGGCCGATGATATTCTGTTCATGTCCGAAATAAGTACGGGCATAGCCAGCACAATGGCAGGCTTACGATTCCTGAAACCGATTATACTTGGGGATACTTTGGGACCATTGCAAGTAGCTTTGGGAAAAATAAGCAAAGATCTTGCAACGTTCTTGGTCTTCTTCATTGTCATGATTCTGTCATTCTCTCTGGGTACGCATTTCATATTGCCAATATTATGAATACCAAGTATTTACTTTAATAATTTCCACTCCATATTTTTTACCCGATTGCAGGATTCCATCACTTGTATAAACCTTATGTTGATATTAAGAAGTGTTGCGTGTTGTGCGACTTTGAATCTGCTACGGAAGCCTTGTCCTGGGCATTATTTACAATGACTGATGTTTCGAGTCCGGTAATGCCAGTCATGAACTTGACTAATGGAACTGTGTGGTACAAAAATCATCACACCTTCACTGAAGGAGTTGGAAAATTTATTTTTATGGGTAAGTTTTGAACTGAGCAAGTACTTTGATTACTTTCATTTAGTGGCAGATACGCATATAGAGTTGTCCCCCATAAATATTGGAATTTTCTATCTTTTGTATTGTTACTGAGCCCCCTTCTATGTGTAATAATGTTATGTTATACCTCTTTGTCCCAAAGTTCCTCCGCCTCCATTCATATGTATGTATGCATACACAGACCAGATCGTTATAATTGCATACTCAAACAATGTTTCAATTTGGTTTATTCTAGGTTTTCACATAATATGTGTCACTTTCCTAATGACCATGCTTGTGGGTGTTATGTCAAGCACATACACTAAAATTATGGATAACGTCGACATCGAATGGAAATTCGAAAGATCAAAGGTACAAATTTTAATTTTACCGTTCGGTGCATGAATAAAAACTTGAGACATGGCTGCATTTGATATGTGTGCATTAATGTGTGCAATGTATGTAGCTGTGGATATATTACATTCAAGACAGTAAAATCGTAGCTCCATTCAATATCATTCCGAACATTCTACTCATGGGCAGTTTTATCTTTTTTTCCAAGACTAAATGGTGCTGCTATGCGGTAAGTGGTTGGCATTTTTTTAAACTGCACTCAAAGTTTTTATGATAAATTGTTATATTTGTGTAATATCTCATGTTTGCATGTTGTCTGATCAAGGAGGACAATGAAACTGAAGAAGAGAGCAAGGCAAGAGATCAAAGGTACAGAGCACTTATTCGACGACTCTTGCAGCGTTATTTCCGTTCAAGAAGCTCGCACGAGTCGAAAGATCCTCCAGCTGCCAAGGATGTCATGCACGTTCAGAAACAAGTCGTAGAACTGAGACAATTGACAACAATGACTTTAGACTTTCATTCAAATCCAACCTCTACTGTCCAAGTCAACCAGACATCAAGGCTGTAGCATACGTAGAAAAGTAATCAAGTGCATTATAAATACATGGCATCATAATAGTGTACTTACACTTGTATTAGGATGAACTTTATGAGATTACGTAAGTATGTAAAAGTAGTGAAAACTTGTATAATTTATTTACAATAAGTAAAACGCAATCATAAAATGAGCAAATGTCTTTGTGTTAAAAACAACATGTTCAATACGTATGTATTTATTTATTACGTATGCATGTAAATACATTAAATGTATTTTAATGACACAGATTTTGTGTCTGCTTTATCAGAAGACAAAACCTAGAGTGGGGTTACAGTGAGCGTTGCTCCGGTGTCAGATGCGTCTTCAATGGATTGGAGTTTTAATACTTTGGCGGTTTTCTCTTTTACAAATTGATCTATTTGTAAAACCACCTCGCCGATATCATCATCCTTGCTTGTCGAATCAGCATCTTTTACTTTGAATCGCCAGTACTACGTGTAGGAAGCAACATATTGAAAGATTATTATTTACATATGAACTGCTGACCTGATACAAATATTGATGCATAACCTGATCTGTTCCTGGTTGATAGTTTCCAAATTCTATGTCATCACTCCAATCTGCGTCAATGACATTATCTATGGTAGACGTTGTCGCATACTTTCTATCAGCCCCACCGATTCCGCGTCGAAAGTAGCACTTAACATATGGATCGCTCTCACCCTGATCAGATGTAAATGCTTGAAATATTGTTGGGGGCTTGTCTTTTTTGGGAAGGTTTCTTCAACAAGAAATAAAATGAAGACATTTATATGCTTATACGATTAAATATGTGCATGCTACATATTTATATGTTTTAGGAAGCTTGCACATAAATATAAATATACTTTCTATTATTTGCTCTGCAAAACATATTTCTATTACTTGGCTGATAGTCTGAACCGGATTGGAGTAGTCTTTTCCATTGATAATGTTGCCCCACTAACGCCACTGATGTCAATCGTTATTTTTTCACCTTTAGAGACATAATCATCCAAATCAACTTCTGCTCCTCCAATCGCATCGTCTTGTTTCAGCAGATCACGATCTTTTATTTCGAATCTCAGTTTCTATATTTTATACACATGCCTCATTATTAAATGAAGTTGTTTTCTGCTCAAAACACGTTTTTGAATCATAGTTTACTGAGATTTACCTGAGATGTTCCAGGCTTGTGAACAATCCAAAATACTTCTATCCATTCGGGATTTACCTCGTCAAGGATTGGTTCAGTCTTTCCAATGCTTTCTAATTCAGCTTTATCCTGAACAGTTTGGTAAACCTTGACGAAAGGGTCGAGCTTTGAAAGGTCATCATGTTGGCTCGACGGCAAATTCCTGAAAATCATATAAATTCGTGTTTTTTTCATGAATTTAAATATTTAAATAGTTTTGAACTTTAGGAACTCACTTGGCTGAAAGTGTAAACGTTATATTCTTGTCCTCTGCGGAAACAGACAAAATGCTTGCGAGAATTATCGCTAAGCACAAGAATAAACTCTTGTTTAGCATTTTGACCATGCTCTTAAAGACAAAAGCCTATATAATCAGTATGATTTTTCGGTATATTCAGCAACGCCAACAACAAAACTACAACTGATAAAATACTGTGCAAATCTATGCTACATATATATGAATTATGTACATGTACTTGTTACTACTGTAAGGTGAACCAGTTCTTTCTTATGTCAATTCATGTTCGCCGTCTGTTATGACGCATGATATAAGAAAACAAGTGACAGTTCGAAGTTACATGTATTTACCCTGAGATTTCTTTTATGTACTTAGCTTATCAAAAATTGTGAGTTACAAACTTATCATCACCATCGACTCATTGCAATACAGTATTTTGACCAACCATCCTATAGTCCTATAGTAATCCTAATTATCGACGATAGCTATAATAGCAGCATGATTTTTTTCCTCTCAACACAGCTAATTAAATATACTTGAAGTGTATGTAAAATCATGGGTACATACATGGGAATATTATATTTTAATTGGATATTTATTTAATGTGCATCCTATATTATGTGTTATTAATTAGATCAAATGACATGCAGAAACAAAACCGGTTTACTGGTTTTCTAGGAATAATGGCCGGTTGAACATTGTTTTTTGTTAATTATGAAAGTATAAGTTATTACTATGTATTAGTCACATGTTATTCCACAGCAAAAATTAAATACGAGGAAAATGTATGTAAATGTGATTCATACTCTATTTATTTAATAATTATTTCCACATTCACAAATGCAGCTCAATTTTACTCATTGCCAACCCCATATTCCTGTTGACTGTCTAATATTATCAGAATTGTCTCGTCTCTGTCTTGTAGTTGCGCTTGCTTCTCCCTTAGCACGGATTCTCTTATTGGCGTTGATTTTGTCGGTTTTTTTAAACGACTTTTTTAATCGCTCTTTAATAACTTCAGGAGCAATGGTGGCTGCGGTTGACCTGCTGATACAACTGAAGCCACTGACGCTTGCATTACAGTCTTGATACGATTTTGAAGGGACATGATCAAGTTTGAGATCTTCCATAGCGGTGTCAAACTGACTTCGCATTTCTTCTATATCAGCGGCAACAGCACAATCAATCCCGATTTCGTCAATATTACTGGATGGTTCTAAGAGCTCTTTGTCATCATGGTCGTCTATGGGTTTAACGTCGTTGTTTTCATCTTCGCTTTCCCCATCGCTCTCCTTTTCATCCAAAACTTGGTCTAATCTGTCTTCCATTTCTTTAGTAAAACCGCTTGCAGCAACCTCAACATCCAAGGAATCATGTCGACTAGAAATACATATAAAATTGTTATACCTGAATGTTAAATGTTAGAATGTTAGGCGTGTACAAATAATAGAATATAGAAATGATGACTTTAACTCACTCAATATCGTCAAAGGTAGGGAATAATTCAGATTCATATGTGAAACGCCTCTTGAAGAAATCTCGGACACACTGAACATCTCGGTCAAAATACATTTTTGCATTGGGATGTGAAATTGAGACCATTTGAGGGAAATCAATCAGATTTGGCTTAGCATCACCGCTCAAAATAATGTTAAACTCATTAAAGTCTCCGTGTATAACGCCATGATTCCCTAAATTGACCAGCATGCTCATCATTTCTTCGTAAAGCGCTTCAGGATCGTCAAGTTTGTAAACTTGGCAGAGAGGTGTACCCTAAAGGTCAATTCAAATATTGTAGTACATACATTTCTTCGTTGAATACAATATTTTTTCGCATTTGCTCAATAATTAGTTCGTATTGTTATACCTCGACAAGTTGCATAATAACGCAATGACGGTTAAAATCTATTGGCTTAGGTACAGGAAATCCTCTCGACTCTAATGCTTTCATATATGCAAACTCCTTTGTTGCTGAAATCCTCGAGAGATACAACCAAGAGGCACGATGACGATTTTTATGATAATCTCTTTTTTCTCTGATATTTCGGAAGCAAATCCTTCCGAGACGGTGAAGTTTCAAACATAACGTCTCGCCTTCTTCATTCGTGACCGTGTAGACGTTGGATTCTTTCCCTGTCCCAATTTGATTTCCAAATCCACTAATGGAATCTCGAGCTACGAAGGTCTGTAGAGCAAGATAATCGTATCCTGAATTTGTCAATCTGTATCCGTCATCTAAAAAAAACGTGTCATTTTAAACTAATTGTCGTGTCATCCGTCATATTATGTTTACTTCAAAATGTACACTTTCCATTGACTCACATTTTTTTCCACGTTCATACTGTAGTAATCGATGTTTACAGAGTTCTCTCATCAATTTATGAGCTCCACCATGGCGGAGACCAGCAATGGATGCGACCAGGGACGAAGGGACGAGCTCGTGATTTTTCATACCCATTTCAACCTAAATTCCAACCAAAAAATCACATCCGTTAATAACTTAATATTAAATTGACACAAGCCATCAGTCTTCAAAGTTTTTTATCTCCAATAAGAGCAAACAGGACACAGATGTATTTATTAAACTTTTAAATTATAATTGAGCTTACCGCAGTGAGGACTCGGAAGTCCTCCCTGGTCAAATAGCGAAGAATAGAAACATCCAGCTTCCCCATTTCACGATTTTTTAAAATAGAAAAGTGCAAAACTAATTTTTAACTGTAAAAGTGACTGATGAAAAGATAAACAGCAACAGACTCAACAACACGTGCTCAAGGAAAAGTCTAAAATCAGCCGTGGAAAATTGGACCGCTGAATGAAGGAGAGCTAGTAGGAAAACCATGCTCCAGGTGGAGTCGCTGCCACTCTCTCGGAAAGACGACGCTCTCTTCGTGTGAAATGAAAGTTGACTCGAAATGAGATTGGATAAAAAATGTATAATTCAGAAAAATCAAAAACTCTGGTTTCTCAGAATTATGTTATTCACGAGGTAGTGTAAATTTTTCAGTGTATGCGATCCCAGTATTTCTACGTTTTTATTTCTGGAAAATTCCAGCTTTTTTGCAGTTTATTCATACTTAATTTATATGACGCGTGAATATGATGCGTTTATGAATTGGCGAATTGCATTTTAATTTATGTAGCATTTGCCTTTGTGAGCAAGAAATATCATTGAGCGAGTGACTAAATGAGCACGAGATCATGTATTTTTTATTAGCTTGAGGAAACTGGCAAACATCATGACTTTTCTCAGATACATTCTCTATATAGTCAAATATTCATGATACACAATTTTAATTGAACATACATAAAATATTGCGAAACTTGAGTGTCTGTGGCTTGTTCTTTTTATCGTGTGACAGCTTTATATTTTTTTATTTTTAGTAGTATTTGTGTTGACTTTATACTTGAGTGAGTGATAAAAGTTGAAAAATGATGACATTTTTTGGATATAGCCAATCTATCTGTGAAACCACGATTAATTGACGGGGGTCTGTGTATGTAGTGTTGCCTTATAGTAATATCAACGATGCCAATTAATCGTGATGCGAAACAACATGGCCAACATATTCCAGCAAATGTACACCGGTAATTCATCAATATTTCATTTTAAAGGCTCAAAATCAATGGCATTGGTTTCGCTAAAAGTTATATAAAGCACCACACATAGGGATTCAATAAAGCAGAGTTGCTATAATTATATACCAAAACTCGGGATTTTTTTTTGGATAATCGGTATTATTAGATAATTGCCAGTTATTTGAACCTCAGCAGAAAGTAGAAACAAACAGATCAAATCAAGAAAACAATAAAATAACGAACAATCAATTTAAAAAACAAACAAACACTAAACTCAGAAATGTTCAAAAATTTGTAATTACTACTTTTCTTCAGTCACGGGCTATTTTCTAAATCACCGGACATTGGACTATTTATATATATATATTATATTTATAACTTATTCTTCATACATAGTAAGTACATTATCATAACTACTTATCATCTACACTACAGGTACACGAGAAATATTTAAATATCATATTCTTATTACAGAAATTGAACTATGCATTGTATTTTATTATATATGCGTTACTACATTATGCATGTGTCAACTCTTCCTCGAATTACCAAACTTTTGTGACTTTCACACCAAAAAGGAAGTTCTTTTGCTATTTTAAACGTACTTAATGTAAACTAGTATATTAGACATTAAAACTGTACACGACTGGATTTAGGAAAATCGATGTTCATTGCTAAAACTGCTACTACCTAAGACTTGTTTTATTAAACCAACAATGCCACACCAGAAACAAACAATCTAACTCAGGAGCAGTCAGAGAGATTACATGCGAATTGGTTGGGAAGGGGCAATGTAAGAATTTGAATAAAAAAACAAATGTGAACAATGACTCGGACGTCGAAAAGGGGCAAATATATTGATTGGGGGGAGTTACTTGTGTACGACAATAAATTAGATGAAGATGCAGCTTCATTCAAGCAGGATTAGCTTAATAGGGGGAAATGATTGTGATTGTACGAAGGGAAGGATTTTTATTCGTCTTGTGCTGAAGGAAGTAGGAATTTCCCCTCCGAATTCTGTTTCATAGTAGCAGCTCCACATGATTGATTGGATGGTCTAAATTGATTAGCGAGTGATTATCGGAGAGCTCGACCCTTCATTACTACATACTGCTGATCGTGGTGGTCAGTTGTTGGGCAGCGAGGGCGTGGGCGAGGACAGTCGTAGGGGAGGCAAAGGTCTGTCATATGCTGGATATCTGCAAAATCACAAAACCATTTCTTATCAAAATCAACGACATTAGTGGCAATAAAGTCAATGCAAAAAATGTTTGGCAAAAAACATAACACATGCGACTCAATAAAGCAGAGTAATCAACCAACGACTGTTAACAACATATTTGGTAACTACATGTTGTACAAATTTGTCAGTAAGGGAGAAAGTATTAAGAGGATAGACCCACAAAAACAAATTTCCAACAAACTTGAATCACTTACGTATGGCCAGTTGAAGCTACTTCCGGATAGGAGCATATCCCTAATCAAATTAGATAAGTTTAGGTTTACACAAAAACCTCATGTAATAAAAAAATATGGAAAATATTAAATACCGTATGAGAGTCTCAATTTGAGTGGCGCCTACCAATCTAATAGAAATAATTATGCATTCAAATTAATTACAGAGATTGATTCGTGCAGTTATCAATCAATAATGAAGTACTTACCTCACAAAGAAGAGTTTCTCAATCACCTGAAACACAGAATATTACTGTTAATTGAATGATCTATTTTTGGTATAAATAAATTTTCGTAAGAGCATGCATACAAAAGTTTGTACTAACAACCTGTGATGACACTGTCCTTAGCGATGGCAGTCTAAGGAGTAGCTTTCCGAATCTTGTGGGCTGATTAGGATATTGAGTTCGGCAGTACTATAGAAAACATTGGATTGTTAGGAAAACTTGCATGTAAATGTAGCTCAGGATTAGTTTAAGTCAAATCATATCCATCCATACAAAGTCAATTCGTAGATTTTGGACCTGTTCGGACTTAGTAATTATTTTTACTAGTATTAAATTACCTCCTCCAACGCACACTGTGACTTTTCCTGGAGACCTTCTATATGGTTTACGTCCGAAAGTCCACATGCGTCTGCAAATTAGAATTAGGGTCAAAATATTGTCAAAATAAGAGAACAACACACCAATAAATCCATAAATTCAATGTTCATAAACTCTGCCAAATAAAATATCAGCCACAAAATGCCCGATGACGTCAAACAGTTACAAATTGCAAATGTACAAAAACTTCTTTATTGCATCCGTCATGTGCTGTCTGTGACATGCCCCAAGACACCGCAGTTTCGTAACCTCAAAGAGGAAATTGGTGGTTTGTTTGATGTCCTGTTAGACCCTTAGGACACAGAAACGTCCAAAAAATGCAAGTTTATTACAGAATCGAAACTTTTATAACTACCCGTTTCCTTTTGGTTTAGAAATTCTGAGGAAAACTACATCTACTTCAACATCATAAAGACGAGATACTGTTAAAAGTCTTGAACTTGTGGTGGTGATGAGGTTCGACAAGTTGAATATAACATTATTTGATGCTTCTCCTCTCTAATTGTTGCAATTCAAAAATTTCTGGTTGCTGCACAGCTATTCGAATGTCACTGATTTATTTGGAACAAAACAATGTTCAACACACGTTCAGGGGAAATAAACATTCCAACAAAGGTGAAAATTACTTTGAGGTTTTGGCTTTATTTTTAATGGCAGTTGTGTAGTTCCCTGCAACAAACTCGAAGCTACAAATAATGATGCAAACAAAGAGAATGAGCATCAAGCCGGATCAGTGAGCCATGGAAGACTTTTGTAATCTTTCCTCCCAAAAGATGTCAAAGAACTTTTGTCTTTTTTGTTATCATTATTATTTCAACTTGAAACGTCTAGAGATACACACACACAGACTTATGCACATACATAGATATGTACATACGTGCATATATGTACATACGTGCATATATGTACATATCAGTAAAACAAGCACACAAGCAAATTAATTCATGAATGAAGTAATTTGTTTGATGTACTTAATAAAGATCCAGAAAGCACAATCACAGTATTTGGTTTGGCGTATAGGTATGTGCGCATTATTTTGAATCCATTAAACCGTTTTAGCTTACAAATGGTAAACTACATACTTCAGAGTACAGGAGGATACCGCAATAAAGTCAAAAGCAAAGTGGTTGAGTAACCCAAAGTCTCTCTGCGATTTTGTCGGAACACTGCCGGCCGAAATGACAAAAGGAAGGCACGACTCTGGTAGCAGACAAGGAGATAAATATCTATTTTTGATATAATGGAAAGATTAATTGAAGAGAGGTGTCCAGGGAGAAAAGTCAAAAGCTAAAGGAGACAATGCACTGGAACTGACTGAACTTTTTTTCAAAGAATCGTCGTCGTAACCAAAACTCCAACTGTTTCTTCTTTGAAACTGAAAAGTCATTGTGACAGTCACGAGAGACTCTCTGGAAGGAGGACGCTGTTAGAGTGGGAAATTATTATTAATGTTGCTTGATGCGAAGATGGATGATATTTTTTTAGAAAGTTACTTTGTACATGCATTACCTACACTTTGAACCAACCCTCCGCATGAAAAAAGATAGATCACGGAATCGGTACATTTTTGGATGTATTTATTTACATTTGACTCAATAAAAAATGCTGCTTAAGTGGTTCAAATTTAATCAAAAATACAAAGAATTTATCCTTCACTTTAAAATGATGAACAATAGTTTTTCAATGTCAAAGCCTGGAAATTCAGACAGGTAGTAGCCAGGAGTAGGTAAACGAATGTTGATACATTTCAGTGGCCTTCTGGAGAAATGGATGCTATTACCTCAACGTAATTTAGAGGGTGAGAAAGGCCAGAGAATTAAGTTAAACTCGACGCAATTCAACTCCTTCTTTCTTCATCTCATCATATCACCAAACACCCCACTTGCTCACTAACCTAGCCATTTCACAGCACTGTATTACCAACATTAAGTGAATAACACGTACATTTCTCATTGTAAATTGTCAAAGTCAACCTCATCTCTCCTGTGGAGAAGCTGCGTTATTATATTGCCGTGATTATTGCTCCTTCTTAGCTTTGTTCACTACACAAAAATATATCAGTGATGACATGTGGAATAAGCTTCTTTTACGATATATTTCAATTCGTAAATGCTTTCCGTAGCTAGAATTTTGACAGGTTCGCCTTTAAATTTTGGTTGTCTGAAAGTTTGCCTTTTTAACATCCATCGAATTCCCATAAATTAGTTTAAAACAAGAAGGAATGAGAGAAATCCTGTGATTCCCTTTTCAGAAATTAAGGATGATAAATCTGGACCCGTCCTGGTATGCACTACATACTCGCATTGTGGGGTGTGTATAAATGTAGGTTATAGGGAGCAAAAAGATGGGAAGACCAAGAACCTCAGTTCAAGACATCCATTGTACAACTTGACTTGACTGCAAGGTAGTTGAAAAGAAATTTTCTTTCATAAAATAGCGAGCCCCCCGCCGTGTGGCGTGGATAACACAGAAATATAGGATTACTTTTGACTTTTTTAACTCCATCACACAAAACTACCACAACATCACAATTCCAACATTACGATTCCAATTTAACTCTGCACCCACCAAAGCGTCAGCAGCTTACGTAAATGCTCTCGTGGACCAAGCACAGCACAACCTTTTAACATATTTCAGAGTATATTTTGATCTCTGCACCATAGAACTCGTTGGAACAACCATTATTAAGAAACAGAAACCCAATTTTAAAAAGACATAAAATCATGTCTCAAAATTGTTCCTTCTTTTCCCAGTGAGAAATAGTAACATACGTGGTAAACGTATGCAAGTACTCATATGTACGACTGTATGAGAAATAATCATAAGGGGCCCTCACTCATAACAGTATGTAGAGACCCATCCACCTGCAATGGCTGAATTAAAATTCTTCATATCTCAAGGAGAATACTTATTTAGAAAAATTCCTCCATTCCACGCATTACAACTCTTAGGAATGTTCACATACACATTTTATATGCAATTATATGTTTCGAAACCCCACTCTGATTCAATTTTATGCACAAAAGAACACAGGGGATAAAATAATAATTGTTTTATTATTGCCCGAATATTATGGACTGATTGAGACCTTCCTACACATTTATATGTATGTATCCCTGTGGTAGTAAATGAATTCCCATGTCACTTAGTTCCATATATACACAAATACTCGCATAAATCAGACACACAAAGTTCAACCTGATATTGCTCCTGAGACTAAATAGCTTGCCACACACAGGGAGAAAAGCCGTGACATATGACGCCAACGTAAATCCCGAAATTTTTAATAATCCCAAAGAACTGACGTGACATGACGTAACACGACGACAACACACATCATCACACATCTCGACAATGTTCTGTCCTCTGACTGCTAGTCAGGACAAGAAGGCAGGAAAAGAAGTGAAAGGAACCGAGGCATCACGACTGTCTCTGCTGGTGAAATTCCCCGTGGGTCACAGGCAGGCAGGAGGACAAGGAACGTGATACACTTGGCTCCACATGGTTGCAAACGAGAGGGACGGAGGACGAGAGAGATGATGATGAGGAGTCAAATGAGATTGCTTTTCCTCCGTGTGCGATGATGACAATGCGAGCGCCTGACATTCGCGTATCCAAATGTCATCCAAATGTCAAATACGACCGACTCGCGAGACAATTTCCCATCAGCGTATACATAAATACTCGCTTTCCCCAGACTCAAAAACAAATCAATACAATGGCCATGTTTCAAAGGTTTCGAATATAAGGTTGTCGGTTGATTTGAGACAGAGGGCATACTGATAACGATGACCACATTGTACATTTTTTTGTTCATAAAGCACAACACATCCTTGTTAATCAACAAACAAGGTATTTCGTTCGAAGAGGTTAGTTTTCCCATTTTCTTCGCCCTCAGCTACGAGACGATGCATATTAGCGTACATACACTCTGCCCACAATGTTCAAAACGTATGTATGTAGATGATGATGCCCCATAAACAAGAAAAATCAAGAATTGCTGCATAATGGACCACGATTCTTTCTCCAAGTCTTGAAATGAATGAGATGGGGCAACTCAATCGTGTGAATTAGCAGTTGAGGGTAGAATTAACTTAACAAGCCGAGCCAACCAGTCACCTCGCCAATGTGCATAGTTTATAAGAAGGATAATCAGAATTTTGAGATGGATGAAGCTCGAGTTCAGGCTATAAATTGTTATTTGAGGAAAAGAAAGCAGCCTGGTTTATGTAACGGCGTACCTACGTATATCTTGTTTCCACAAGTTGAAGAAGGGATATTGTACTTATATATGCATGCACGTGGTTGATCATGAAATCATGATTTATAACCTTTGTGAATCTCCAAAGCGTGAACTATTTGCTTGTAATTTTACAAAAGTTGACTTGTTTTCGCCTTCAGACTTGGTAAGTGCCTTTGCAGTGTTGAGAATGTGCACGATTTTCCAATTCAGACTCATATTATTAACATTGGTCGAGAGGAACAAGGAGGGTATTCAGTCACTCTAACTATGAGATATGGGGAAAACAAACAAGCCATTTATACTCTCGGAATGAGTTGATCGTCAAGTCAAGTAATTGCAAACAACAATTGAATTGATGTGCGTATATCCTGATTATAAATGACGTGAGAATCCACGATGAAAAAGGTAAATAATCGATTGAATGTATGTACACATTTTGCAGTTTTAAATTTGGCATATTTTGGTGAAAATTCTTACATTTGCTGATTTTTCCGTATGAGATTTCTACACACTTATCTATTTATTACTAGTTCACCTCTAATAATCACATCACAAAATAACAGTTTTTCTGCAAACCAAGTGCAGCGTGCATGTTTACTGAAGTGATGTTTTGTCGCAATGGCGTTCGTATATTTAGTGTTTACTTGCATATCCCGTTCCATGCATAGTTCAACGAGTACAAATACGATCAGTATGAGAGATGACAACAACTTTGGCTGATTTATGCATTCCGAGGTATCGATTATTGAAAACTGTGGTAAGTATTATTATGACGGCGTGAAGAAGCG